AAAATCTCCCAGCAATACGACAGACAAAATGTCCCAGCTATACGACAGACAAAATGTCCCAGTAATACGACCGACAAAATGTCCCAGCAATACGATAGACAAATGTCCCAGTAATACCACCGACAAAATGTCCCAGCTATACGACAGACAAAATGTCCCAGCAATACGATAGACAAATGTCCCAGTAATACCACCGACAAAATGTCCCAGCAATACGACAGACAAAATGTCCCAGCAATACGACAGACAAAATGTCCCAGCAATACGACAGACAAAATGTCCCAGCAATATGGCAGACAAAATGTCCCAGCAATACGACAGACAAAATGTCCCAACAATACGACAGATAAAATGTCCCAGCAATACGACAGACAAAATGTCCCAGCAATATGGCAGACAAAATGTCCCAGCAATACGACAGACAAAATGTCCCAGCAATATGGCAGACAAAATGTCCCAGCAATACGACAGACAAAATGTCCCAGCAATACGACAGATAAAATGTCCCAGCAATACAACAGACAAAATGTCCCAGCAATACGACAGACAAAATGTCCGAGCAATACGACAGACAAAATGTCCCAGCAATACGACAGACAAAATGTCCCAGCAATACGACAGACAAAATGTCCGAGCAATACGACAGACAAAATGTCCCAGCAATACGACAGACAAAATGTCCCAGCAATACGACAGACAAAATGTCCCAGCAATACGACAGACAAAATGTCCCAGCAATACGACAGACAAAATGTCCCAGCAATACGACAGACAAAATGTCCGAGCAATACGACAGACAAAATGTCCCAGCAATACGACAGACAAAATGTCCGAGCAATACAACAGACAAAATGTCCGAGCAATACGACAGACAAAATGTCCCAGCAAAACGACAGACAAAATGTCCCAGCAATACGACAGACAAAATGTCCCAGCAATACGACAGACAAAATGTCCCAGCAATACGACAGACAAAATGTCCCAGCAATACGACAGACAAAATGTCCCAGCAATACGACAGATAAAATGTCCCAGCAATACGACAGACAAAATGTCCCAGCAATACGACAGATAAAATGTCCCAGCAATACGACAGACAAAATGTCCCAGCAATACGACAGACAAAATGTCCCAGAAATACGACAGACAAAATGTCCCAGCAATACGACAGACAAAATGTCCCAGCAATACGATAGACAAAATGTCCCAGCAATACGACAGACAAAATGTCCCAGCAATACGACAGACAAAATGTCCCAGCAATACGACAGACAAAATGTCCCAGCAATACGACAGACAAAATGTCCCAGCAATACGACAGACAAAATGTCCCAGCAATACGACAGACAAAATGTCCCAGCAATACGACCGACAAAATGTCCCAGCAATACGACAGACAAAATGTCCCAGCAATACGACAGACAAATGTCCCAGCAATACGACCGACAAAATGTCCCAGCAATACGACAGACAAAATGTCCCAGCAATACGACAGACAAATGTCCCAGTAATACGACAGACAAAATGCCAACGCGAGTCAAATTGTTGGAGTGACTTTACATTTACAAACAAGCATTATCACAGTGACCTTTGACCTACCGCGTTAGCTTACCCTACTAATCACCTGTTTATGGTGCTCCACAGAGAAAAATTTCAGGCGACATGGAGTTGTTTCCCTTAAGGTCTCAAAGAGGATATGTTTTGACGTGAAGGGGAAGGGGGGGAGGGGGTAACAACCAGGAGAGAGAACTGTGTTCAACCCTTGTAGTAGTGATGGGAGATACCGGGAGGTTAAACTTCTTGTTGACACGGTAAAACCTGCAGGTTTTTACGTGATGACGCTCTAAAAACCATGTGAAGTACGGTTAAAAATTTTGTAAGTAAAATCCACGTGAAGTACGGTTAAAAATTTTGTATTGAAACTTTGTTGCTTAGACCTACCCTGACAATGTCCATAATTCCAAGTTTGAACCTTGAACCTATTCCTAAACCCTTTATATATATATATATATATATATATATATATATATATATATATATATATATACACATTACTCGACTCACATTATTTTCACAGTCCGAAATTTTAACTTATGTTAGCTGAGAGAAAAGAAGCCCAATAAATGACAAGTGTATAAATGTAAACATTTGAAATATGTGTAAGTATGCCTAAGCAGTATAATTGAGCTGTTCTGTTGTCTATATATATGAATCACACTTTTGCATTATAAAAAAGTAATGTTAGAAAACGAATTTTAGCAGTTATTTCGCGTTCTGGAAAACTGTTTTAATCAATTGTAATAGGAATTGATTAAAATACTCTATTGAGTATTTTGACAGAGTTCTGACAAATATCGTGTTTTTAGAAAAATTCAACTGCAATGTTGAGGGGGTTTAAACTGAGGTGTAAAGTCATTTTAGGGGGGGGTCTGGCTTTATGTGACGATGTGTGGAGGGAGAGGGGGGGGGGGGGGTAAAATCGTCCAAATAGCGTTTCTTCGTTTACGGATGACCCCTAAATAATATAATAAAAATTATTGATTTTTTTTTTTAACAACAGCACATCTATTTACTGACACTCATGTTTTAAAGTCCCCAATAAGTCAATCAATATTTTTTCATTAAAAAGGTTGGATTTTTGTTGTTGAATGTTTTCTTATGTAACTTCTGTGACTTTTTCTCCTTCAGTACATCCACTCTCTTTTCCCAGCACTGCACACGGTTTAAACTAAAAATAGAAGTAAGGAGATTCATCAACGTTTAATGGAGTACGACTGAGGAGGCTGTATATCGCCCTAGAATAAACACACACAAATTAGCATCAGCGGATAAGTGACATTTATCTCCCTCTAACCCATATATTGTTCTTCCTTCCCTTGAAGTTTTGTTAAGTCTAAACACACAGACGACCGAAACAATGGCGGTTTATAATATTACCGGAAGTGTTGACAGCCTGCCCTCGTCTATCTGCAGCTGCGCACGAAGCGGCTCGAGTCAACGGAAGTTCACATTATTCATAGTTCGTTGTTGACATTTTTTCTTCTTTTTAAAAATATTTCGGCGAGGCGTAGGTGGGAGAGAAATTGTTACTTGAGTCCTAAGCCGCATATGAGTTATACGTGTGTGTGTGTAGAACTTGTTAAAAATAGATGGTGGTTCAGAGAAAGTTATACTGAGAAATTAAAAGTTTATAAGGGTACAGGGGCCATTTTGTAGGCCCAGCCCTAATCATCTATCTATAGATCTATATATAATTCTCTTCTTCGAGCCGTTAGAAAACAAGCTGCAAACGCTCTCCCTACCTCCCCACCCCTACATGGTTTTAGTGAGCTGTGTTCACTCTAAATGTTTACAAGCAGAGCCAACGATTTTAAACGGAGGGGGGGGGGGGGGAGAAAGGAAGGGGGGGGTATGGTCCTTAACGAGCTACTTATAGTGTTTTAAAGAAATATTTTCAGTGTCAGCGTTGGTACTGTCGAATTCACAAATTATGAATTATTGAAAATTAGAAACAACTAAATAGCGGCGTATGTTATGCCGCGGGCCGGCTCGTTAACATTAATTTTGTTTTTTTTATTAATTAAGGTGGGGAAAGTTTTAAGGGACTGGTTGTGGGGGGGGGGGGGGCGGTTTTAGAGACGGGCTGGGGGATCTGGTGCTTTGTATGGGAGCGGTGTTTGTATGGACGGGGACAGGGGCCTATTTGTGAAATTATTATATATTTCCACATTTTACCTAAAACCATCTAAATGGTGGAATAAAAATTCAATTCAAGCTGAAAAACCACCTATTTACACACTTTTCTTTTACCTTACACAAACAATATCGTGCTTTGACATGCCTACTTGACATACGCTATGTGACGGGTTAGGATCTACGGCCGCCACTACAGTCGCATGATACATGTGATCTTGCTAACGTTTATTTCATTGATCGTTCTGTTTTATTGAGTAATTAGTGAGGTGGTTTAAATAAACGGAGAGAATGCGAAATAATATATATATATATATATATATATATATATATATATATATATATATATATATATATATATATATATATATATAGGCCTATATCCTATATTCCATGATAAAGGTATTGAAAAAGACGATAAACGTAGTCCAGAGATATTCCCTACAGTTAATTGGACAATTTAACAGTAGTGAAAATTCGATATGGTTTGGCAGCGGCGTCTATTTCATCATTACACACATTTAAAGGGGTGCACCAAGCTTATAAATATCGTTATGGAAGGTTCTAGAACAAATGTTGTGAACTACTAACTAGAGAACTAGCGGCTAAGGACATCTGTTAAACCAGACACTAGTAGGTAAGGAACAACGGTTTGTTAGAGATAACTGCTGTTATCGGTGTAAGGGAAGTAACCGAAATAAATCTAACACCCTTATGTTAGTAGCTTCACGGACAGTCAAAGTGTGGTTAACAAAACTTAGATTAGATGTAAGGAAACTTTTGCTGAGTTACTAAGTCTTCCTTTACTATACTTCATTGAAGTAGGTTCTATTTTTCCCGAATGAATGTGTAGTAACGAAAATGTCTAAGAATACACCTGAAGTTATGAACAAAGGCCACACTATTTGAGTTGTTAGATCTTTAATTTGATACAACTGATGAATGACGTTGAACTAGAACTTGTACATTTAGAACAACTGTACACATTCTATGCATAAATGGAGCCTCCCATATTTTTGTAATCTTTAGAGTTATTATCAACATACCAGTACTAGATAATTAGAGTTATGGGCCTTTTGACGTCTGACCATTATTTCAGCCATACCTGAATGTAATTCCACCTCTATCAAGGTGTGACACTAGGTATCAAACAGTATCAAAAATTCTCACCACCCAGTACCATTTACTCTCTCAATCTGGTGCACACTCAGCATTCCCAATGGTTTCAACAAAAATTCTCACCACCCAGTATCATCCACTCTCTCAATCCACTCTCTCAATCTGGTGCACACTCAGCATTCCCAATGGTTTCAAAACATTGACCATTTTAATTTTACAACAAATTAATTGACAATCTAATTTATATATTCTAATAATTAAAATTAGTTTAGTTCTAAAAATAAAATGAGTCAACATTTAAGCAAGATATAATTTTGTAACCAAAAATGAGAACCAAATATTTTTCACATTACTTCATGTGGAAATCAATCATCCAGTTTTGTATGATCTTTTTCATTCTATGTAATAAATCTGATATAATGTAACTCATCTGACATAATGTATCAAATCTGACATAATGTCACACATATGACAATATGTAACAAATCTGAAATAATGTATCAAATCTGACATAATGTAACAAATCTGACATAATGTAACAAATCTGACATAATGTAACAAATCTGACAAAATGTAACAAATCTGACATAATGTAACAAATCTTAACACAATGGAAGAAATCTATCTATACCACTTGGTCATTAAATAAAGTTGATGGAAAGAAAGAAAAAGGTGAGCAATGTAAACAGTCCAGTTAGTAACAAGAGAGAACAACAATATTTACACAATAGACCAAAGCTAAGTTATGATACAGGCAGGATGGTATTTACACAATTTAATACACCAGTCATGATAGAACAATGGTATTCACATAATTTTATAACATCCAATGGTCAGACAGAATAGAACAACGGTACTTATTCAACTTTACCAAGCACCCAATGGTCAGACGTAAGGCAACAATAATACAATACACAGGCGCAGCTGGTGGAAAAGTATTTGCTCTATTGTAGAGAAGCTGACACTGGCCAGAAATACTTGTCATGTGGGGTTGGATGGGACATGGACTAGTCCAGAGTCCCAGGTGTTTGGTGGGAGGGGGGGGACTAGTCCAGAGTCCCAGGTGTTTGATGGGAGGGGGGACTAGTCCAGAGTCCCAGGTGTTTGATGGGAGGGGGGGACTAGTCCAGAGTCCCAGGTGTTTGATGGGAGGGGGGACTAGTCCAGAGTCCCAGGTGTTTGATGGGAGGGGGGACTAGTCCAGAGTCCCAGGTGTTTGATGGGAGGGGGGACTAGTCCAGAGTCCCAGGTGTTTGATGGGAGGGGGGACTAGTCCAGAGTCCCAGGTGTTTGATGGGAGGGGGGACTAGTCCAGAGTCCCAGGTGTTTGATGGGAGGGGGGACTAGTCCAGAGTCCCAGGACCACAGCCCAGGTGTTTGATGGGAGGGGGGGCTAGTCCAGAGTCCCAGGACCACAGCCCAGGTGTTTGATGATTGTGACAACACATCACTTTTTCTTGCTGCTGCTGGAGGAGGAACGACGGGATGATGATGATGATGATTGTTTACTTCTTGAGGACGATGACCTGCTTTTTGACTCTTCATCTGAATCATCTCTTTTAGAACTCTAAACAAAGTCAATAAAAAAAAAATTATGTTTTTTAACTAAAGGGGCACGTGCTGCACAAGTGAAAGACAATACAAAACTAAGCAAATTTTCTCAGTTCTTTCCAATTTGGACGACAAAAATACACAAACCTTAGAACTTTTCTTAGAAGTAATCTCTTCAGTATCCTTCTCACTTTTCTCGCCATTTCGTGGTTCCCTATTTTGTTCTCTATTTGAGGTTTCATCTGATTTTACTGAGCTGTGTAGGGAAATTTTGATTGCGCTCACTTTTTCTTTGCCAAAGTCAGAGCTGAAGAAAGAGATTTTTTAAAATTCAAAAGCTATTGTTTAATCTGATACAAACTATAGGCACACCAAACTTATCTGCGAGGGACAGTTGTAACTGTCTACAGGCATCCCAAACCTACTTGTGGTAATGTCAACTGTCTACAGACATCCCAAACCTACTTGTGGGAAAAACTGTTAGACTAACCTGTGAGGAGAATTCTCCACTGTTTTGATGGGTGTCAGATTGGACATGCTCTCTATCTTGTGAACATCTTCTCCCATGTCCCCATCTTTTCCATTGTTCACCTGAAAGGTAGAAGTGACAGCCTCAAACACCTGTTTAAAGTTGTATGTGTTTGATGTGAAGGTTAGCTGACCAGACTGACCTTGTCCCCCTTGTCCCCAGGATCAGTGAGTGCAGCAGCACTGTCTCCCCCCTCCTCCAGTACAGCCATGACAGACTTGTTGATGTGGGATTTCTGGAAACAAGTTTCACTTTCATTATGGGAAACTGGCAATAGCTTAGTCCAAGTGGACGTAAATATCAGGACTAGATGCAAACTTGGGGATGTTTGACTTCAGTGTTCAATTTGGGATGTGGCATTTTTAAGTGTGACCATTTAGACAAAGACATTTTTTTTTTTAACCATGGGACTGTTAAAATGTGTATTTTCTTGCATTTTCAAAATACATTAGTGAAGGAACTAGATAGTTTAGTCCCAGCGTTGGTTATGTACGAAAGAGTCACACAATTACAAACACAGATGGGAGGAGGAGATTTCCATCAGCTGTTGTTTGAGGCACTGACCTGATTCTCTGTAAGGCCTTGTACATATGCCAGCAGGGGCTCCCTTAGGTCAGGACACACTTCAAAAACATCCTTGAGTTGGGTGGCAGGTAACTTGAGCAGCACCTGGAAGGACTGGGGCTTGGCCCTCTGGCAGCATCGAATAAATCCCTCCCAGACTTTCTTCTGCTTCCACACCTGGAATAAACAAGTGACCAGATGACCACAGCTGGCATCTCATGGTGGCAGGCACAAATTAGTGGACAGAAATCTGGACACATTTGTAACCAATGTTTACAACTGAGAGTCAGATCAATAAAAAAATTGATGTCCTTATGCTGACCTTCTTAACAATGAGTCTCTGAAGTATGTTGAGAACAAATCCAATGAGCCGAGGGTACATGGAGAGAGACTGGATGACAGTCCTCATTAGGAGTGTAGGCAGGGGGTCCTGCTCCATCAAGTGCTGCATGACAATAGCCAAAACCTCCTGGGTGTAGATGTTTCTCTCACTGAAGCAAAGGTTTGCGGCTGGAGATGGTCACACAACAATTAGATCAAGCACATCCAACTTTTAGAAACACACACAACAATTAGATCAAGCACATCCAACTTTTAGAAACACACACAACAATTAGATCAAGCACATTCAACTTTTAGAAACACACACAACAATTAGATCAAGCACATCCAACTTTTAACAACACGCACAACAATTAGATCAAGCACATCCAACTTTTAGAAACACACACAACAATTAGATCAAGCACATCCAACTTTTAGAAACACACACAACAATTAGATCAAGCACATTCAACTTTTAGAAACACACACAACAATTAGATCAAGCACATCCAACTTTTAGAAACACACACAACAATTAGATCAAGCACATTCAACTTTTAGAAACACACACAACAATTAGATCAAGCACATCCAACTTTTAGAAACAACTTTTGGCATGTCATCCAACTTATTTGTGTTACCTTTGATAGTTGTCTTGATATCACATTTAGAAGGATCTATGTTATGTAGTGCTACAAGTAGTTCCACTGGCGTCAAGGGAGAGTGATAGACTGAATCATTGCTCACTGCAGACAAACACAACACAATTAGGATTGCGTGGCACTTGTCAATCCACAACACAGCGTGACCAACACATTCATTCATGTATAGACAAGCAAAATGTGTGTAAACTGGTTACCATGGCTTCCCATGAGTCGGTTAAACACCTCTTTCACAACCATTGGATTCAACTTGATCAGTTTAGGTAGTGCTTCCATAACTTCACTCTGATAGAAAAACCACATAAAAAAACAGTTCAACCAGTGATAATATTCAGACATGATTAAAGGAGTACTTGCTGACCTAGCAAAAAATAGGAAATAAATTCTGTGGCACAAGCAGGGTGCATGGCCATATTTCTCCAAACAATTCAAGGGATTTCAACAAGTTATAAACTTTAGGGAAATATTACTGTAAAAAAGGTTTTTGGGGTTTTCTTTTAAACAAAAAATATTTTTGAAGGGAACAATAGAATTTCTAAAAATAAAAGTTACATCACTGAATAACCTATGTTGGGAAAACTAACCTTTGAGAGACCATTCAGCACAGGAATTAGAAACCTGACATCTGGTACTCGCTTGTGGTAAAGATCACGAATTCTGTCGACAAGTTCCGGTGAAGGGACAGCTGCAGAAACAAACATTTAATTTGTACCAATGGCTAGCTAACTATTTGAGTTTACATTCTCTTGTATGGTGGGACAAACTATACTATCTTTGTCAGTCATTTGTGAGTGATGTGAAAGTGTCCATACAACTGAATATTTAGATTAATTATTCTACCTTTCTCAGTCATTTGTGAGTGATGCATTAATTACTTGTGCTACCTTTGTCAGTCATTTGTGAGTGATGTGATGCATTAATGACTACTTAGGCTACCTTTGTCAGTCAGAATGTGAATGACTCTCATTACAAGTGTTTCAGAACCCTTTGGACAATTCTCTACCAGTGTCAGCAGCTCTGGAGAATCCATACCCATCCCTTTCACCTGCAGATATTTATACATCAATCAGCACATGGAAACTTAACCGTATATTACATGAGCACAGGTACATTTTTCAAATGTAAACAATCATCATTAATACATCTACTAACATGAGAGTAAAACTTTTTATAAATCTTGTGTGTAATGAGTGCAGACAAGAATGACATGATTGAACTTACAGGCACCTCCAAGACTCGCAGGATGGTTCTCTTAATGTCTGCACTTGTGGCTGTGTAAATGTTAGCTAACCTGGGAACATAAAACTCAGTTCAATATTTGTTAAGGGTAAAGTGTTAACAAAATGTTGAAATTTTAAATAATTTCTTGACAGTATTTAGAGTATGCTGTAGACGTGAGGCAAATGATACTTACTCATGGATAAGCTTGTGGTTGGAGGGCAAAAGGCCTAGATGAAGATACAAGTGACCCTTGATAAGCTCCTCTGTCCAGGTTTCACTAGCATCTACAACCAGAGAAAATTTAATTAAATACACAAGTTAATACATTCAATTTCAATGCCACTAGAAACAGTACAGCTCACACATTACAAACAACATAACAACTAACATAAGATAAAATAAACAGCCTTGTGGCAGATAAATTCACACAGACAGCTAGTACACTACAGACCTTCTAGACTCAATCCAGTGGTAGGTGTGGTGGGAGGTTTGGGCTGCAACAGTTTCTTGAGTTGAAGGTTAGCATATTTCTCTATCTCTACTTGCATTTTGCCACTAGCATGCAGCTTCTGGGCTGATTTGATGGCAATGTTTCTCACCTGTCACAGAAGCAACCAGATATAGTTTAAAAGTGTTTCATAAACAGGTTTTAAAACACAAGGAAATAAATAACAGCAATATTGCCATTGTTTCTCAGGTTAAAATGGGCTAAAAGAAATAAGGGAAAAAATTAGGATTCAATATATTATAAATTATAAAGATCATGTACAAATCATTTTCTTTCTTCTGACAGGTAAGAGGTGGGGGTTTTAAATGTCATGAATTAACTACAACTGGCAGCATGTAAGCTATTGTTTAAACAAAATGTACAAATCTAGAAAAACAATGACCTCAAGTTTGTCACTTCCTGTGTAGTCTAAAACAATGTCCAGAAACTTGACCCTGTGTGCTGGTCTGTGTGTAATAAGCTGGGACAATGTCTTCATGCCTGCCTCTGTGTGTTTCTGTTAGACACGTTTACACACATTAATAAACAAATTAACAAGTTTCATCCAACTAGCAAAGTATTCATGTTTACATGCAAGAATAGCAAATACAATAGAAATAAAAAAAGGTATACACAGCTCAAAAAGTCATGAAAAATTTGAAACGAGTGACCTACTGGTATGGCATAGTATCTCTTGACAACACTGATTGCACTTTCAGTTAAGACGGGTGCCTCCATTAAAATACGATGAAACAAGCTGAAGAAAATTGTATCACGTGATTAAAATGTTCAGTGCATGAAATAAAAGATCTTTAAAGCATAAAATTTTAAAATTTAAAAACAAAAAATATTAATTCTATTAAAAGAAAGTGTGTACCTGTCACCATGGTGATCATCCAATTCCAGCAGACCAACTAACAGTTTAGTCAAACAAGAATCATAGGCCATGAGTCCTGTGGGTTTATTACTCTTCTCATTTGAACTATAGCCTTGACTATGGGCATACTCCTGATAAAGCCAGGCAAATGCTAAATCTTGGCGTGTTCGAAGATCATTAAAAATATATTCCTGTAATTCTAAAGATATTAAAAAAAAACTTGAAATTTTTCAACATTGGTGATATTTTTTTTTTTGCTAGCAATAATAAATATAGTTTCAAGAAACAAATAGTATAATGGACTTACTGGTTTTGATGTCATCCCCCAGCAATGTTGAAAGCACAGCAAGGATTTTGGTTCTGTGATGGTCTACATGGCTTGTTGAAGCTGCCTCTGTAAACAAAATGTGTCCATATATTAAGAGGTTACATGTGCTTGTTTTATTCTATAGTGGTTTCTTTATTTTTATGCCAGCCTCATACTCAAAACCTTTTTAAAAAGGCAATTTGATTGGATGTAAAGTGAAACTGGCCAAGGATTACTAGTTCACTATCTCAATAAAAGTTTTCTTTCTACCTGTAGATAAGTAAATAGGGAGGAATGGTACTGGACCATTCTGGTTGGTAATTTAAGGCCTGTAGCAGGGAGAAATGGACCCCTAGAGGATGGGGTATACCCCAGAGTGCACTAAGTAAGTTGTGGGCACACAAACAGTTGAGCATCTGACAACCATATATTCTTTAATACATTATAAGCAGAATTTTATACATTTTACAAGTATTAAAGGTAATGCCATTAAATATACTTTACTATAGTTGTATGAAATAAGAACAGTATTGTTTAATGAGCTAGTTATAACTTACTCTCTGCCTGAAGTATGCGGTCTATTGCTCGTTTTGTCAAAGCCTGGACTGTACTTTCATTTAATTTTTTGGTAATGTTTGAGAGTTGAAATTGTTTGATTTTTTTCACTGTCGGTGGAAGCTGGGAAAAGCATGTTTCATTATCTTTACACAAAGTGGTATGTTTCACAACAAATTTATATATGAGATCTGGTCTCAACAATTACAGATAAAACAGTTTAAACTACCATCTATTCTCCAATGAAAGTTTTAAAAAATTATTAATTAGTGGGTTTTTTTTCATATTTCATAAACTTTATAATCTAAAACAAGAGTGGTTAGCATGACTTCAGCTAACTAGAATACTTACTGGAAGTTGATTGATTTTAGGTTTTTTAGCTGCCTGGTCTAGTTCCTCTGTTTTAAGGCCTGAAAGAAGAGAATATTAAGTACCATCTTAATTACCCAACAGCCAGATGTCAACAAAGTACCATCTTAATTACCCAACAGCAAGATGTCAACAAAGTACCATCTTAATTACCCAACAGCAAGATATCAACAAAGTACCATCTTAATTACCCAACTGCCAGATATCAACCAAGTACCATCTTAATTATTCAACTAATTATTTACTAGCCAGGAATCAGATGACAGGACCCAAAGACTAAAATTAAACCTTCATGAGGATTAACTTTTACTAACCTACTACAGTCTGGATCAGCTGTTTGGGAGATGAGGGCTGTTCATCATTATTCTTTACTGCAGCCTCAGAATCCTTCAAAGCCTAAATTTATTTAAATTATAAGTAGTAACTAGCAACTGTCATCTCAATATCATTAGATTTTAAAATTGAAAAGTATGTTAAAATCAGTTAAATAAACTGTCGAGCTTTAGTCTATTTTTTTTTAAAAGACAGTACCTGCATTTTCAATTCACCCAACCCTTTGCCCATGCCTGCCATGGTCAGCTGTGTGGCCATCAGCCTAGCAATATGACTTATTTGGGCCTGTGTACCTGCGGCAGCTATTGGTGTATAAGTTGATTGAAACTGGGCTGGCATGGAGTCAGGAAGCATCACCTACACAAAAATATCAAGCCACTAGCATTTTTACGGTCAAGAAACCACAGAAAGCACAGTGTTCCTTTCCACAATTTAAAATTTAGACAAATATGTTTAACAATAAATTTCATGCCATATTAGAGTGTGTAATCAATTATAAAAGAGCTAGCTATTCAGCTGTACCCACCATGCTCAGGAGCACTAAATCTGCCACATTTTGTGGTGTAAGTCGAGGCAAAATGTCTTCAGCGGTGACATCTATAGCTGTTTGTTTTTGGGTAATATCTGGCTTGCTTTTCTTTGCAGTCCGATCAATCCACGGCGTCATATCATCATCATCAATCTCAACCTGGTACATCATAACATCATTTTTTTTAATTTACATCAGTGCATCATTTTAAGACTGTTCTAAAAGTTTTAATGTAAACATTTCACATAAAATGTATAGATCCATTACTAACCTCAATTATTTTAGATTTCTTGCTTGCTGAATTAATACTGATTTCTTGTTGGGCTTTTCTTTTGCGACTTTCGATATCTTTAGGTATATTCTTCATAATCTATGAATAAATATAATGTAAATATAAGAAAATGTATAATTAAAGCAAATTAACATTTATGATTTAAATGTTAATAAAATAATTTTATAGTAATAACAAGTAAACAAAATTAGATTTTCCTAGTATTTTGAAAGACTATTTTCCAAAGCTCACCTCAGACTGAGTTGCTCCCAAATCTGTTAGCAGTGTAGATATTTGTGGAATAAAGTCAACAGAAACTGGATGCTTTAATAAACTCAACATCTGTATCTTTAAATTCTTCCTGACACTGCTAACTTGGGATTTGGCAAGTGTAGGTGGCAAATTTACTGTCAAGATAAAATTGGGAGAAAATTATTAATAATGGTCTTGTTTTTAAACAAACACTGTTAATTTACCAGTTGAAAATTGTGTTAATGCCAAAAACAACAGCAGAAGATATGTATTAACATAACCCACCATGCAAGGCTTCAAAACTCTGTACCACTTGGTCAAAAAAGTTGGGCCTCTGTTTAGCAATATTAGAAAGTGCATTCATTACTGTCATAAGGTTTATACTGAAAAATGCAAGAAAAGTCAAGATTTTAAAATGGCCACAGTATAAAAACATATTCATATTATTGCAGTACCTCAGAAATTTTTTTTTAAAAATCTTCCAATAAATATATTTAAAGCTTTTACAAATGATATTGGAGAAATTGCTGTTTAGTTTCTAATTTACAGATACCAAGAAAGATAAATGTATATAATTATCAACAGCATGATAAAACTATAAATAACCTTAACAGCTTACCTTGAGATATGAGGAGAACCCTGAAACTGTAATAGGTTGGTAAAAGCTTTGACACCTTCTTCTTCCAGACTATCAACCTTCAATATTTCATTATTGTCTGGCACCTGATCTAACGACATATCCCCTTCATTCTTTTTTGGCGTTTCAGAGTCCTGTAGGTATAAATTATGCTAGTATACAGTGTGCTCATTTAAAAATCTGAAAATAATACATGCTTCTAAACAAAATGCTTAGGTTTTTAAAGAAGAATGTATGCATACCACAGTTTTTTTAGACAAGGCAAGGGTAAGCCCTTCCAGGAATTTAACAACATGAGTTCTTATTCTGAAACAAACAACAAAGTATTACTAGTACATACATGTTTTACACACGAAACAGAAAATGTATTCCAAATTATACCAGTTAGTAGCAATCAGAATTCTTGTAACAACTTTATCAGACTTCATAGATTGCATAACTTGTGATGTTGAAATCATGAAGAAAAAAAAATTTGCTGATTTCAAATATCTTCTTACCCATCATTAGCAGATTCCAAGGAATCAAACAACAAAGTTTTGAGTTCCATGAGATTCTGCCACACTGCTTTCATCTCTGGCTTAGTTTTCTTGGCTTTACTTATCCACTGTAAAGTAAAATTCTCTTTTATTTATATTTCAGTTGTTTTTTTACAATATGAAACAAAGGAATCTACTGTTTTATAAAAAAAAAAGTACTTGGTTTGCAAACTTACAGCTAATGCGAGTTTGAACATACTGCTCACTGTCAGTATAACTTTTTTCTGTACATTTACATCATCATCTCCAAGAAGCATCAACATGCTAGCCATTACTTTTGGTAGGCATTCATAATCTTTTTTGCTATAAAGATCATAAGAAACAATGATGATTGTTATGATTAAAATATTTTGTTTAGAATTTAACCTTCTTGCTGACTTTTAAAGGTTCTACTTTTTAATAAGTTTATATATGCATTTTACAGATGAAGAAACAAAATGATTTTGTGTTTGTGGGGAAGATTGTTAACCCAAAGATTCAAAACCTAATCTTGGTTAAATTCTGATTTTTCCATTAATAGGAAAAAGTGATCTTACCAAGCTTCTTCCATAAACCCAACAATAAACTTTTTGACATCTTTTGATGAGTCAGACTGATAAGCCAACATTTCCTGGTAAATAAGAATCAAATGATAATAATAATTTCAGAACACATCAAAAACTAGGTGCACATAAGCAGCACTTAAAATACAATATTAAAGTGTCTTAACTGGGCATCAATATTTGCAGGGAAACTAATACAGACTTTCGTTATTTTGAGAGAAATTAATTAAATATTTTGCTCCCTTAATGAGAGATGAATTATTAATGCTACTAAATCTCCCTCTCCTCCCTTCCCACTCATACACTAAGTTAGTTATATTTCTAATATGAAAAATGGCATGTTTGTCATAACTTATATTTTTATTGTAGTACACAATTAATTAATGTAGTGCAGAATCTCTTAAGTTATTGCAACCATATTTAGGGAATATAAAAAAACTGACACATTAATATCATTTGAATATTATTTAATCTATGATAGTTCATTTTAAAAAATTTCTTACATCAAGGAAGTTGTCTAGAAGATCAGGAGATTTGTGAACTATTAGCTCTTGTACCTAAAAAAAATAAAAATGAATTAGAAACATTATTCTTTAGAATGATATTCAAATTAGCATAAAAGCATGGTAGGACAATACAGTATCATATTAAGGTGTTTTCCACCAGTATTGCTGTTAGGGTAAGAGTTAATATTGGGTATAGTTTCAGAACTATAGGGCAGTGTGGTAAAGCTTACGACTGCTAACCCAAAAGTCTTGAGTTCGAATCTGCAGGACATCTCTGATTCCACCTGACTCACATTAGTGAAACTAAGGTAGCTGGGCATACAACTGATCACAATATCGCTTTATAAGAGAAACTGATGAGCTCTACTTCATCTGTCTTGGCCACAAACAGTAAAAGATTATAGTTTCAGGAGTAGCACTATGTAACAATAATTATATTATTTACCGACATAAAAATACATATTTAGTTGTTTTTGGCATACCTTTTTTAAGTTCACTATTTTATCAGCACCCTTTGGCATAACAGCTGCATTGTTAAGAAGTTCCACAACCTGTAAATGATTAAACAGAAGGAGTAAATATTTTAATAGGCCCTACTGATCTTGAAATAATAAAAAGCAGCAGTAACTTTTATTTTAATTCATTTTGTTATGAATCAACAATTATAAAAGTTGTCAGAGTCAATTGTTTTTATGTCTTTCTTAAGTTTTTAACTTAACTTTCTTTTAAAATTGTAAAATAATCTTATTAATATTCTTTTATAAACTATTGGGTTAGTCTTATTGAGTTGTGTAATTATCAGATCTAGAATCTAGATCTAGAAATCTAGATTAGTAGTAGGCCTAGGCCTAATTAAATTTAATTAATTATTTAGGCCTAGATCTACTAATGAGGCCTAATTAAAAATTTTAGTAATTTTTTACAAATTGTGTGCAGTATAACTAGATCTATAAAAAAATAATCTCACTATGTCATAAGTTGATGAAGGTGGTTCTGGAGGTTTCTCTGATTCTTCTACTTCGCCGAAAAATTGGGCAGCTGTTGACCGCTCTGCCATCATCTGTGGCATAGGGTTGCTTGTATAACTAGTACTAGGTGTGGATGTCATTCATAAGCTGATTGGTAGAAATTAAGTAGTTATCTTAAATATTTTAATAATTAATATTTTAATTGGGTTGTGGGTCCTGCTCTTAGGGGCATTTAAAAATAACAAGAACAATGGCCATGCTCATAATCAATATGTAGCGATCCGGCCATTTTGGAAAATGGCTAAATTCACTTAATCATGCCAGATCAAAATTCAAAACTAATTGCCAGATATTAGAGTTAGATCTACACTGGTGACTACACTGAATTTTTTTTTTCAAAAGAAGTAAAAAGCCATTATTATCGAAATAGGGAAAAATGGTCACAAAATAAATGAGATACTCAATAAAAAGCGTTTGTTTATTTTTTATGTATAGACCTACACAGGAACTAGAAGGCCTATGTTTATATACTTTACCAGCTAGCTTAGGGCATATTTTAAATGCTTTCGTGCGCATCTGGCTATAGGGCCATAGGCCTACTTGTGAGATTTCTATTCTATTATTTTCTAGCCTACTGAAACAAGCTAAGCAATCTTATTAGCCTCGAGGCCGTTTAATATGTTTACTATGGTACAATATCGATTTAAATTTAGATCTACATCGAATTCGTTTTGTTATGATTATAATTTTTTTTCATAACGAAATAAAATATGTTTTAAACAATGCAGTAGGCCTATAACACAATAAAATACTTAAAAAAAACTTTTTAAAAAACCACGTTTTTCTTGTGGACTAAAAAGTAGAAAATAACTATTTACATACATTTGATGACAAAAAACGTGGGTACGTTCACCATCAAATTTCCCGACCCATCTGCCCGACCCACGTTTTTTGTCATCAAATGTATGTAAATAGTTATTTTCTACTTTTTAGTCCACAAGAAAAACGTGGTTTTTTAAAAAGTTTTTTTTAAGTATTTTATTTTCTCCTTTTTAGTCCGTTGCTACACATGAAAAACGTGGTTTTTAAAAAAGTTTTTTATATAGTTTATTTTCTACTTTATCTAATGACTTGATTAAGTATGACTTGACTAAGTGTTTATAAATACACGGACTAAAAAAATCTTGAGCGACCAGGATTCGAACCTGGGTTGTCGCGGCCACAACGCGAAGTACTAACCACTATACGATCACGGCCAGCGCGCTCACATCGATTGGGGCCGAAGTAACTGTGTCAATAGGCTTCCAGTCTTATCGGTATCTTTAGAAATCATGTCCTCAATTTTATGGTCCTTAGGGCGTAATTAAATTAAGCTAATTACGGTCTCTAATTGCTAGTTTTTATGATTGCATCTGAAATTGTTAGGCGAAAGTAGCCTGCATGCCAAATTTCAGAACTATAGAACAATCAGAAGTGGGCTAATTTTCGATGTCAATTTTAACAACAAACAAATCCACACATCCACAAACGCGAAGCTGAGTTAAGAAAAACGTGTTAAAAAATTGCGATTCAGCCCAATCGGTCGTACGTAATTGACGTCCGTTTTTTTACTGTCCGCAAATCGGGTCTCGACGAAACAAAAATAATAATCATTAAAAAAGTTTTAAAAAACCCACGTTTTCTGATTGAACTAAAAAGTAGAGAATAAATTCTATACATCACAATAATGCAAGCGATCACTCTACTATAAGCGATGAAAAACGTGGGGCGCCGAAGTAAAAGTTATATTACTATTGATTAGATAATACTATTGACTTTTATTAGGGAGCTTGTAGAGAGTCAACAGTATTAGAAACTGTAAGAAAATCACGGCGCCCCACGTTTTTGATCGCTTATAGTAGAGTGATCGCTTGCATTATTGTGATGTATAGCATTTATTTTCTACTTTTTAGTTCAATCAGAAAACGTGGGTTTTTTTTTAACTTTTTCAATGATTATTATTTTCTACTTTTTAGTCTTTGTCTGTTTGCATTAAAATCTTGCTATCGAATTTATCTTTTCACTTTTTTTTTTGGTAAACGAAGACAACTAGTAAAAAGACAACTCGTAAAAAACACGTTGTGTTATGTCATACCGTCTCCCCCATACTGGCCACCAGTTGTTACGGTTGTTTGTACACAAACACCGCGTGAACACTACTCAGTAAGCAAAGAGGGAGAGTACCGAACCTTGTTTTCATCAAATTACAGTTACTGGGTTATGTCCCTTTTTCCCCCACGTTTTTACTACAATTATATAGCGCTCTAAAATGCTCAATAAAATGTTTCCATGGATCAATTTAGTAATAATAACAATTGAATATTCTATTGTCATCCAAAACAAAGCTTCCCTGAAAATTTCAGCGCGCTAGCTAACTGGGAAGTTCCAGAAATTTCGATCGCAAGATTTGATTGGAAAAACAAAGACGAAAGCAAGTTAAAGAAAACGTGGGATAAAATACTTAAAAAAAACTTTTTAAAAAACCACGTTTTTCTTGTGGACTAAAAAGTAGAAAATAACTATTTACATACATTTGATGACAAAAAACGTGGGTACGTTCACCATCAAATTTCCCGACCCATCTGCCCGACCCACGTTTTTTGTCATCAAATGTATGTAAATAGTTATTTTCTACTTTTTAGTCCACAAGAAAAACGTGGTTTTTTAAAAAGTTTTTTTTAAGTATTTTATTTTCTCCTTTTTAGTCCGTTGCTACACATGAAAAACGTGGTTTTTAAAAAAGTGTTTATAAATACACGGACTAAAAATCTTGAGCGACCAGGATTCGAACCTGGGTTGTCGCGGCCACAACGCGAAGTACTAACCACTATACGATCACGGCCAGCGCGCTCACATCGATTGGGGCCGAAGTAACTGTGTCAATAGGCCTAAAGTCTTGTCGGTATCTTTAGAAATCATGTCCTCAATTTTATGGTCCTTGGGGCGTAATTAAATTAAGCTAATTACGGTCACTAATTGCTAGTTTTTATGATTGCATCTGAAATTGTTAGGCGAAAGTAGCATGCATGCCAAATTTCAGGTCTCTAGAGCAATCAGAAGTGGGCTAATTTTCGATGTCAATTTTAACAACAAACATCCAAACAAACAAACGCGAAGCTGAGTTAAGAAAAACGTTTTAAAAAATGAAAATTTCTTCCTGAACCAACATCAATTAATTTTTAATTGATTTTTTCCAACAGCATAGTGCGACTAATTTGAAAATGTTGATGTTTTATTAACACCCGTGAAGACCTGTTGCTTAAAAGCGAGCAGAGAAGTTTGAATGTATGACATAATGTTTTCAGGATACACTACGTTTTGTTTTGATAACCACCTCTAAGTACATTAAGAGCTGTGGGGTCCTACTGGCAGGGGCAGTAGCGTACGTAGGAGGGGAGCAGGGGGAGCGGCTACTTACAATTTATTTTACATCATAGCGAAGTAATGACATGCAGCTAGTAATTGTATATATATATATATATATATATATATATATATATATATATATATATATATATATATATATATATATATATATATATATATATATATATATATATAGGCCTATATATAATATATTATATAGAACGTGTTAAAAATTCGGCGGCTTTTTTTGCTCATTTCGCTCCCCCTACAAAGAAAACCTGGATACGCCTCTGGGCAGGGGTCATATTGAATGGGGCCGTTTTGGTCGGGAGACTAAATGTCTCTACGGGAACCGTATTGACATAGGCCTTTTGTTAGGATCCTAAATGATGGGAGTTTATTTGTCAAGAGTCGAAATGGTGGGAGCTGACGGGAGCCTATTTGTCAGGAGCCCTTTTACTATTATAATGCAGTTTAAGTTTAAATGTATTACTATAAAGATTCGACCCTCCCCCAACCGAATCCTGTCTATGCCACTGTTTTAAACCATAATCTTGACTCGACAATACAATACATGCTTTATAGGCGAATAGGCCTACTGGGCTACTGGTTTACTATTATAAGCTTTAGGACAATGCCTATCAATCATCAACTTGGTCCAGTGTGTTCAGGGATCGATCGAACGTCATACACCTGTGCGCGTTATGTAGCGTGCGTATTGCTTAACTCCAGGTCTGATGTCAACCTAGATCTATACAGAATGCAAGTTTTTAATTTATTTTTGGCGGTATTTGTTTTAGTACGCGTTTTCGTGACACACAAATTATTATTTTTTTTTGCAGTAGATAAATGAAAGAATAGATAGCTAGCCTATAGCTAATCCTAGTTCTAAGCCCCACCCCTCACCCACAGAGTTTCTTTCAGGCATCTCTTCGGGGGGAGCCCGAAATGAAATTTTTATTATTTATATAGAAAATATATACTTTTAACAGTGTCCGCCCCCCCCCCCCGAAGAAAGTCTACCCCCCCCCCCCGAAAATATCAAGTCCCCCCGGAGAAAAAAGTCTGGAAGAAACATTGCTCACCCCCCACCATCATCAAAACCAATCCGGTCCTTAGTTGTTTTGTTGATGTTTTTAGTCCACATGTTCTAAGGGTTCGTCCATAAATGACGTCACACTCGTAGGGGGAGGGGGGTTCGGAATTTTGTGACGGTGTGTGATGAGGGGGGGGGGGGGTTCAGGTGGTGTGGCGTCACACTTTTGCATCATAAAAAAGCAATGTTAGAAAACAAATTTTAGCCGTTATTTCGCGTTTTAGAAAACTGTTTTAATAAATTGTAATAAGAATTGATTAATCTGTTGACAGAGTTCAGACGAGATTTTGGAAAAAAATATCGTATTTTAAGAAAAATTCAACTGCAATTTTGAGGGGTGGGGGGGGCGGTTGTAGGCCGAGGTGTGACGTCATTTTATGGGGTGGTCTGGCTTTTTGTGACGATGTGTGACGGAGGGGAGGGGGGAGGTAAAAATCGTCAAAAAACGTGACGTCATTTATGGATGGCCCCTATGATGTGTCCATATTTTTAAACACAAGATAACGAGAACGTAATGCAGACTTTCATTTCAAGCTTGTGTGGATCATGTCCACGACGAGCCAGCGGGAGAGGTCCGAGAGCTCCACACACAGCAGGAATAAGTCTCCGGAGAGCTGCAGTTAGCGGCCCATATCGTAATGTTTTTAAATTACCGGGGGTGGAAGCGGACACTTTGTGACGTTGTAACGAGCTTCAGTGGGGGGGGGGGGGGGGGGTGTCGTGCCACAAGAGATGCGTGAAATAAACGAATCAGTCTTTGATACTTTCTTCATACAGTCAGTGGTAATGATTAATTATATTTTCAACTCTCACAATCCCTGCTGACAGCCATTAAAAGGCTACACCCTTAGGTAAAGCCTTCTCATAGGTCTGGTGTTACCTAGGACACGAGCAACACGACACGGCATGCATTTGTGTGTGTTTACCCAGATTTGGCGTGGCTATTATCTTTCTATCTACAGTTTCCATTGTTGCAGCGACAAGTGGGGTAAGTCTGACACAAGATAGTGTCTAGATTAGCTCTTACAAACTTCCCGGTCACAGCTTGGACCAACTAGGTTACCGCCCTTTAGTGTACCCCTGCTCACATCGTCTGCTGGCTACTTGTGATCCGGATATTGTAGTTGCTGGCTGATGAGAGGCTTGATGTGTTCCGTACATTTAAATCTTATGGGTTTTTTTTAAATGCTCTTTTTAAAGAGACTTTCAATCTAAATTTCCAAGATCAAACAATGTAAGCTTAATAGGGCTTGTAAGTCTACGGTCTCGAAATCTACTAACTGGCAAGTACGAGAACCAGAAGTTGTGACCTACTTACAAGCCCTATTAGTCCAGTATTAGTGCAGGTCTAGTCTCTGATGAGTATATTGTGAGACAGTATGCTACGTTTATTGAACATCAACTCGACCAGTCCGGATAATGGAAAGTACGTCAGAGAGGTTCTCATTTCCTATCTAGCTTGGTCCCCCAATGTGTTATACTACTTCTACAAAGCTTCCCTGGAGTGGAAGGAACAATTCAATAAAACCAACACGCAGTGATGAGCAAATGTTTAATGTGAACATACAGCAAGTTACATAACTCTATACTGCATTGGTGCAACGGGGAGATACTCCAACGTCTTTGCTATAAATAGCAAGGGTATTGTATTAATAGGCTAAGGCAATATCCGAAGCAAGAGAAATGTAGGAAGGAAATGCATAGCACTGCCAAAAATATAAATATATATATATTGTTATAATTAGTATCTGAAGTTAATCATCACAATCTCTAGGAATAAAAAAATATTTTAAAATACTAGGGCACAAATAAATGAAACTTCAATTTGTAAGTATTGCGATAATTCTTAGTACAAGTACAGGTAAATATTTCTTGAAAAAAAAGTCAAACATGAATATTAGTATAGTAGTTCTATAAATTTATCAAAAATGATTTCAAGTGGAACATAACCAAAAGAAGAAAAAATAAGCAACAATTCATTTTTATAAACATGTTACTTTCTTTAGCACAGTGAGAAATAAAGATTTAACAATTCTAAACATATGACTTTCTACAGCACAGTGACATGTAAAGAACAGCCATGGGTAAAATTATTAAAGACAATTCAGATTTGATGAAGCGCAACTAGAATAGGAAGCCAGAACATCGTTTTCATAGTCAGCTCTCCTGGGATGAGGTAATCTCATTTTTATAGTTCCTCTTGTCACTGGTGGAATCTACAGTGACTCATGCAGCACACATTTTTATTGCTATGTGAAGATAAATTTCAATTCCTCTGTTATTGGCAAAATGAGAGTGTTAGCAACCTTTTCAACATAAGCTTTCAAGGTAAGTAGGATCCAGGTAGAGTGGAGGGGGGCTTGCCACTAACACAACAGTTGTTCAGGTCAGTAAGTATAACAATTCCAACAATAAACAGATGATGCAATGTTGTAAAAACAAAGATATTAAAGAAACAATTTTTAGAATGTCAAGTTTTGCAAGAACCAATGTTAACTTGCTGGGACAACAGGATTTTTTGGTCTAACTGTAGGATGGAAGGTGTTTAGTTCACCTCTTGATCTGTGGCTTTAGTGAGGGGTCTGTAGGATGGAAGGTGTTTAGTTCACCTCTTGATCTGTGGCTTTAGTGAGGGGTCTGTAGGATGGAAGGTGTTTAGTTCACCTCTTAATGTGTGGCTTTAGTGAGGGGTTTGTTGGATGGAAGGTGTTTACCTCACCTCTTAATGTGTGGCTTTAATGAGGGGTCTGTAGGATGGAAGGTCTTTAGTTCACCTCTTAATGTGTGGCTTTAGTGAGGGGTTTGTTGGATGGAAGGTGTTTACCTCACCTCTTAATGTGTGGCTTTAGTGAGGGGTCTGTAGGATGGAAGGTGTTTAGTTCACCTCTTGATGTGTGGCTTTAATGAGGGGTCTGTAGGATGGAAGGTGTTTAGTTCACCTCTTGATGTGTGGCTTTAGTGAGGGGTTTGTAGGATGGAAGGTGTTTAGTTCACCTCTTGATGTGTGGCTTTAGTGAGGGGTTTGTTGGATGGAAGGTGTTTAGTTCACCTCTTGATGTGTGGCTTTAGTGAGGGGTTTGTTGGCAGCCCACCCCATGAACTTCATCCATAACAAAAAAAAGGATTTGAAACATTTAAAATAATTTAAACATAAGATTTTTAAATGTTGCAAGTAATATGTTTTAGGGATAAAAAATGCACCATTAAAACCCAGTAGCCATTCCTAGACAATGAGCTCTTTTTTTTTATTACCTTTCTGGATAAGATAAAATTTGCTCAGCAGTCTTCATCTAGTAATTTTATTTACTAACTAGTTTATTGATGCTTGAAGCTGGGTTTTTATTATCTTTACATCGTCTTCTTAAATATTTTTAAAAAACATTAATTACATTTTTTGAAGAGCAGATAATTCAGATTCTACTATACAAGCCAAGAAATTAAAATAAAGTAGTTGATTGCTAAAATCTCAGGTTATGAAAAAAATTACAAAAAATATTTACAACTACAACTCAGGGACTTCACAAGATATTGGTAATTCTAAAACCCTACAGATATTATGGTGCAGTATAAACAAATGCCAAAAGCTGCTTTAGAAACCAAGGAAAATTATGGATTAGACAACTGACAGTATAATCCAATTACCTTGGACATTTATCCATAGAAAATATTATTGAGGATTTTTAAAAGTATGGTATTGGAACATGCTCTACTTTTAAAAGATTATTAAAAACATCAAAATCACCTTTATAAAAAGGCATACTTTTTTATTTTTAAAATTAGAAAATATGTTAAAACAAGTTTTATTGTTACATAAGTGTGTAAACAGTTCTAAATTTCTTAATGAATTCATTTCAGTTGCCAAAACTATAGATTAGAACAAATCATTGATGAACAGCTTGTTATGTTCCAATATTCTCAAATGATTATAGAATTAAGAGAAACATCTAACTGTTACTGGAGTTTGCTCATCCACACATTTTGACACAAACTTTATTGGTATTTGAAGTTGCACAAATACGGTTCATATTTACTGTCAGGTAAGTTCCTTTATCTTAAAGACTGAAGAGGCCAATAAAATGTGGTTGCAAACCACAAGCAAAGTTATCAGTGCTGTCAATAATACTTCATAAGCCCTGTAGACTGCCCAGATTTTTGCTCAGCACTACAGTAAAAATGGTTTGTATTGCTGTGTAAATATCTTCAACTGAAGGTTGGTTGAAATATCCCCATTTCCACAATGTACAGTAGAAAATGTGCTTGAAAAATAAGGGAATCAAATCATTTCTAAATATTGCACATTGATTAATTTATGCATAATATGCATTTTATATATAAAAAACAAATTGTTCTTCATTCCGAATATTAACTTCAGTTGTGCAAAACATGCATTTATTAGGATTTCCTTGAATATACACTCACCCAATATTAATAAAAGAAAACAGCCTACGTTATCCAACAAATGTCATTTGAATAAATCAGAATTATCCAAGAATTATAACCTAACAAATATTGATGGACATGATAGCAGGACCCACCAAATTATCCTCAGCAATGACTGGTCCATGCTAAGAAATGTGTAGTAACGCCCTCCTATAAATTAGACACAAAAAAATTATGGCACTCAATTACGACATTTTGGTGAAATACTTCAATAACACAGCAGAAAGAGCTGTGAGCAGGTTGGACTTTATAAATAGGCCTTAAGACTTGCTTACTATATCTTATTGTACTGGCAGATAACAAGCAGTTTGCTGAGAATATCCTGGAAAATATATCCAGGAGTCCATAACTCTCAGCTTTACATGCTCATTTGCTCATGTTTATTTAAAATAATCTAGATAAAGTTTAATTTAAAAACAAAAGCCAAAACTATGGCATATAAGTTTATAAAATAATAAGTACAAAACGTACACTAAAAGTTGAAAATATTAGTTTCGTAATAATTATACAATTAAAATGTTTATGATTATATTGTTTAAATAAATGTAAATATACTATTAATTTGCATGCAATTACTGTGCAGTATTTCTAAAATAATAAAAAACAGGTATAACAATACTTGGACCAAGTTGGAAAGAATTTGTCATGTGACAAATGCAGTTCTTGTGTAATAACCATGTGTGACAGCAGTAACCAAAGCAGTTCAAACAAAAATGGTTGCCACTTGTTTTCATTTGCTCCTTTATTTTATCAATAGCATATCTGCAAATATTCTGCTCTACTAATTTAAAATCTAAAAGAGCTTAAAATTAGGTTAAAAATATATACACAGGGATGTTTAACAGTAACAGTTTTATTTTCTAGGTAAATGAATAATAAATTGTTGGATCTAATAAAGTTATTGCACAAAGAAATCAATGAAACAAGATCCAAAAATATTTTATTTCAACCACCTTGAAAATAAAATCATTTCAGTTACATATTTTTAAATATTTGACACAACTTGCAGAGTATGTACAGAAATTGTGAAAATATTTTACAAGCATGTACATTTGTACACACAGAACTATTATATCATACATTATGCACTAGACTAAAATTAAACAAATATAAATTATCCCTTTGAAGAAAAATATAGCAAAACATTTTCTTAATCCAAGAATAAAAGTGACTAACTATAAAAATGAAAGGATAACATTTTCTTTGTAAGTGAAGACAATAGGCATCATTCAATGCCGCCACACAAATAAGTTTATTACATTAACTATAATTGGAATATTGAATCAGCTCCAATAAACAGAATATAAAGCAGTTTTTAAGTATGTAAGACAAATTATTAAAAACAAACACTTCTATTAAAAGGTTTTTCAATGTCAAAAATTCGAAAAATAATATTTTACAACTTGAAGAAAATGTGTTGACAAATGTATAATAACTCTTTAAAAAAAAATCTCTGTGCATGGAATTGACCAAAATATATCAACACTAAAAGAAACAAACCTACCACTGATTATAATATTAATAATGATAAAACTATAGGGAAAAAAAACAATATACACACACAAAACTTAACAACTCAAAAGTTAATGCTGATAATCCTTTAATAAAGTAACTGATATTAGATATTTTTCTCCATTTTTGTTTGAACATGAAAGTTTGAAATATATGTATAATCTATATGTTATAATAAAATACCACTGATTTCATACATTAGATTTATAGGTTAACTTAGGAATCTGGTAAAAAAAAACTCCCACAATCTGAAGAAAAAAACTAGATATCAATGGACAATAAGGAGGCACATATTTTCATGAATGTTGGCTTAGTCTGATGTCCCACAAGTTAACCTAGTCAATAATATCATAGAGTTTCCATACAATCTGCCAGAAACTCTATTTTAAAAGTTTTTCTATGAAACTAAGAAGCAAGCGTAGAAGCACCATCACGTTTAGATGGTGGTATTAGGTGGTCGGGTAGTGTGTTGGGCAGGTCATGACCTTCTAGCTTAATTTTTATAAGGTGATTAGCAAGAGCCCATTCATCAGCATCTAACATTCCATCCCGATCAATATCCGCTAACTTCCAGACTTTTGATAGAACTGTATTGGGAAGTTTGGATTTCACCATCTCAGATTTAGCTGCAGCACCAGAAATTTTACCATTGACAGGGTTCAGTTTAGAGAAGGAGTCATCATATTCATATTTGCTGGCCTCAACAACCCATTCGTGCTCTCCACGCCCTGCGTCAACACCTTCACCCCGTCCTACACCAAAAGGACTTTCAGTGTAGCCTTCAAAAGCTCCGCCATGTATGTTTCCATTAGCTAGTTCATTGTGAGCCATTTCTGACTCCTCAGCTGGGATCATCTGCATCAATTTGGCTATGTCATTTGCAAGCATAGAGTCAACAACTTCTAAGAGTTTGGGTTTAATCTGAAAGTCAAACAAAATGTATTCAAGTAAGAGCAGCTATTAAAAAAAAGTGCCTTGATGGACAAACAATCAGGAAATGACTATAAAGTGTAACTTCATTTTAGTGAAAAGACAGTAAGCCCGCTAGAACCAAAAGAGAAAGTAATCTAAGACCATCAAATGTCTAAGAATTTAGATCACAAGTCCAAATTAATGTTATAACATTCATAACAACAAAAGATTTGACATACCTGATGAAATTTGCTAAAGTCTTGGTGTTGAAGCTGTTCTTGCATTCGCTTGCAGTTTGGGAAGTCACCTGGTGAAATCTGATGCTCACGCTGCAACTGGGCAAATATATCTGGCAAACGGGCAATGAGCTCTTTTTTCTTTGAGTCCTTTCCAAACATGGAGGGCATATCTTTTTTTAGCTGTGCTATAATGTAGGCATGTACCTGAAATAAAATACCTTCTGTAATAAATACAGTTAAGACTGTTCCAAATAAAATAGTAAAATATTGCGTATATTTATCACAATTGTATAAAGTATTAAATAGAGTTCATAGATAAGTGTCTATTAGGATATCTCTTATTGATCAATGACCCTATGATAAATGAGCAAGTCATGAGAGATTTGAAAATATTTTTTGCTGTCCTTGAGCTTTGCTATCACCTCCTTTGTTAGCACATTAATGTGATTTTGACTTTAAGCATATACAAATACAGCACCCATTAAAAAGGTTGACATTTAACTACTCATTTATGCCCAGCATGCACCATGTTTTCAATTTATGCTGTTTGAAGCTGTTGAGCAGAACAATGAAAAGCCATGAGTCATGTTCACAACTTAGGCAGCAACAGCTTTCATATACATACATTTACTTGAACAACAGAACTGGGCTCTATCAAGAGATTTAAGAATAAAACTGCAATTATTTTATGAATGAAGCACTTTTAGTTTTGAAATACAAGTTAGTAAAAACTAAACCTTGACTTAAAACTATTTTAGTAACTACAGCAACAAAAATGCGTAAGTGCATTTAAATGAGTTTACTGTCTTTTGTTTTTTTAGCTCTTTTTAAATTGTGAAAATATACCTGTTTTCTAACCACTAGTTTTTAAATAGTTATATAATAAGCACTAAATTAAGTGGACCTAGAACAAACACCCCCCCCCCCCCTTCCCTTTAACACCTGTTCACAATGAGTCATTAACTGCTGATCCCTAGCACAGCAAAGCTAAAAGACTACCAGTATGTCACCTAGTATGAAATGGTAAAATAGAAGTTTAAAATACTGTATAACAAAAGGAGTAGCTTATAAAATGCTGCTTGTGTGGAAAAAGCAATGTGGAAACAATGCAAAACTAGCCCACTAAAAGCTAACATTCTGATTAAACTATACTTTGTTAGGAAGAGTTGACAGTGTCCAGTAATATTAATGATTCAAAAGAGGGAATAAAGCTAACGAAAAGAGAGGACATGTAGGATTTTCTAAAATATTGAACTTGGTTGTTGATTTTTAGTTGCATGTATTAAAACAAAGTAGGACTTAACATCATACTTTGCCAGCACTATTCTATAATTTTCTAGTTGCTATATATATTTGACTTTCAAAATTTTTTCAATAAATACTAAAATTGAAACATCTTTCCTGTATATAAATGTTATATATAAACTAGACTATCCATTGACAGAAAACTTAAATAATTTTAAAAATCAGCTTGCTTAAAAAATAATTAAGAGGAATAGGCCAACAATAATTTAGTTCAAGCTAATGTCTTAATGTAAAAATTTTGAAGTGCTTTAATTTCTAACTCTTAGCAAAAACAAAGAAATAAAATGAACAAGCGAGACATTCAAATGCAATCAAATTTAAAAAATGTTTAGGGTAAGGATGGGGGGGGAGAGGAAGTTATGTTATGAGTATGAGATTGATTTGTGACAAAAGGTCTTGGAACTGGTTGTGGAGAAAGGGGTATAAAAACAGGCTTAATTCATGGACAATGAGTAGTTGTATAAGAAAAGTTAATTTTTTCATTCAAGCTAAAAGAGAATTTACTTTAACTGAACCAAACTGTTTAAAAGAGGGTTACTTTTAACAAGCTTTTATTTAGTTCGCAATGTCTGTTTGAGGCAAATCTTGAAACTTATTGTAACTCAATTCTAATGCAGTGATTTTGTTCAAACTTTCCAGATACACTCCACTTTGATGACAATACAAGTCTATTTATTTTTTTATTTGATTAGATGTGTAATTAGTCATTAAAAATAAATTAAACGGTTTCTAAATTAAGGGGAGATAATAGATTATTATATTCTATAAAAGTGGAGACAACTAGCTAGATGTGATCACCCTAAAAGTCTGGTGAGCAGTGGTTCACGTGAATGTTTACACACATAGAACCTGTCGATCTAATAAAGGCTAGTTGGGGTAAATAATAGTTTTTAAATGATTTGAAACCAAGGGGCGGTAGAAAGATTAAGAACTATCCTTTGCTACTGATAGTGCTTAAAAGCAAATATTTTAGTTGTGTCGACTTCATAAATTTGAAATCACTAAAATGTAGAAAAAACAAATATAAAAACATTTATACCCAACAAGCTTTAAAATGCACTGAAAATAATAAAACTTATTTACATTTTTTCATAAAAGCTTTAGTTGCTCATGAGATCTTTTTCATATTTTAGCTACAAAAGCTTTTATTAAAGAAAGTAGGCCTAAATGAATTTTATTTTATTATTTTTAGGGCATTGAAATTTAATACTTTAAAAGCTTGTTTCTAAAGGTTTTTTATATTTGTTGCATTAAAATTACAAATGCTATGCTACATAGCATTTAATAAAGACCCTGTTCCTACCTTGGAAGTTTTAATCTTCTTTTCATTCAGCGAGGGTTGAATTGTTGCTTTTTTTAATACGATAAATTTTGTCCTGAATTTTAGTGTTTTCTGCTGAAAAACTCCTGGAATTCCAGGTTCACTTAGGTGTTGGAACCCTGATTATAACATTTTGTAGTATTGAGCAAAATCAAAAGTGCATTAAATAATAAAAGTTTCTGCTGTTTTTATTTTTAAAAGTGTAACTTAAGAGGTTGTTTTTTTTAGTTTTAAGATTATTTAAGTTGTTATTGCTGTTTTAAAGGTCATAAAAACAGGTGAACTTTAATACTTTAAATCTGATTTCTTGCGTATAGTGAGATATAAATATGATGGTTAAGTCTATGTGAGGACAGTGGAAAGATTAAACTGGAAAGGAGGTACATCCATGTGTATGGGCAAAAACCTGATCAAAATTCTGGTCAGACGGCATCTATGCACAGGGATACTAGATACACATCTGATTCATAACGAAATGTCAAATTTAATATTAATTACCTTTGCTAATCTTGCTCTTTTGATGAGATCATTTAACTTTCTTAAAGCAGCATTTCTTGGCAACATTTGAAGATCTTTAAACAAGTCTTGCTCTTCTAATTCAAAGAGTCGCCGATTCATATCAAACTGCAGTGGCTGATCCCAAAATGACCCAATATAGACTCTAGCAACTTCAGGTGTATTTAGTACCTTCCCTAGTGACCACATAAGAGCACCATAAACACGCATAAGTTGCTGATGATCAACCATATCTGCTTTATTTAGGACAATGCGAATTTTATCATCATGACCTTTAATAGCCTCGATGGCTCTTCTGAATTCATCAGAAATATCCAACTTGTGTGCATCAAACAGCAAGATTATTCTATCAACTCGTTCTGCAAACCATTCTAGGACTCCGGCAAAATCATACCCTCTGTCAACTCTTTGTTTTTCTCCAGATAAAATACCAGGTGTATCAACAATTGTAATACTGTCTAAAACAGGATTTTTCATATGAGAACATTGAAATCGGTTCAAAAATGCATTCCCAAACTTAGTTAAGGGTCTGAATTGTTTCTTGGGGTCAACGACAAGAGCATTTCCTGGTATCACTCCTTCTGACTCAGCAGTCATTACTGCTATAAATCTGTCTGTGGTAGGTTCTGGGCCAATTCGAATTCCAGGAAAATCTTGTTCCAGTAAATAACGAATAAATGTGGTTTTACCAGTAGAATATTGTCCTATCAAAAGAATCATTGGCTTCGCATCAAAATCTGGATCATCTAATTGCGGGGAATGAAAATCATGAAATTTGTAAGTTTCCTCGAGTGGGAGTAGCTTGTTTCTGTAGATTTTCTTGAGCCCCTCAACTACATTACCAAACACCTCTGGTTCTTTCTTGCGCTGATTATCACCTGACATCCACCTCATCATGGTGGTTCTTTAGAGATTCTCGCAGAGTAAAAAAAGAATATACAGCTCACCCTAACAAACAAATGAAACCTTGTTGTTTCAGAAATCTGATCTGGATTTTAGATCTCGAGCTGAATTCCTAAGTTCACACACTGTTTCACTCCCGAATGATTAACAGGAAATATGTTGTTAAATAATTAGTGCGCATGCTCGGAACCCCGCCTTTCCCTTTGAACCCTAGGCTATTTGAACTTTGAAGGTTGAAATGCTGACGTCAAGGTAATGTTTTGGTTTACACAAACAGAAACAAGAAAGGAAATTCAGACAATTATTTTTAGATTTCTTTATCCATTTTGTAAAATTAGGCCTACAATCCAATTGTGGTAAATAGTCTAGTAATACACTCTGTATTGTACATAATTGTCATAATTCAATCAAATACTAATAAACTACCCTATTATATAATAAATAATGGTAATCTATCGTTTTAGGTACATAAAATCGCCCGCGACTAGTAATGTGAAAAACGGGTGACTCCTTACATTTTAATAATTATTTCACGTTTTGAGGAGGATTTATGTTTTGAAAAATACAAAAATGTTTCCTTGTTTCATTTATGTACCTGTTTCTACACAATTGAATTAAAACTTTTCAGTAATAAATGAACACCAGCGATGTTTCCAACAGATGCAACCATGCTCATTTACTATAGCAGCCATCTTGTTAAAGTTTTATTTTTATAGACTTTTAGCGCAAGATTCAGGCGGAAGTCACTCTATTTTACAAATGGCTGCTGTTTATATAGCAAATCTTGCTTGCAGACACTGCTGTTTAAAGTTAATTTCGGGCCTATATTGATATATTTAGCCATTGATTTAGGTTTATTATTCATTTATCTATAATATTTGACACAAACATATCACAATATACTTCTATTACAGCCTTGACAATGAGGTAACGTTTTCGTACATTAATAGTCGCGGGCGATTTTACGTACCCAAAACGATAGATTACCTAAATAATAAAGGCAAAGTTAGTTGTTAGGGCCTATTACATTAGATATTAGTGTTATTAAACCAATTTTTAAAGTAGATTTAAAATTTAAAAATAAAAGTTAAAAGTAGGCCTATAGTATACTAGTATAGTATATTAGTATATTATTATATTAAATATTTTTGTGTCGAATATAATGGATAATTGAATAATAAACCAAAAGCAATATCTAAATAGTAAATATATAAATAAAGGCCAGAAATTAACAGCCTTGTTTTCGAGCAAGATTTGCTAGTAGACAGTCTATAATCTATATTATATAATCAGCTGCCATCTGTAAATTAGAGTGGTTTCCCCTGAATCTCTAGCTAAAATGTTACCAAAAAACTTAAACAAGATGGCTGCTAAAGTAAATGAGCTTGGTTGCATCTGATGAAAACATCGCTAATCTTTATTTATTACTCAAAAGTTTTAATACAATTGTTTAAAAACAGGTACATGAATGAAAGTTTGAAACATTTTTGTAACTTTTAAATCATAAATCTTTCTAAAAATGTGAAATAATTACAAAAATTTGATGAGTCACCATTTTTTCACATTACTAGTCTTGGCCGATTTTACGTACCTAAAACGATAGATTACCGATATTAATATAGAAAATAATATATAGGCCCATATCTAGTAAACATCTTCTGTCTACTCAAAAATATACTGTACTTTGATAGTACTATCCTAAGTATCCTTTAAAATAAAATCAATCATGACATATATATCTCAAAATACAAAATGGGACAGTCACAATACAATCAAAGCCTGCATGTTACAATAACAATTTAATCATCCTAAAAATCGTGTTCAAGTTCTTTCCTGTAATGTAAAAATGTATCCTTGAGTTATGTTGTCAATGATGATGGCTGGTCTCTCCTTGCTAATGTATGTAGATCTATGGTCTCTTGTATGTGTGTAAACCAGTGGTATTATGTAGTGTAAGCCTTGGCTAGGTTGTTTATTGGTTTGAGTGGTTGAAATGTTGGAAAGCTCAGACAAGCAGTGAAAGTGTTGTGTAGGTCTGGTGTTTCTTATCTGTGATGGGTACATGGTGATGCCATTGTCTGAAGTCTATGATCATCAGCCATCATGGTTGGATTGTTTAATATTCTGTTTAACATATTTCTAACTATATCTTTGTGTCATCACTGGTAGTGAGAAATCTTTTTTTCATTCAAACTTTATCGATAACAATGCAAGGGTATCTAATTTTTATTCGTATTAGGTAGACAATGAAAGTGGCCAAGTTTGATTGAGAATTCAGATGGGTTTGATTGTTATCTTGTTGTTACTTTCTCGTATATACGAAGTATAGAGAAAGTATTGTAATCGTGCACAAAAATCACTTGAAATTTTAACAATTTTCACCGTATTACACCTCAGACCTTCATCACATCCGAAGTATAGAGAACTTATTTTAATCGGGCAAAAATTATCAATCCAGATTTATCAAAATTAAGAGGTTTTATACGTAATCTAGTCTGAAAAACTGGGCTTTGCAATTCTGTCCGTATGTCTGTGTGTCTGTCTGTCTGTCCGTGTGTAAACACGATAACTTGAGTACCGTAACAGCTAGGTTGATGAAATTTCATACATAAGTATTTTATCAAAATCGTAGATCCGTATCAACTTTTGAGCGATTTCCGATAACCGGAAGTGGTACTTTTTCTACTTTGAAATTTTCAAAAGCCTATAACTTGAGTACTATTTCAGATAGATAAATGAAATTTCACATGTAAGTAAAAGATCTAATTCTCTACCTTCTGTTAAATTTGTATTAATTTCCATTGACCGGAAGTAGTAATTTACGCTACTTCCGATTTCTCAAAAAACTAATGTAAATTTTTAAAGTACTAATAATATTTCGCACTTTTATGCACTTTTTTATTTGGCGTTCACTTGATGTGCAATTCTTTTGTCTACGAGATTTTATTCTATTTTTAAAACTTTAAGTATTTAAAATGGATTAAAAATCATGTCTATAGCCCGAGTTCCCATCCCCTGTTGTTTTATACAAGAATATTCGAGAAAGTTTAGGGGAGATCACTCCCGTTTTTTTTTTTTTTTAATTTATTTTGCCATCAAAGAAGCCATAAAAAAAAAAAAAATTAAAAACCTTACCCTGAAAGTAAAAAACAAATATTTGTGTGTGTCTAAAGCTACATTTCTTTTTATTTTCATCAAGTCTAAATTATAACCTGAAGTTTCACAATAATTTGCTGTATGTATAAGAACTGCATTATATAAATTTTGAAAGCATCACTTTAAAGTCATTTGTACTAAAAACTTTAGTAATAAAACAGATAGTATTAGTTACCTCACAAGTTAAAGACAGTTACAAGTACTATGGACGTTTCGACCCAAGGTCTTCGTCAGCACACAACAGTGTGATTACAGATTAGACAAATAAAGACAAACAGTAACACATTTTTTGACTTAGCTCGACAGTGAAAACACGTCTTGTCTGCTAGCCACGATATCCAAAAGAAAAGACGCGTGAGAAGGACGCTTGGACACCGTATAGGGGTGGGGTTGGGGGCGTGGTGTATGCGGGAGGGGGGGGGGGTTGTTAGGTGAAAGATATCTGTTCATTCAAGCCATCGGGTGCCCGTGTACCAAATTTAAGTATTAGTCGCGTTTCAGTGCTAAGGCGATTTTTAATTTTGTGTAACCGCCGTTCGGTTTTGCCACCATTTGTTTTTTTTATCTTTTTACTAAAAACTTTGCAGATTGAATTCTAAAATTAAATAAAAAACCCACATTACCTAGTTCAGCCTTGTTTGTTGGATTTTCAGTGATAAAATGAAAACTAGCAAATTGTTTTTGGCTTTTTAAAAATTGTGTTTATCGAAATTACTAAATACATCCAATCATTAGTTAAGACAAAAGCTTTATAATAAAGATTTTATAACCACATTTATTTTAATAACACACATGATTTTTTAAATATTTAGTAAACCATTTGAGATTATTTGCTGCTGCCTCTTAAGTGATTAATTTTTAAATTTTTTTAAATTCCTCAATTTAGTAACAAATTTCAAGTGATTACTCCATCAGCCTGTTGATATTGATTAAGTGTTTTTTTTAGCTGAGAGTCGACCACGAACTAAGAAGGGGTAGATAACTGTATTTTAGAGATCGCAAGCTACTGATTGGGTTTTAACAATTTTAATGCAAATATTCTTAATCATTCACAGCATATGCTGTGTCAACTTGATTTAGAATGACTTATTAAAAAAGCATTTATAATAATAAGCCTTTAAAATGCGCTGATAATAAGAAACTAAAACAAAGTTGCTTTATTCAATAAAAGCTTTGGTCACTAAAACATGTACAAGATCTCATTAGTGAGATATAACTTGTTATGTAAGTCAAGGATATTACTGAGTACCAAATTTTATTTTCAGGTCATAGGCTCTTGTCAAAGTTTTTATCCAGTGTTATTTTTCTGGAGGCAGTGTTATTTTTCTGGAGATCATTTTCTCATGGGGCGAATATTTCTGCAGCACATTGGTGGCTCAAGACTTTTCACATGTGGCAACTGCAATATAGCCCTAACTAACAGAGCAGAATTAATATCAACTCGGTTTACAGGTAACAGTTTTAGTTTAGATATGTTTTGCAGTCAGGATCAAGAACACTGGTCTATACAATCTATTGTTGTAATTCAGGTGATAGTTTGACCTGTGTCGTTAGAACAGCGCATACATTACCTATAATCCTTTGTAATTAAAGTTACTGTATACAGACAGTTTTATTGCATATATTGTTTTTGTGGGGGATTTAAGGCTCAATACCTGTTGAGAATGAGTGATTACCTGGACATGATGTGCTTCAGATGCTTGAATGTAGTTGTTGTTCTTTTCTGTAGACTAATAGTTATGAAACATTAATTACACTCATTCTGTTTACTCTGTAACTAGCTTCAGCAAAATTCTTTGACAATATGACATAATTTTATCAAAACAAATTATCACAAGGTCGTAAAAAGTAGTTAAATTCTTTTTCTTTCCAACAGGTGCAACAGGCAGAGCATTTTTATTTAATCGAGTTGTAAATCTTCAGTACAGTGAAGTTCAAGATCGTGTTATGTTAACTGGGCGCCACATGGTGAGAGATGTTTCCTGCAAGTCCTGTAACTCTAAACTTGGCTGGATTTACGAGTTTGCCACTGAAGACAATCAGAGATATAAAGAGGGGCGTGTAATTTTAGAGAGAGCCCTAGTTCATGAAGTTGATGGTATGGATGAGCCAATTGTGAATGATAGCTAAACAAATTCATTATTTCGTTGTGCTACACTTATTATGCATTGTAAATTTTCTGATATTATGTTGATAGTTTTATGTCCAATATAAGTGTAAAGGGTCTTAAACACTTAAAGTTGCATCACATTGTGTATATTATTGCTAGTACTATTTCTAAGTGCTAAAATATGTTTGGTGACGGGATTTTTATTTTTTGTGAGCAGTGATTTGAGGGGGGGGGGGGTGATAGTGGTCATATAGAGTTGTCCTGATTGATGATTATTTTATTTTTTTTAATTTTTATCATCTTTTTGGCTGAAGCTCAGATCTTAATTTATGATAGCACAGAACATCACTTAGTTATGCTTCAGGAAAGGTTAAACTCATGCCTCTATGCATTAGTAGCATCAAGTAAGGCACAGGTTGTCATAAAAATCAAAATACCCTATTAATCTAGTCAGTCCATTGGCCTTTTAAAGATTTTCTATTTATTGAATATGACAGAGAGTTAGATACAATGTTAAAGTCTTGCATCATACTGTGTGTTTTCATTAACTTTTAAATTTCAATTCAATTTTCAAATTGAAAAGTTTTTTTGCAAATAATAGTAACATTATTTCTCTGCTGTATTGGTTCCAATTCATTTTTTATATCTTTCTTTTGTTGTGAATTTAAAACCTAATTTAGCATGTTAACTAATTTTGTATTATAAAAAGGTGGAAATTATACTTGGCAGCATTTCCCAAACATTTTTTGTTAGTGAGATTAGTTTGATTACTGCAACTGGAATCTAGGTTGAATATTAAATAAAATAAAAAAGGCAACTTTAAGTTTAGATAAAGTAAAAAATGCATTGTTTCTAATGTTAATGACATTAAGTTTACAAAAGATATTTGACTTTAATGCAAATTGACTTCTTAATATTTCTTATTTGCAAAAATCAATTGCTGTCAATTTTTTTAGTTTTAGGCTGATATCAGTAGCTGTTGCTTGTTTAGTTCATGATAAATGTTCTAATTTATTTACAATAGAACACCTAAATTGTATTTAAAATTGAAGGTAGTCCTAAACTATAAAAGCTATTATGGACCCTAATGGTTGACTATCAGTTTTTGGAAAATTATTAATCATACAACTCATAATAAAGCACTGACGTTAACAGTTATAACTAGAGATGAGTACATCTTTTTCAACTAGCAAAAGATTAGTCTATATGTTATGCGATAAACACTATTTTACTATCATGGTTGACATTATTTCCTGTAAATACACATTTAACTTACTTTGTGCATGTATTATATACCATGAAGGGGACTGATGTTTATTTCTTTGGTTAAATGAATGCAAGACGCAACTGGCTGCACAAGCTTAGATTATAAATTAAGGTTAGGTATTGTTTGTAATTAAACATTTTCAACTGCACTTTATGTTCTAGGGTTTTGGGGAGGTCTCAAGATATGTTTTTATGCTGAATGGATTTCAAAGTAAATGATACAGTACAGGGTTTTACTGCATTGGCAAAAACACTTTGTTTTATAATTGTTTCATTAACACCAAACATAAGAGTCAGTTTATAAATTTTCAGTCATCACTGATATTGTTTCCTGCTTCTTTGCTCATTTGTATACATTGATTTTATTTTCATTCAGTTTTTTCATTCTTTCTCTGTAAACTAATCATGAGTGCCTAACATCGTTCAGTTTTGAAATTGCCCATGCTAATGATATGGACAAACAGAATTAAATTTATTATTTCACTAGCTTCATAGATCTCTACAACATTCTGTGCATGAATCCTTATTTGTGCTAAATGTCAGGCATAAAAAGCGTTATGGTTTCAAATTTAACAATTATTTTCATGTTTAGGCATTTTCCACTATAATTGAATAATTGTTGGTTTAGTTTCAATTTTAGCTCAAATATAGATACATTTTGTACTTAAACTAGGTGTGTTGCAGGATTCGTTTTTGTTGCACTTAAATGTACCAGGTCCATAAAACTATATGAAAGACTTCTTTCATAGACTAAAATCTGGGACAGGAAGTTTACATCAAATTCCATTCTTTGGTTGAGACATCCTTGACCTCTTACAATTAAGTTTTAGTTAAGACATTCAAAATTTCTTTAGATCTCAAACTGTGATTATTGTACCAAAGTAGGGGAGGGGAGACACCACGCTTATTTCTTCATATGGTGGTGCAACTGCACGACATTAAGTTTTTAAAATTATCTTTATATTAAATGATTTAAATAGGATGGACAATATATATTTGTGTTCAGATTAATTCTAAAATTCTTAAGTGTGCAGAGGGTAACAATAAGATGGTTTACAAAATAAAGATGAAATTATAATTTAGATAAAAACATCTTTATTAAACTGGATGTTATGAGTTAGTGTTATTTTTACACTTAGCCATGCAGCAATATTACCATTCCATCCATCCATTTCAACCTGATAAGTTTTTTATCAAAAAATAAAACTAAAATGATAAACAACTTTTTTATGGTAAAGGATTATTTGATCTTGCCTGTAACTTTGGAGCAGGTTTGTGTGATGTATAATGTACCAGTCTCTAAATGTAAGGTTGAGGCAAATAAATGTAGAGTTGTGGGATCCTGTTCTGTGTTACGATAATTATTTCTGAGTATATGTTTTGTCAAGGCAATGAAATGCTGCTTGCATCAATTTCCTTTTAAGATTAACACTGCGTTTAAACATGTTAAATTATTCTTACTTGTTTTTAATGATCTCATGCATACTATCATTATAAACTTAAATGTCCTTTGCCATGCTACAGCCATTGGCTGAACATGTCTGATAAATGTTTTGTGAAATTCTATAGATAACATCTATGAAAATAAAACTGTTCAGTGCTTTCCCTAGTTTATTTCTCAAACAGTGATTGCACTTTTTTTTCAATTGTTACATTGTCATTTACAAAGTAGACAAAACATGAGCAAGTCAACAATTTTTATTTCTTTCTAGTCGTAAATGCTTTTTATAAACTATTTGGTGTATATTTTTTCTGTATTCATCCGTTTCCTCCATTATGCTTCTTTCTTTTTTGCGCCCTGACAAACATAGAAGATCCTTCACCATTAATGAATTGACATTTCTTGCAGGCAGGGAGATAACACAGCCCTTTTTGTCCACTTTTATTGAAAAGTTGTGTTTGGGTTTACCCACATCGTTTTTAACATTCTGTGAAGTGGGAGCTGATTTTGTCTCTGGTAGACATTCAAACATTTTTGACTTACTCTCTGGATGGCTGTTACAATTTTTCTTAAAATGATCAGGCAATACACTTTGGTCTGAATATTTCTGTTTTGCCTGACAAATGCCAATCATTTGTTGAATTTTAGTAGAACTCTTTGGTGTCGATTTCTGAGCTTTAATCTTGTTTTGAAATGCAGGTTTGAAATTCTTGAGCAATGCTTCATTACCTTTGTGTTTAGAACTATTTTGGCTAGCTCCACCCTTTTTCTGACACTTGTCAAAATTTAATTCTAAGCTACCATCTTTGTTACCCCAAGTCTTCATAACAAAAACTTGTGATTTGCTCTTCCCTTGAGAATTTTTCTCACTATTATGTGGGTTGATACGTTCATTTAGCAATCTTGGTTTATGCGAACTGCTACATGCAATATTACTAGGGGGAGGTTCTGTTAAGCTCTTTGCTTTTTTGGCCAGAATTAAAATAGGTGCAACACTGGTAACCAAAACGTTAGATTTTGACAAAGTATTTTCATTTTTATCAAGTTGCTCACTTGAAGAGAAGCTACACAAGGGTTTTTGAAAATGATCATTTCCATGAAGGATTTCATCAGGTCGATGTTTATTTAAGTTCAAGAGATTATCACAGCCAAAAATTTTTGTAAGGTTATTTTCAAGATTCACCAATTCTGAGGTGTTTCCATTATCTTTTATATGTGAATATTCACTGTTTGGAAAAGTGGCAGGGTTATTATGCCTTTCTGTCTCTTGAAAAAAATTGTTTGGAAACTCATTGTCAAATAATATGTCAGAAAATGATCCACATTCATCAGTAACTTCAAAGTCTTTTGCAAATGAATGTGTTTCATCATGATCTAGATCTCTCATCCATGCTTCCAAAGAACTTTCACAGTTAAAAGTGATTTTATCACTTGAATGCATCAAAGGATCTCCAGACTGAGAGTTAGAATAATTATGTATTTGACCTGTGCGCTGGTTCTGACTTGTTGGATAGAAATTTTCTGAATAAAAATCACTTTGATCAAATTGTAATTCAAGCTTTGAAGAATGCATCCAATTGGAGCATGAATTCAGAACATCTCCATCACAAATAGCATCAAAAGGGTCAAGAGATTCTCCCAAAATTTCATCCTTTAGATCTGCTACTTTATCACTGAACATTTCCTTACTTTGATTTGTATACATGTCAGGTACACTATCATCTTGTGAACACAATTCTACATTATTTCTAAAATTAATTAGCTGATCATAGACAAATTCAGAGTCTGTTGCATTAAGCACAGTACATTTAGAAGGTAGCAATGTTTCAACTTTAACATGGTTGTTATCATCTTCATGACTGATCTGTGAGTAGCCTGTAATGTTTTCATCTATGGAACTCATCTAAAAAAATATATATAATTTAGAAAATATAAGCATCATTCTAATCATGACATTTTATTTTTTTTAAACAAAAAGAAGAATCTATGTCTCATTGTCATTTACAAGATCAGATCAAATAGCTTCATATATCTTATTAAAGAGTTGTGTGGCCAGAAATTCCTAGCAGCTCAGTTGCACTATTTTAACTCTTGAAATTGAAGGAAAAGGTGTCTTAAGTAAGTAGGCCATTGCATTAGATTTGATTAACCTAATAGAAAGAAAACCTTGTTAAAATAATCTAATTTTGACATTCTTAAATATTAAAATAAATTATTCTGTCTAGTTCAGAAACAAGTCTAAGAACTTTAATAAGAAGTGATTTAATCTGAACTTACGTTAGCAGTAAGTTGAGTAAGGTTGTGAGTATGATGACTGGCCTTAGTAAGTACTAAATAGAGTCTATACTAATAGTATATTAAATTTAATAGGCCTATTACTATTTAGTATTTTTATTATTTTAATATAATTATTAACTATAGGATAGGCCTAAGTAAATAAGAAACCAGGTGCAATACTATTATATTATTATGATTACTTACTAGAATAATCTCTAATAGGTTATAGAATATAGATTATAGATCTAGAAATCTATATCCTATCCTATAACTGAACTAGGGACCTAAGTATAATTAAAAATTATAGAGATTCTACTAGCCTACGTCTAGGTCTCTAGTCTAACTACTCTAAACTCTAAACTAAATCTGGATTCTAGTTATTACTAGGGCTAGTCTAGTTAACTAGATCTAGATTTAGAATCTAGTTATTAATTATTTTTTTTTGCAATCATCAGTCCTAAAAAATGGCCAAAATAATATTACCTAATATATTATCAATTAATATACACTCTGCCTCTGTCTGCATACACTTCATAATTCATAGTTATAGTACTTCATACTTCATAACATAAAGTTTTGATAAATCACTACACTCACTAGAAAGATCTAGATCTACACACACACAGATGACACTGCTGAGTGAACACTAACGTCTAACACTGTGATTGTCCGTCCTGTTGTAACTTACTGATTACGGTGTAGTTATTTATAATATAATAGATCTATATTATATAGATAGTGTATAGTAACATACTATTATAACACTAGGCCTATATAGATCTAGATCTATATCCAACATAAACAAAATTCAATAATCAATAGTAGATAGGCCTATCTATTATAGTTCGTATTTTACTGATTGAAAAACAACTCAATTCCTATTTGAAGTATTCTATAAAAACTTTTACACCAAAGAGTTCAATGTCAAGATATTATACATTTCGCATTTTAAAGCGTTTTATTAAGTGTATATTTTGTACATATTTAGATCTAGATGTTAAAGTAGGTAGTCCAAACTGGCGAAAAAGTGCGTTTTAGGGTCAGTTTTTGCGGTTTTCAAAAAAAAAAATGTCACTACTTCTAGTTGTCCTATAAGAATAAAAATTTTATGTCAATAAAGTATAAGTCTTTATCTGTCGTAATCTGGTATTTTTATATATGCAACACATGTTTGAATGTGTTTTATATTTGTTTGAAAAGTATCAGTTACGTCAACAAATTTCACCGTTTTGCGTGTACCGATCGACCCCACACTGTTTTATTTGGTCGCGGCTTCGCGACGAAGCATCGTAGAAGCATAATCTTAATGTCATTTTAAAGATCGAATTCTAGGCTATCGTTTGATGTATAAATTGAAAAAATAACTTGTTTATTTCATTTAAAAAATACAGATTTTAAACTGTAAATGACGATATATACACGGAAACAAACTAATTCTGTTTAAATTTTTACACCGATGTAAAGTTCAGTTTTATAACTACTTTGTGTTGTAAATTCAAGTATTTCTGATTTACGGTCGCGAAGCCGTACCCCCAATAAACATATAACCCTCGAGTCGACTTTCAGCCCCGAGTAAGTTGCTCGCCGAACGGTTTTAAAGGTTGACGACCGATGATGCTAAACGGATTTTACCCTTGCTAGAGCCTTATAACAAGTTGTAAGTATCATTTTTAAAGTTTCATTTCCATTTTAATAAATGCATTTTAAGTTTGAATGTCAGTTTGGTTTAATTAGTACACGTTATTAATGTAAATTTGAACGCTACAAGTCCATGGTTTTAGCGTGTGAACTACGCTTGTACACAGGGTGTGTTTAGACGTGAAGCTATTTAATTCAGGACATTCTAGGGACTTGAAATATGGATGCACTTAACTATTAGATGCTAGTGTTTACTAATTCTTAAAATCTATTGACTGGGATCAATGATAGGGTCGTATTACTACAGTTTATCTGGACTATCACGTCAAAATTATGAATCGACAAATTCAAAATGGCCACCAGACTATCCTGGTTACTATGTGGACGAACTCAATTATTTACAGGGAACGAAGGTTAAATACTTATAAAATACTAATGAAACACAAAAGAAATTTATAATTATAATAACTATACATTTTTATCAATGTATTTAAAACAAAAGACACTAAATTTGAAGGACTAATGTGATTAATTTTTTTATTTTCTGCTGTGCACTCTGATTCTGATTCCCCTGCTGAATAATGTGAAATGGTCTGCGCCAGTCTCCTTAATAAAATGTACCAGATCAATTTTTAGATGGTAATTTATTAAGATTGTACATGTTGTGACTTAGTTTTAAATGTTATATTAGTTGTAAGTGTAAGTAGTACTAGTAGTATTTCTCATTATTTATTTATTTTATATGCATATAATAGTAACAATGAAGGACAGTTAAGTTGTCCTATAGTATGTTGAGAACCACAGTATGGCATCTTCATCATTGGATATCTCAACCATTGTGGGACAAGCAACGATTATTTCAAATTTCATTCAGTAGAATTACTCTTAAAAATATATATAAAAAATATAAATTACTTTTAACAAAAAGGTGTTTTCAGGCTTTTTCATATGTTTCCAGTTATAGTCATAGGACAAATAGTAGGCCTACACAATAGGCTAGTAGTAAATTTAATTATATTTTATTAATCACTAAATCAATTGTTCGTTCCATAGCTTGAGACATTTACGGTGGCCTATCCAGAACTTTCCTTACAAGGGAAGGGAAGAAGGCCAAGACCCCACTCCCCCTCCCCCCTACAATTCCCAAAACATATTACTTACTCTTGATGCTCCACAAGATCAAGGTTGAGGGAAACAAGACGTACAAAGATGTTCCCCCAAAGCAGTTATCAGGTTTGAAAAGAAACCAAAGCATGTGGCATCAACTGCTGCATCACTTGTAGGCATCACGTCTTTATTAAACTACATTACATTACATTTACTCTACTAAATTTTGATTCTGTTTCTCCTGCACTAGATAACTGTGGTATTTTTTAAAATAATATTTTAACTCATGTGATTTTTGAAAATAATTAACACATTTTTCCACGTCGATGTTACCAACACAATAATTTTAGAGTTATTCCAAAGCAAAAAAAAAATGATTTTTTTTTTTATGAAAATAAAAGTGACCAAAACGCATTTTTGTCATTTTCAATTATTTTTTTACCTTAGAAAGACTCATTTTAGATGACTGAAAAAAATTGGGCATATATATTACAAACTTTGCAGCAACTTTACCAATTTCCACACTTCTATGTTATTTAGTTTAAAAAATATGGGTTCTCGAAAATGGCACTTTTTGAAAATCAGTTTTTTACCAAATTTTGCTTTTTTAAAAATCGCATAACTTTTTTATTTATTGAGATATTTTTATAAAATTTGTGGCATAGACCTTACAATTAAAAGTTCTTTCATGACATACTCACTCCAGAAGTCTGCAATCAATAGTTAATTTCAGTTTGGACTACCTAGTTAAAGCCAACTAGTCTTGGAAAAGGCTAGACTAGTCTATATTTAAATAGTTAAGACAATATTTAAATTTATATATTTAAAACTAAATTTATTTTGCTAACTGTTAGGAGACCAATAAAAACCAACCATTTAGAAAGGTACATAATTAGATGGTCCTTAAAAGGACCTTGAAATAAAAAAAAAATTTAGCTACTTTTCTAGAGCTGCGTTACTTTCGTCTTTTTCTTTTGGCACAGAAAACCACGAGTTGTTTGCCTTGTGGAATCCTCATGTTTGAAATTTTCCTTGCCAAACGTCTCGTATCTCTTTTGCGATACAGTCGACAACAAAGACCGCCTCGCCGTCTCACTCGTCGAACTCGCCTGCAACATCTTCTTTTCGGACGTCTCCGCTTGCCGCATCCTCTTTTTCTACGTACCCGTCCGCAACATCTTTTTTTACGCCGTCTTCTTCCACAACATCTTCGCCGTTTGCTGGATGTTTCGTTTTCTTGTTGAAGGCTGCTATTCCAAAAGAGAAATCGCCCTCTAGCCCCTTCAGGTCTGCTCAGTTTGTTTGACTTTAGAGCTGCTAGAATGGCGGGTTTGATGTCGTCATCTTTCTTCAGCTGTCCGTTGGAAACCATATATTTTTTTATATCTTGGGCTGTAGACCCTCGTGGGTTCTTGAGTGCAATAATGGCATTGACCACTTGTTGGGCTACAGCCGTTTTAGTGTTTCCTTTCTCCATTATGGGTCACTCTGACCCTGTCCGCTGTGCCGACACCCACTTTGATGGAAGATAGGGGTCGCATCGCGCGCGCGCCTTGAGTCATTCAATTCTGTATTATACACGGACGTATAAGAGAGCAACTATACTATTGGATGTTCTTAGCTTTTGAAAATAATACTTTTATTTTTCCCGTTTTGGGACAGCGTTTTGGTGGAATCCAACGTTTTAAAGTTCTTTACCCGACCGAAAACCAGGAATAAAAAATACTTTTGTGCAGAAGGCCTATATGACAAGGGTGCTAAATTTACTATATTTAGATTGAGTCCTTAATTATAATCAAACGAATGCGCGCTCGTGTCGCTTTCAATTCTTTTGGTTTTGAAACTTTGAATCGTAGGCTATAAATAAAAACCTTTGATTTTTTAATGCGTTTTGTTTCTTGGGCGTCCGAGCAGGAATTCTCCCAATTCATCGTATTATTCGTCCATGGTCTTATATTGTAAATTTAGCGTAACTTTTAATACTAAAAACTTTTTAAACCCATACGCTTAGTCCTGTCCTTAATCCCTCCCTCCATTCCATAAGTTTATATTATGTTTCTATGAAACACGGTAAGGAAACCCGTGCCCTATATAAGGACCTTGCGTTTCCGACAGCGTTCTACATCGCTGTACATGCTTTATGAATTACCATTGCACCTTTCTTCCCCGCCCCCCTGCCCAGGCTTAAAGCTATTTCTATCCCAGGTGTTCTCAGGTAAAATGTTGCTGGGGGTGGAGGTACTCAACCACTCACACATGCTGGAAGAGAGCGCGCGCCGTACCTGGTCAGCTATCGACTGTACCCATGGACTGATTTTCTATTTCATGCGGTACATGCATGATAGCAGAAACTTCATTTATATGAACATATGATAATGTATCTATGTACTAACCTACTGAACTGTTTTCCCCGTTTATTACCTATTTAACCCTTTAGTGAGAAGATTCACATTAGACCGTTACTTTATTTTTGAATGAGCATGAGCATACTGTCAAATATTGTAACTGTTCAAGTTTGTTTATATTAGAAAATCAAATGTATTAAACTGCCAATAAAACACAACTCCTGACATCTATGTACGTCCCACTACCCTCTCCTGCTGTGTAGCCTACGCCCCACACTCTCCTCCCCTGCTGTGTACATCCCATACTCTCCTCCCCTGCTGTGTACGTCCCATACTCTCCTCCTTTGCTGTGTACGTCCCATATTCTCCTCCCCTGCTGTGTACGTCCCATATTCTCCTCCCCTGCTGTGCACGTCCCACTCTCCTCCCCTGCTGTGCACGTCCCACTTTCCTCCCCTGCTGTGTACATCCCACTCTCCTCCCCTGCTGTGTACGTCCCACTCTCCTCCCCTGCTGTGTACGTCCCACTTTCCTCCCCTGCTGTGTACGTCCCATATTCTCCTCCCCTGCTGTGTACGTCCCATATTCTCCTCTCCTGCTGTGCACGTCCCACTCTCCTCCCCTGCTGTGCACGTCCCACTCTCCTCCCTTGCTGTGTACGTCCCACTCTCCTCCCCTGCTGTGTACGTCCCACTCTCCTCCCCTGCTGTGTACGTCCCACTCTCCTCCCTTGCTGTGTACGTCCCATATTCTCCTCCCCTGTTGTGTACATCCCACTCTCCTCCCCTGCTGTGTACGTCCCACTCTCCTCCCTTGCTGTGTACGTCCCACTCTCCTCCCCTGCTGTGTACGTCCCACTCTCCTCCCCTGCTGTGTACGTCCCATATTCTCCTCCCCTGCTGTGTACGTCCCATATTCTCCTCCCCTGCTGTGTACGTCCCATATTCTCCTCCCCTGCTGTGCACGTCCCACTCTCCTCCCCTGCTGTGTACGTCCCACTCTCCTCCCCTGCTGTGTACGTCCCACTTTCCTCCCCTGCTGTGTACGTCCCATATTCTCCTCCCCTGCTGTGTACGTCCCATATTCTCCTCTCCTGCTGTGCACGTCCCACTCTCCTCCCCTGCTGTGTACGTCCCACTCTCCTCCCTTGCTGTGTACGTCCCACTCTCCTCCCCTGCTGTGTACGTCCCACTCTCCTCCCCTGCTGTGTACGTCCCATATTCTCCTCCCCTGCTGTGTACGTCCCATATTCTCCTCCCCTGCTGTGTACGTCCCATATTCTCCTCCCCTGCTGTGTACGTCCCATATTCTCCTCTCCTGCTGTGCACGTCCCACTCTCCTCCCCTGCTGTGTACGTCCCACTCTCCTCCCTTGCTGTGTACGTCCCACTCTCCTCCCCTGCTGTGTACGTCCCACTCTCCTCCCCTGCTGTGTACGTCCCATATTCTCCTCCCCTGCTGTGTACGTCCCATATTCTCCTCCCCTGCTGTGTACGTCCCATATTCTCCTCCCCTGCTGTGTACGTCCCACTCTCCTCCCCTGCTGTGTACGTCCCACTTTCCTCCCCTGCTGTGTACGTCCCATATTCTCCTCCCCTGCTGTGTACGTCCCATATTCTCCTCTCCTGCTGTGCACGTCCCACTCTCCTCCCCTGCTGTGCACGTCCCACTCTCCTCCCTTGCTGTGTACGTCCCACTCTCCTCCCCTGCTGTGTACGTCCCACTCTCCTCCCCTGCTGTGTACGTCCCACTCTCCTCCCTTGCTGTGTACGTCCCATATTCTCCTCCCCTGTTGTGTACATCCCACTCTCCTCCCCTGCTGTGTACGTCCCACTCTCCTCCCTTGCTGTGTACGTCCCACTCTCCTCCCCTGCTGTGTACGTCCCACTCTCCTCCCCTGCTGTGTACGTCCCATATTCTCCTCCCCTGCTGTGTACGTCCCATATTCTCCTCCCCTGCTGTGTACGTCCCATATTCTCCTCCCCTGCTGTGCACGTCCCACTCTCCTCCCCTGCTGTGTACGTCCCACTCTCCTCCCCTGCTGTGTACGTCCCACTTTCCTCCCCTGCTGTGTACGTCCCATATTCTCCTCCCCTGCTGTGTACGTCCCATATTCTCCTCTCCTGCTGTGCACGTCCCACTCTCCTCCCCTGCTGTGCACGTCCCACTCTCCTCCCCTGCTGTGTACGTCCCACAGTCTCCTCCCCTGCTGTGTACGTCCCACTCTCCTCCCCTGCTGTGTACGTCCCACTCTCCTCCCCTGCTGTGTACGTCCCACTCTCCTCCCTTGCTGTGTACGTCCCATATTCTCCTCCCCTGCTGTGTACATCCCACTCTCCTCCCCTGCTGTGTACGTCCCACTCTCCTCCCTTGCTGTGTACGTCCCATATTCTCCTCCCCTGCTGTGTACATCCCACTCTCCTCCCCTGCTGTGTACGTCCCACTCTCCTCCCCTGCTGTGTACGTCCCATATTCTCCTCCCCTGCTGTGTACGTCCCACTCTCCTCCCCTGCTGTGTACGTCCCACTCTCCTCCCTTGCTGTGTACGTCCCACTCTCCTCCCCTGCTGTGTACATCCCACTCTCCTCCCCTGCTGTGTACGTCCCATATTCTCCTCCCCTGCTGTGTACATCCCACTCTCCTCCCCTGCTGTGTACGTCCCACTCTCCTCCCCTGCTGTGTACGTCCCATATTCTCCTCCCCTGCTGTGTACGTCCCACTCTCCTCCCCTGCTGTGTACGTCCCACTCTCCTCCCTTGCTGTGTACGTCCCACTCTCCTCCCCTGCTGTGTACATCCCACTCTCCTCCCCTGCTGTGTACGTCCCATATTCTCCTCCCCTGCTGTGTACATCCCACTCTCCTCCCCTGCTGTGTACATCCCACTCTCCTCCCTTGCTGTGTACGTCCCATATTCTCCTCCCCTGCTGTGTACGTCCCACTCTCCTCCCCTGCTGTGTACGTCCCACTCTCCTCCCCTGCTGTGTACATCCCACTCTCCTCCCTTGCTGTGTACGTCCCACTCTCCTCCCCTGCTGTGTACATCCCACTCTCCTCCCCTGCTGTGTACGTCCCATATTCTCCTCCCCTGCTGTGTACGTCCCACAATCTCCTCTGCTGACATATGTGTATGTCTCCTCCTCTCCCCCCTAAGACATCTGTATACTTTCCATATCCACCCCTTCATCACTTGAATACGTCCCTCACTCTCCTCCCCTATCATCTGTGTACGTCCCATACCCTCCTCCCCTGCTGTGTACGCCCCATACCCTCCTCCTCATGGCATCTATACGTCCCTTACGCTCCTCCCCTGTCTGCTGTATACGTCACTACCCCCCCTCCCCCCCCCTCCCCCCCCCCCCACACACTGCAGCAGGTAACAGTGTGAGTGAAAAAGGAAAGGTCGTGACGTGGATTGCTCACACGGCTGGAATGCGGGGGCTCTTCATGGTGAAGCTTGTACACATCTCACAGTCCAACAGTCAACATGGTAAGTCCATCCATCGTTTCGACCATCTTCCCTTCATCTCCTCACACTGTGTGACCACACTGTCGAGGGACAACTTCATCAACATCCATTCTTTTTCTCAATAGATAAAATCGATTTGTTATTGTCAGAGATATCGGATGCGCATTTAAAGCCATACAGTACATGCCAGAACAGCTGTACGTTATACATTTTACAATAGGGTTAAGTAGCTAAGAGTACAATTCACAGTATTGAATGGCAGTATTCTATTTTTTTTTTTATTTGTTCACTAGACTAGATAGCTTACTTATCCGTGTCTAGTAGGCCTATCTCCCATAAAATGTTTTTAAACGACTGAATGAATTTCGGAGAGATTTGTTGAGTAAATCTAGAACTGTTACGGATGACTGATGCAATCAGATCAGGTTCCGCTACAGGTGAGAGGTGCCATCTGACCTGTGTCCATTACAGGTGAGTGATACCATCTGACCTGTGGTGTGTGGTACCATCTGACCTGTGGTGAGTGGTACCATCTGACCTGTGGTGAGTGGTACCATCTGACCTGTGTCCATTACAGGCGAGTGGTACCATCTGACCTGTGGTGAGTGATACCATCTGACCTGTGGTGTGTGGTACCATCTGGCCTGTGGTGTGTGGTACCATCTGACCTGTGGTGAGTGGTACCATCTGACCTGTGTCCATTACAGGCGAGTGGTACCATCTGACCTGTGGTGAGTGATACCATCTGACCTGTGGTGTGTGGTACCATCTGACCTGTGGTGAGTGGTACCATCTGACCTGTGGTGTGTGGTACCATCTGACCTGTGGTGAGTGGTACCATCTGACCTGTGGTGAGTGGTACCATCTGACCTGTGTCCATTACAGGCGAGTGGTACCATCTGACCTGTGGTGAGTGATACCATCTGACCTGTGGTGTGTGGTACCATCTGGCCTGTGGTGTGTGGTACCATCTGACCTGTGGTGAGTGGTACCATCTGACCTGTGTCCATTACAGGCGAGTGGTACCATCTGACCTGTGGTGAGTGATACCATCTGACCTGTGGTGTGTGGTACCATCTGACCTGTGGTGAGTGGTACCATCTGACCTGTGGTGTGTGGTACCATCTGACCTGTGGTGTGTGGTACCATCTGACCTGTGGTGAGTGGTACCATCTGACCTGTGGTGTGTGGTACCATCTGGCCTGTGGTGTGTGGTACCATCTGACCTGTGTCCACTACAGGTGTGTGGTACCATCTGACCTGTGGTGTGTGGTACCATCTGGCCTGTGGTGTGTGGTACCATCTGACCTGTGACCGCTACAGGTGAGTGGTACCATCTGACCTGTGGTGTGTGGTACCATCTGACCTGTGTCCGCTACAGGTGAGTGATACCATCTGACCTGTGGTGAGTGATACCATCTGACCTGTGTCCATTACAGGCGAGTGGTACCATCTGACCTGTGGTGTGTGGTACCATCTGGCCTGTGGTGTGTGGTACCATCTGACCTGTGTCCACTACAGGTGTGTGGTACCATCTGACCTGTGGTGTGTGGTACCATCTGGCCTGTGGTGTGTGGTACCATCTGACCTGTGTCCACTACAGGTGTGTGGTACCATCTGACCTGTGGTATGTGGTACCATCTGACCTGTGTCCACTACAGGTGAGTGGTACAATCTGACCTGTGGTGTGTGGTACCATCTGACCTGTGTCCACTACAGGTGTGTGGTACCATCTGACCTGTGTCCATTACAGGCGAGTGGTACCATCTGACCTGTGGTGTGTGGTACCATCTGACCTGTGGTGTGTGGTACCATCTGACCTGTGGTGAGTGATACCATCTGACCTGTGGTGAGTGATACCATCTGACCTGTGGTGAGTGGTACCATCTGGCCTGTGGTGAGTGGTACCATCTGGCCTGTGGTGAGTGGTATCATCTGGCCTGTGGTGAGTGGTATCATCTGGCCTGTGGTGTGTGGTACCATCTGACCTGTGTCCACTACAGGTGTGTGGTACCATCTGACCTGTGGTGTGTGGTACCATCTGACCTGTGGTGTGTGGTACCATCTGACCTGTGGTGAGTGGTACCATCTGACATGTGGTGAGTGGTACCATCTGACATGTGGTAAGTGGTACCATCTGGCCTGTGGTGTGTGGTACCATCTGACCTGTGTCCGCTACAGGTGAGTGGTACCATCTGACCTGTGGTGTGTGGTACCATCTGGCCTGTGGTGTGTGGTACCATCTGACCTGTGTCCGCTACAGGTGAGTGGTACCATCTGACCTGTGGTGTGTGGTACCATCTGGCCTGTGGTGTGTGGTACCATCTGACCTGTGTCCGCTACAGGTGAGTGGTACCATCTGACCTGTGGTGTGTGTTACCATCTGGCCTGTGGTGTGTGATACCATCTGACCTGTGTCCGCTACAGGTGAGTGGTACCATCTGACCTGTGTCCGCTACAGGTGAGTGGTACCATCTGACCTGTGTCCTCTACAGGTGAGTGGTACCATCTGACCTGTGTCCTCTACAGGTGAGTGGTACCATCTGGCCTGTTGTGTGTGATACCATCTGGCCTGTTGTGTGTGGTACCATCTGACCTGTGTCCGCTACAGGTGAGTGGTACCATCTGACCTGTGGTGAGTGATACCATCTGACCTGTGTCTACTACAGGTGTGTGGCACCATCTGACCTGTGTCTACTACAGGTGTGTGGCACCATCTGACCTGTGTCTACTACAGGTGTGTGGCACCATCTGACCTGTGTCCGTGACTATAAAAACTCAGGTTCTGTATAGCATTGTGTGACATTTTAACTGTATTCACGTAATGCATTAGTTTATTGTGTGAATAAAGGAAATCAAATGAAGTACATGCATGAGAGGGCGTCATAGGATTCTTCTAGTTTGTTTACTTGATTAGAAATGGTGTTGGAAATATGACCACGTTTTAGCTAAATGAAGAGATATAGGCCAATATCAATTTATCTGCTGTCAAGTTGAAAAAGTATGTTAATATATTCTTCCTACATATGCCGTTTTTTTTTTTTTGTCTCTGAGTTTTGAGACCATGGCCGTGCAACTTAAAATGACAGGGTTGGTAATGGATTAAACACTGTAATGTGTCAGTCCACTCCCACGTTATGGAGTAAACATTGTAATCTATATATATTGCAATCTTTACTCCATAACGTGACCTAATATATCAGTCCACTCCCACTTACTATAGAGGATCGTGTACGTCTGGGTAGGGTAGTGGTGAATCATTTAATTATAGTGAGTATAATGAGAAAGTGGTATATATATACATATATATATATATATATATATATATATATATATATATATATATATATATATATTTATTTATTTATATATATATATATATATATATATATATATATATATATATATATATATATATATATATATATATATATATATATATATATATATATATATATATCCCCTATATGTAGCTTCTAATGCCAAATACCTCTAATAAAATAGGCAAACGGTAGCTATTCCTTTATTTATTAAAAATAACTAATGGTTGACTCTAAATGCTCCTTAAGTTAAAGTAATAGGTCGAAGGTTAAATACAGCACCATTTTATTCGCGTATTCTGGAGGTTAAAAAAAATACAGCCCTATTAAAACGCACACAGAAGGGAGAGAAGTGGCCTATATTTAGCGTTATGTGGGGCAATGCTACTGGAATAGAGTCCTTGCAAACACGTGACCTAAATCACGTGATACCTACGCCCGCCGCCACAGTGGTGTACATCAGACGTAAACACAATCAGCTGTTCGCCAGCGCTGGACGTGTTCACCAGCGCTGGACGCGTTCACTGTGTGTAAAGAATCGCGCCCGCGGAAAGGGAAAAATACGTTAAAAAACTTGAACTCTTAGGAATTGAAGATCCTTATACTGTTATTGACAGTTTCGTGGATAATATAAATATGTGGCCGAAATTTCTAAATAAAAATACTGTTAGTAATACCGTTTGCGTTTAGAGTTTAAGTAGACGAAGCTGATCAAATGCAGTAATATATTATAGGTTATCTACTGTAGCAAACGTGAGACCACTTAACTCCTACAAAACCCACACTACAACGGCTAATATAATCCATGGGTAATAACCAATCTGGGTAGCATGTTATACAATTTAAGACCCTTATAATCCAGCAGGGAAGTAATCAGACACATTAATACTGACATTCAACCCTCATGATGGCTGCCCCCACCTGTATCTAGCCCACAATAAAACCTAAGTGGAGTCTGCCCTGCCCTCCCCTGAAAATGTCTCACCTCCGTGATACCCATCCCCACAGAGATAGTATTTCTTATATAATTTTGACCCTCAGGGCCCAGCAGGGAGAACAAAGGGGAAAGTCCCACTGCTCTCCCCTCAACACTTCTCACCTCGGTGTCATGTTATGTCATTTATAGCACACATGGCTTATCAGGGGAAAGCATTAAGGCATTAAGAATCTTAACTCTGGACAGCTACACACTAGTATACTAGCTACACACTAGGTGCCTACTGTAAACTACTAGACTGTAGGCCCTATGTAGACCTGCAATTGTATCAATTGTAGACTGGGTCCATTGTTATTATTCTAAACCATCTCACTTATAATGTTTCTAGCTTGATTTGTTTCTTTTATAAACAGTGGATTTAAAAAAAAATTAGCCTAATCATTAACCAAATAATAATAATGTGGTTATTTGTTGTTGGCTGGTATGATCTAGATTGTACTACTAGGCTACAAAAACTTAGTAGACCAATTACTAGATATGAATTTGAATTTAATTAAACTCAGTCCAGTATCAGATACATATTGCTGTAAAAAGACAACAAAGTAGGTAGGCCTTAGTAATTTATTAAAGCCTTCTACTACAATAATATCAACTACATACTTGTATAAAGTTTTTACAATTTAATTTAAGTAGCAGATTCTAGATCTAAGTCTAGTCATACAATCTATTTCAATTTCAGAAAATTTCGTTTGCTAAAAAAAATGATTAGATAATAGAGCGAGATTTTAGATCTTAGAGACAATTAAATGCTTTATTAGGCCTATTATGACTACTTTTGATTTATTATGGGTGTATTTTGAATCGAATGTAGATCTAAAGTAATTAAATTTAAGAAAGAAGTAGATTCTAGATTCTATGTCTACCCAGCGGAGCCAGGTATTAGGCCTACTATTAGATCTTATTATTCTTATTATTACTTTTGACTTTGTCTTTTACTATTAGTATTTGTGAAGGTCGAGCATATTTATTTTATTAATAGTTATCTTTTATAATTAAAATGAAGTTTATTATTTTACTGTCCTTACCTGAAACAAAGTATCGAGAACTGCATTTGATCAGATTCGGCTACTTTAACTCTAAACGCAAACAGTATTACTAACAGTATTTTTATTTAGAAATTTTGTCCACATATTTATTTATACGAAACTGTCAATAACAGTATAAGGATCTTCAATTCCTAAGAGTTCAAGTTTTTTAACGTATTTTTCCCTTTCCGCGGGCGCGATTCTTTGCACACAGTGAACGCGTCCAGCGCTGGTGAACACGTCCAGCGCTGGCGAACAGCTGATTGTGTTTACGTCTGATGTACACCACTGTGGCGGCGGGCGTAGGTATCACGAACGGACGTGACGTCATATGAAAGGACTCTATTCGTTTGAACGAACGTGAATAGTCTAGGGTGAAGGGGAAATAACCCACCTTTTCTAACTTTTTTTTAAAATCACATTTTTGTCTAGATTAATAATAGACGAACATAAAACACGTATAAAAACCTTCATAAAAAACAAGTTTTTAAAGAATGAATATTAGATAAAGTTTTTTTTCTCTCTTTTTTTCCCCAAACGATTTGTGAAAGGCCTTTTATTTTAATCCACTTTTGTTCTTATAAAATTATCAACAGCTTGTAGCTTGGTGAAAGTTTAGTTCAATCAGCTTTAATTAAGATGAGAGTGCCGACTGCCTGAAAACTTTTATTGGCGTTTATTGTCGGTAGAAAAACACAAAGAAGCTTCCTTTTACACCCACCCCTCCGCCTACCTGCATAGCCTCAATAGAAAATTGCATCGATAGCCTAAATAATTTGCTTATTTTCTTCAATCATACTCAGCGGGTTAACTATTGAAGAAGTATGGGCTCTAATTCAGAAAATATAATATTAGAGATAAGGCATTTTTAGATAACTAAAATTAAAAAAAAGAAATATCTTTAGGTCTACTGAAGTTCCATATAAAATAATTAAACTCTCCATACCTTTCAAAATGTCGGTTCTCTGGACTGAGAGGACCAGTATTTCATCCAACGAAATGGAGATGTATATAGAAAGTATATACTTTAAACAGTGTGTCCCCGTCCCCGCCCCCCACCCCGAGAAAAAGTCTGGAAGAAACTCTGCGTCCCGAACCAAATGATGGCCGAAGTTTTTTGGTTAGAGTTAGAGCCTATTTGTTGGGTCCGTTTTGTCGGAACACCAAAGCGATGGTTTGTATCCGACCAAGATTAGTTGTGTGTGTAGAGGTACCAGAACGCCGATAAATTAGACTAGAGCAACACTGGGGCTAGGCCTATGTGGGGGAGGGCCCAATAGGGGTTCTAGACATCATTATAGTTCTAGTACACATGTATTCAAACACATAGTCGGTTATAAAGTAATTTCTTTTGCTGCGGTGCGCTCCATAAACACTTAGTGCACATTTGTTTGGGTTATAACGTTGACTGGGTTAGCCTATATCATTAGGTGTATTATTATTTTCTTTTGGCAGGCGTCGGGCGTGGCAGTAGCAGACGAGTGCATGCGAGTGTATGATGAAATCAAAATGGGCCACAGGTGGCTGTACATCATCTACCGTGTGAGCGAGGATCTGAAAACAATCATTGTGGAGGAGAAAGCTGGCCATGGTATGGATTTAAATGTTACAAATATGGGGGTTAGGCCTAGTTTGAAGGGGGTGGTAGGGTCTCGTGAAGCCATTTACGGGGTCGGGTCTAGCTTTTTGTGACAACTCGAAGTAACCGGGGGGGGGGGGGGGGGTGTGGTGGGGTCATCCATATATGACGTCCACACGGGGGGGGGGGGGAGGGACGATGACACACGTCATATATAAAATTGACTTTTGCGAACGCGTACGCAGAGGCGTAGCGATCCTTCCCGGCGCCCGGGGACATACTTTCAATTTGGCGCCCCCTTGGGAGCAAATTTTCGGTTTGCACCCCCCCCCCCCCCTCAAACTTTCGATTTGCACCCCCCCTCAAACTTTCAATTTGGCGCCCCCCCTAAGGTCGGCGCCCGGGGACATATGTCCCCCCCCGCCCCCCCCCCCCCTCTCGCTACGCTACTGCGCGTACGTATGGACTTTTAAAAGGGAATTAAGTGGATTTTTGTGGACCGGGGGGGGGGGGGGGGGTACAAAATCCCCAAAAAAATGTGGACGTCATAAATGGATCACCCTTAGCTTAGAAAATGTGACATAATTTATTGACTGCCCCTTATTATAAAGAAAGTGGAATTCATGATACACATATTATATTATAATACTATACCTTCCTTTTTAAATGATATTGTATTATTATTATGCAATTAAATACATACTTTTATTTGTAATTCGCAATGTAAATAGTTTATATAGTTATGGTTAACATTTTAATTTAGAATTGTTCATCTGACAAGTGATGTACAACTTTCAGATAAAACATACTCAGATTTTGTCGAGAAACTGAAACAAGCAGAAGCCAAAAGACAGTGCCGATATGCAGTATTTGATGTACGATTTATGCACAATGATATTCCACAGGAAAGGCTGGCATTCTTTTTATGGTAGTGTTTGCTTTCCAATTACTGACCAAAATTAAGACTTATTTTCCTTAAGAAGATTGTTATATCCCAATTACCTCTTGTTGATGAAATAACTACACAGGACATTATTAGTATTAGTATTAACTGCAATTTTATCTTTTCAAAACTTTATTTGTTCTTTATTAGTAGAAAACGGAATGAAGCGAATCAATATCCCAAAGAATCATGGTCTTTTTTACAAGCTTTTAACTTTTATTTAGTTCGCAACGTCTGTTTGTTTGTAGCAAATCTTGTAACTCAATATTGACCCACTACTAATACAGCGAATTGGTTCAAACTTTCCTGATACGTTCCACTTCTACGACAATAAAAGTCTATCTAGATGTTTAAATTAATTAGTCATTAAAAATTAATTAGTCATTAAAAATTAATTAAAGTTTCGGCACTAAGGGAAGTCAACAAAATCAAATCACTCGATAGATTACTATATTCAATAGCAGAAAGGGAGATAACAAGCTAGACGCTATCAAACCGACTTCTGATGAGCTGTGGTTCACGCCGAATGTTTACAATCGCGGAGACAGTTCATCTAGTAGTAATAATAGTATTAATAGCAATAGGCCTAAGGGACAGATGTTTTTTTCAACGATTTGAAGCTAAGGGGAGGTAAAAAAAAATAATTAAGAACTTGCTGTCGTCTGTAAATTGTGGTCATGGAAGTCTGCTTTCGTTTCACGGACAGTTAATCGTGATCTACTGATGGTGTTTTAGAGTAAATATTTTTAGTCGTGCCGACTTCATAAGCTATGAATCACTAAAAAGTAGAAAATAAAACAAATACAATTTTTTTAATAGTGACAAACTTTTAAATGCACTAAAGAGTAAAAATAAGAAAATAAAAGTAAAACGAATCTACATTCTTTCATTATTTATAGCTTTGGTCGCTCATCGGATAATTTTCATACTTCAGCAACCAAAGCTTTTATGAAAGAAAGCAGATTAGTTTTATTTTCTTATTTTCAGTGCATTTAAAGCTTGTCGGAAGTTATCGCTATAAAACAAAATTTAAATTTGTTTTATTCAATATACATGTATTAGAGAACCCTTTCAGAAGACCTGACATTCCCAAAATAATAAAAACCAAATCAATTATTAGCTTTGCAAGGTATATATACATACATAATGGTATTAATAGGCACTACATGTTATACTGACTGTATATTGTGAGAAAGTTTGAGAGGGGTATTAATCGTAGTAGTACTAGTAGATGTCCACACCTTGTGAGATGGGGTGAAATGCTTTCTTTCATCTGAAGGGGATGTCCACATCTAGGGGTGGGGGGTTTCATCTCAAGTGGATGGTGGTGATAGAGGGAGTCCATAATTCCATTTCATTATGGCGCATTTTTTTTTTTGTGAACATTGTGAAGGTTGATCAATCGAGAAATCCTGTAACTATAACGAATCATCTCGGTCTGCAGGAGCCCTGACACTGCAACCATCAAACAGAAAATGATTTACACCAGCAGCAAGCAGGCTCTCCGCAACAAGATGCGAGGCATACACGCAGAAATCCAGTGCACAGAAGATGCTGATCTCACCATGTCCAACATCCTTGAGAGAATTTGCAGTAAATACACATGACCCCATCTCATACCATGTTTCATGAACCACTTCCATTGTGATGGCTTGGTCACATGACCAATGCCAGGTTGTGTGATCTCACTGACCATCCTCAATCATGTTTTCATGTTGCCTGTTTAAGCTTCTTTGAAAAAAAAAAAACCAAAAGCCATGAAGTTTGACTTAGTAGAGATGTAACTAGTTGCACTAAATAGACGCTACTAAACTTTCAAAATACTTCCATTGTGGAACATATTTTTTATTTTTTTTTAAAAACGTGCTGTTTAGTAGATTGTTGAGTGTTATAAATTTTGTATGTATTTGGTGGTTTGTCAAAGATAGTGTTTTCTTTTTACTTTATACAAGAAATTGTAACACTTATTTTTTAAAACAAATGTTTATACAACAAGTAATAGCTTTTGATGTAAGTTTATAAACTTCATTTGATGAGTTAAGTGTAATAATTTTTTTTAAATGTATGTTTAATATTTTTTTCTTCAAATGTTTATAATGATAATCAAGTTTATATTTTCAAATATTTACAGTTTTAAAATGATTGAGATTCAAGATGAAAAAGCTTTATGTGATATTCTCAGAAGCCAGTGGAGTAGAAAAATACCTTGATGGAGCCAAGCCTCTGTCAAGCCAAAGTCTGTATATACTTATCAATAAAGTATTGTCTTCTCATGAACTTATGACTATATTTATCTTTAATGGAATTTTACTCAAGGGTTATAATTACAATACTTAGTTAAATGTGGGCTTCTTTTAATATTAGAACAATACATTTATGATGAGAATTTATTTGTAAATATTATGGAAGCTATTTCCAGTGTGAAAAAAAGACAGATGATAATAATGATATACTTCTAAAATATGAAGAAAAAATTCCAATCCTTTATAAAACAGTAGAGCCAGTGTCTGTACATCTTACATTTTTAGTTTGTATATCTCGTTTAGTCTGTAAATCTTATATTTTTTCCATTCTATTTCTTGATTTGTCTGTAAATCTTACTTTTTTTTTGTTTGGATGTCTTGTTAGCATATCTTAAATTTGGATATCTAGTTTTGTCTGTAAATCTTAGTTTTGTTCTTTTTAATAGCCTACTGTTTCAATATACATGATGGATTGTTTAACTTTGTCAAAAATAGTTTTCCTCTATGCCTATTTATCATTAAATCTTTCTAACCCAAACAATGTACCAGTTTAAATTATGATCATTAAAATATTAAATTAATGTTTAGCTACTAAAAATCATGTCAATTTTTACCAAACAATATCCCAAACAACTAATTTTGGATGATTTCTCATCAGGTATCCAATAGATGAAGTGACATCCATTTTCCTCCTACTTAAGTCACATTTTGGTCATCACAAGAAAATGTCTTATTTCTCCTAATTTAGCCAGGTTTTCACAATAGCTGGGTGTCTTACTGAGCCAAGAAATCTTCAAAAGTTGAACTAATTCTTGAAATGTCCTTTATTTGAAGATGTGTGCTTGCTTAAGCTTTAAAACGGTATCTACAAATAACAGCTGATAATGTCTGTTTTTATGTAGACAACTACATTCATTTTTATTTGATAGAATAAAAAGAGAAAATTGAAAGATCACCTTGTTAGTCATTCAAATAACAATAATTCTAAATAAACTTTTTCAAATTTTTAATTAAAAAATATTTACCTTGCAACAATGCTATTTATTATTAACAATTTCTGGATGCCTTTTTAAAAAATTTGATATTTTAAAAAGATTTCCATTTATATATCAAAGAAAATTCATTTTGAGTAAACATAGGTCATCTGATCAACTGCACCTCTGTTAGCCATTATTCAAAAACTTTTTTCAGCATAATTTATTTCATTGGGCTATTGTATTAAGTCTCGAGTTCAAAAGCTGGTTCAATAACTTCAAGTAAGAAGAACGTCCCTGTGTCCACCCTACCCTAATGGGTACCTAACTTACGTTAAAAAAGTAAAGGCAGCTGGGCATAATGTTGATCACACAATCCCTTCATATGCCACGGTCACAGAAACAGGTGAACTCTTCTTCACTTGCCCCATGGACCATGAGTTTCGAAAAGGGAAATTTCCTTTTTTTTAAATATTAATTTAATTTGAGGTTGAGCAGACTAGCTTATACTTTGAAAAAAAATGTATTACAGACAAGTCATTTTTTATTTATTTAATGAAATAGAAATAAGCATAAAAGTTTTTTTTGAAAAGCTTCCTATCACCAAGTTTAATTTTTATTCACAACAAACTGACCCAGCGATAAGAGCAAATTAGCGGAAAAAATACCTTTCTGCAGAGCTTGTGTAGCTGCCACAAAACTGTCAAGAACCAGATGTGGATGTGCAGGGTTATCAACCACACTCACTGTGCTTCTAGTGTGGCTAGCAACACTAGATGGTTGCTCAAAAGGGTAGATGAAATCAAAAGTTTCTAGACATTCACGGGGGCTGGATTTCATCCCACAACAACAAAAAGCTAATTTAGAATTATCTAGCCTCCAGCAGTGAAAAGATGTTGGGTCAACGACCACATTCAGTGATCCACCACCCAGGGAAGTGGCCCAATGGTGGAAACTTGATCTAAATGTTTGTAAAGCTGACAGGACCTGTGACTCAGAGTAGTGTCTTTCCTTCACCAGATGATCCATTTTCCCTAAAACCTGCATAAACGAAAGTAAAACTGTTACTTTTAAACATGGACAGGTACTACAAGCACTAATATTTAAATATTAAAACATTTTTCGAAGTGTTAAATTAACTTTCAAACATGGACAGGTACTACAAGCACTAAGATTACCTGTCCCCTGAGAAAATAAGAGCAATGAGTTTGCCAACAGCCTCCTCCAGGTAGAAGTTTTGGTTCCTTACACAGAGAATGTAGCCCATGAAATACAGTTTTTATACAGACCTGAGGAAAAAAGTTAACAGTACTAATATACTACTAGTATATACTACTAATAATACTAATAGCAGCATTTAAGGTTCCTTAGCACTTAAATTAAATGGAAAAACAAGCACATCTTGCCAACATGACTATAAGTTAACTCTAACATATTAGCGATGAAAGTAAATTTTCCCCCCAAAGATCAGTAAGACTTGCGGAACTGAAACCAGTTTATAAGTGTACTTCCACAATAACAAAAGCTGTGAAGCTAATGCAGTAAGAGTAAAAAAGAGTATGGATATTAAAATTGTGCATACTGTAAGATCTCAATGGAGAGTTTCTGTAACTTACATTTGCACAGATATAATTTAAAATACGAGTGCACATGACAAAACAAAATATACAAACAGAACAAAAATAGCAGCAATGAACTTGAAGTTAAAAAGCATTAACCTTCATTTCTGACAATCTGGATTCCCAGAGATCACACATAATTAGCGTGACAACAGGCGATGAAGGCTTTGACAGACGGAGATAGCTTTTACTGCTTTCAACCACATGATCCACAGACCTCACCCAACCTAACTTGTCACTTAAATCTTGTGTAAGAACCACAGAACAAATCTGTTTTGCACCTATGTGAACAAAAATTCATATTATTGCATTTAAAGATCTTTCTAATTTGTAAACGCCATATTTTTTAATCTATGGAGTCATTTATTTATAAAATTTGGAATTTTAGACCCCCACATTTATTTTATACATAGGTTACAAGTTTTTTTGTTAAAAAAATTTATGCATATATTAGTACTCAACCCTCCCCCTACAAGTGTCCAGACGCCCATTCCCCACTCTAAGTGGACTTTATAAAATGATGATTCCTATCTAGTGATCAGAACCATGTGCAATTTGAAAACTGTGCGTAAAAAAATGTGCAAGGGAGATTTTTTTAAGATCAATAATCTAAAGATGTTAGCAAGGAACAACCACATGTACATTTTAGCATAAAACATTTTTCTACAAAATATGACCCACTGAAGGTGTTTTGGTAAATTACCTTGTAATATTTCAGTAAATTTCTTTTAAAAAAAACAAAAGTTTACCAGTAAGATCCTGGAGATAAGGTATCATTTGTGATCCTATCCTTTCAACGTACATAATATCCTTAGCTTTCAGGATTCCTTTCAGGTTCGGGTGAATGACTTTCTGACACAGAACCAAGCCAACATTCAGATTCTCTAGCCTGTTCACCATTTCAGCAATCTTTAGCACCACAGACTTATCCACTTTCTCAACTGCATTGCTGTATATTTCAAAAGTAGCATCTGTCACTTCTTCAGCATCACCAGACAAAGAACATATAAATAGAGCCACTTGAATGACAAAGTCACCTTCTATCCCAAGTGAAACTGTTTTGAGTTTGACTTCTTTGACACCATGAAGTGCAGAAAACTCAGGGTATTCTAACAGTAAACCTTTCTCCAATCTACTCTCTTTCAAATGTCTATTTTCAAAGCAAAGAACATTAATCCCATCTGAAAATCTTACTTTGTTTTCATCTGGCAAATCAGGAATGGATTCAACAAAGGCTTGTAAAATTAATTGACTAAGTGTATCAGAAACATGATCAGCTGATCTTAGAAGGGCTTTTGATGTTATGATGCTTCTCACATAAGCCAATAAAACTTTCAAGTCAGAGAAATCTGCTTTCACACAAAGCTGACACCCAGCACCATTCAAATAATCTAATATATCCTTCACAAATAATTCAAACAAATTAACAAGTGAGTGGCGATTAAAATGCAGAGAGTTAGAAGTGTAAACTAAATGAAGACACATATAAGCCATGAAAAGTCCGCAGTCACCATGTTGTTTTACATGTGCTTGGACTGCTGTTTCAACAAGTTTTAATTCTGGTCGGGATAAGGACATGCCTGACAGGATCCTGCCACTAGAAGATGTGAAGGTTACACTACCACCACATTTGTTACGCAACATGTGTATTTTACCACCTGGACCAACACATGAACTGAGTAGCTTTAAAAAGTCTGAGAAAGATTTCAAAGATGTGGGTGAACCAGCATTATATGCAACCACATCCGAACTCTTAGACTGTTCCAAACGAGACATTATCACTAAAAACTTTGAACCAAAAATTTATTTCGAGGATGAGGATAGGAAAATAATTAAAAAAACATAGCAAATTGAAATTGCTGAATCACAAATTTTATTCACAATAAAATCAAGTATCATTAGAAATTAGAATACAGTTTTATTGCAATCATTATTAGGAAATTTTAAAAACCTTTCAAAAACTTAAGTTGACACCACTGATGAAAGCAAATATATAACAATTAATTCGAAAGAAATGTTTTTACTCCAAACCACTTATACCAAAAAAATTAGATTATTTAGAGTTTACACTCAATTTCTCAGTTCGCCATTTGGCACGTTCGTTTGCAGTAGGAGTAACGTCTTTTGGTAACAACAAACCTATCAAGCTAGCACCACTTAATATTACCAAAAATGACAAAAGTTTGTTATTGTGGGTCCACCTTGACAAACTACTAAGCATTCTGTAATGGAGAACATTTTGACAATTAAAATCTCAACAAGATACAAAGTTCTACAGAAAAAGAATTTCATCACCTGTTTGTTTTTAAAATTTATATTGCCATTTTTAAACTAAATGAAAAATGAAAACTTGAAATTATAGCAAAAATAATTTGTAAAAATCAGAACTTCTTACGTCTTTTTTGTATTATCCATTTTAATAGAACTTCCTACTATAAGGATTTAATCTTTCTTCTGGGGTTCTTCCTTTAAATTGGTAGGTCCAGACTTTAGAGGAATGTTCATAGGTCCAAATTTTATATTTTCTTTCTGTAAGTTTGTTGGTATGAAGTTAGTATCGTACTGTATTTGATACCACAAATAGTGTGCTGTAACAAATATACTACCACATGTCAAAAGCACCAGATTTCTTCGCATGAATCCTAAAAGCTTATCCATAATTAAACCTGAGGGGAAAAAAATTATCATTTAGAAAACTAAACAGAATTTATAATATCAAAGTTTATAGAATGATTAAATTGTAGGGGCCTACTTGTTTATTAAATAGTAAATAGGCACACAGACCCATAAAGAAATGAATGGTTTTTAATATAGCTTTATCCATAAACAACATCACATTTTTTATTTCTTTACCCACTCCCAATAGTAACAAAAAGCCCCCCCCCCCATGTCACACCTCAGCCTACTACTACTAACAGTGTCTGTCTAAGTGAGGGAGTCTAAGTCTAACACACTGACAGTAACCCCTTTTTGTTTTGATTTTTATAACAGTAATCTGAGTAATGTCTTACTAAAATACTTCTATAATATTAATAAGTCTACACTTTTTTGTTTGTATTACAAAGTCTTTTAACAAAGAAAAGAAGTGGTAAATTTCAGGCTAAATAAATTCAATTAGGCCTAATAATAGTGACTGAATCTCAGAGGCGTAGCGACCCTTCTCGGATCCCGGGGACAAACTTTTCGATTTGCACCCCCCTCAAACTTTCAATTTGCACCCCCCTCAACCTTTCAATTTATTTTTCCAACCCATTTTGGCACCCCCTAAGGTCGGAGCCTGGGGACATGTGTCTCCCCCCCCCCCCTGCTACGCTACTGCTGAATCTACTAGACCTACTAGTACTAGATTCTAAGTCTGTCTTAAAAATGACCTTGATCTTTCTTTTAGTCTTTTAGATTTTAGTCTTTTTATTTTTAGTTTTACAGTGTATCTAGAATCTAGTGAAATCTAGTACTACTACCTAGATCTAGATCTAGAAAAAAAAATTCTCCGACTTACCACAAGGTGGTAAGCTCATATCATTATAAAAATATTACGTTTTCAAATTTTCAATGAAAACAACAGTACAGTACATGTGAGTAGTAGTAGTACACAGTGTGAACACACAGGATCTTCTCTAGACCTGTTCCTGTTGAGTGTTAGTGTCCAAGTAAGCTAGATCTATTTTCAACCAAAGGGTAATAGTCTAAATCTAGACTAGATTTTTAGATCTATATCTAGAGTCTAGAATCAATGTATTTTTAAAAAATAAAATCCAATGCATGAAGAAGTACTGAAGTCGTGCGGAAATAGGCATAGGACGGCATAGCTTAACCTAGATTTCTAGATCTTGACTTTTATCTCTTGTCTAGGTTACTAACGTGTGTATTTCTCAGTTTTCTTATTGCCAGATAAAACGATTGTAAAAAATGCCATAGTCTTGGAAATGGCAGTTGTTACTAGATCTAGATCTAGATCTACTTTTATCTAGAGTCTAGTAACATATTTATGTGCACGATTAACATTCAAGAACTAAAATGTTGAAGTCTTAATACGTCTTATTAGTAACATAGTGATGTGTATTTAGTTCCATTTTTATTTGATTCCGATGAACAAAAACATTTTATGAATTGTTTACTTGTATGTGAGCAAAAATGTGGGTTCGGGGTTACAGGTTACTCCACCATCCTTGTTGATCACGCTTCCCATATATGTGATTTTTTGTTTGTCTTCTACATGGCCTGGTTAGTTATCCCGATGACCTCTGTTTTATTTCTGTTGATTTTTATGTAAGGGAGGTTAAGGGATCGGGTCGGATGGTTACAGATAGAGCTGAGAGAGAGAGAATGGTGATGGTCTTATTCTCTCCCATCAGTGCATCCTCGTAAGGGGGTTTACCAGACCGGAGCTAACTAAATTCTACACACAAAATTATTCACTTTGGTTTCTGACATTAATTCATTTCCTTGATATAGAAATATATATATATATATATATATATATATATATATATATATATATATATATATATATATATATATATATATATATATATATATATATATATATATATATATATATATATATATATATATATGTGTATATATATATATATATATATATATATATATATATATATATATATATATATATACATACATATATATATATATATATATATATATATATATATATATATATATATATATATATATATATATATATATATATATATACATATACATATATATATATATATATATATATATATATATATATATATATATATATATATATATATATATATATATATATATATATATATATATATATATACGTGTGACGCTTACGACTGGCCGGTTTACCGGTTACGACTGGCCACCACTGGCCGTGGGAAAGCTAGTAGGATCTGACCGTCCACACCGCTGATTGGATTCACACCGTGCGCGTTGCACAATTGGAGTCCTGGCAGTGGCGGAACTAGAAAAAAAGGGCCACCCCGCAAAAAAAATTTTTTGGCCCCCCCCCATATAATATATAGACACAACGTAAGCTGTTTCGACGCGTCTTGAAACTAGGGGTGACTGACTGACAGTTAAGAATTTGATTATCTATATACATAATTCTCTCCTGGGAGACGCTAGAAAACAAGCTGTAAGCGCGCTCCCTACCGCCTCCACCCCTACATGGTCTGGTGAGCTGTAGTTCACGCTAAATGTTTACAAGCAGAGCCGGGTTTGGTGACGGCTATTAGGGGCAGATAATTTAGTTTGAAACGATTTTAAACGTAGGGAAGTTAACTAAGAGGAGACTGCTTTCACGGGGGGGGGGGGGGGGGGGTAGGGTAGGGGTTGGGGGAAAGGAGGGTGGGGGTAGTATCGTTCTTAACGACCTACTGATAGTGTTTTAAAGCAAATATTTTCAGTGGCAGCATTGGTACTGTCGAATTCACAAATTATGAATTACTGAAAAGTAGAAAATAAACAACTAAATAGCGGCGTATGATATGCCGCGGGTCGGCTCGTTACTAATATTATTAGGCCTATGTTAATAATAAACATGTCTTGAGCAAAACAGACAATAGATCGGCTATTTTTTAAAAAGTTGACACAGGCTCAGCCAATGAAAGTAGGCCTAGGCTACGTAATTTTCTTGTTGAAATTGAGCAGCCAATGAAATCACAGCCCGCCAAGCGTCTAAGAGCATCGTAAATAGACCAAAGGAATCAATTTATGGTAAATATAAGTTGTTTACATTTATTTAGTTATCTAATCTAAATTAGATCTACTAGATCTAGTTGTAGTCACAAATATTGACTAAAGAAATCGGCATTACACATGCCAGATAAAGCTAATGACTTTGTTTTAAACATTTGGAAAACAGTTTGATAAGCTTCGAAATCTTATAAACAGCCATGACCTACAAAAATAAACGTCGGTTTTTTTTCTGTTCTAAATCTAGACTAGATCTAGATCTAGATATCTAGATCTAATCTAGATCTAGATATCTAGATCTAGATCTAATCTAGATCTAGAAAGAGAATCTAGAATCTAGATCTAGTCTAGCTAGATCTAGAAATCTAGATCTAGATCAGCTGCTTAGCATTAGCGGGGTTAGCCTAGTCGTACGGCGTACACAAAAAAACACATACTCTAGCTGCTGCTGATCTAGATTCTAGATAGAATCTAGATCTAGAGATCTAGAATCTATCTAGCTAGACTGATCTAGACTCTAGAAATATAGATTACGAAAATAGTAAAAATGATAACTAAAATAGTAAAAGTGACTAGAATTGTAGAAACAGGGTTCGTACCCTATTTTGAAAATGAAACCAGACCTTTGTAGCCACACCATTATTTGTGCTTATAGTGCCTTATAGCTGAGAAACTATTGTCTGTTATTAAAAACTACCCCTACCTTCCCCCCCCCCCCCCCCACACACACACACACAACAAGAGACGGTGGAGGGGTCACTGAGGTCACAGTAGCCCAGTCTAATACGTCAGTCATAGCATATACTAACTTTTATTCCCTATTCCCCCACCCTCCCCAGCCAAACAGCACCAACTACGTACTTGGGGTCACGGTAAGTTCATACAAGTTTAGATATCAGTGACCTTAGTTACTAGGAGGGGCGGGCTAGTGTAGCCCTAAATCGGCAGGCTCTGCAAAGATTTCAAAAACAGGAGAGTGAATTGAAAATACATTCGTAGACTACCACTTACAGTTTCCCTCATAATTTTGTTATAAGACTAATACCTGCAACCTCAAACAAACTTAAGGAACAATAGCGGGTAAAAAAAAAAAAGAGGTCAAGATTTGTATGGCCACTCTTTCTCCCCCCCCCCCCCAAGTAAACTAGTATAAACTAGCTAGATTCTCGGAGTCGAGATTCTAGATCTAACTTATATTTATATCTAGATCTAGAACTACTTAGTTTTTTTTATTAGTTATTATTAGGCTTAGATCTAAATCTAGGTTCTTGATTTAGATCTAGGTTCTTGATTTAGATCTAGAATCTAAGTATAGATCTAGATCTAGATCTAAGAAGATTGTTACGGCGGGGTTTAGAAAAATGACAGAATATTCTTGTATTTATTTTTTTTTAAAAAGGTTGGTCTATATTCTCATACGTACTAGATCTATAGATCTAGATCCATCTAGATCTAGATTTTTTAAAAAGGGGGTTGAACTTTAAGATATTATATAGATATAGATTAGATCTAGTGGGTGTTTGTTGTAATAAATGGATGGTGGGTAAGGGTAAACATTGAAAAATCGAAAACTGATGAAAGCAGTAAGCCGTAAGCAAAATAAAAAAAAATAAAATAGCAAAAAAAAGAAACCCATGTAGATTCTAAAATTCAAATGTAACTAATTCGAATCTAGATCATAAACACAAAAATCATATCTCATAAAAAGTTTAGGCCTAAGACAAAAATTCCTCCAGATAAAAAATCAAACAAAACAGCCATGTTCAAGGGAAACTACTCTAATTTTTGTTTGGAAAGATGGCTGCTGTTTTTGTTTACTAATATTTATCTTAAACACATTGTTTAAGGTTAGTTTCATGCTATTTTCGATTGTTTTCGCCATTGATTGTTATTTTTAAATCAGTTATCTGTTACATTTTGTAAACTTTGACATGAATTTACTTATTTCAACAATATTCATTACTTAATACTTATTAGTTACCTCTCCCGCACATAATCATAATAGTATACTAACTAATACTAATACTACTAAGTGTCGCTGAATTGGCGAATTGATTAGGAGTATCATTACTCTCTCAGTCTAGTACTACTCTCTAGATTCTAGATATTCTATTTCTAATTAGATATATAATCTATATACTTCTAGATCTAGTCCCTTTATTGAAATTCTACTCTAGATCTCTAAAATTTAATTGTAGAGTAGCTTAATTAATAAATTATTTATTATAAACCATCTAAGAATAATCTAATCTAGCTTCTAGATCCTAGATCTACTTTAAAACTGCAGTTTTTTTTTAAACGGCAACTTTATTTAATTTTTGTGTATGTGTTATGTGTTGTTTTTTAAACACAGTAGAGTTGAGAAAATCTAGTCTGGCTGGGATATCAAGACGAACTAAACCTAAAAGACAAGTATTCATATTGTCACTTTTTGGGTTGAATTATAACGACAAAACCAGATAGGTTTGGGCAATTAAAACTTTTTTCATTCCTGAAAAATTATACTGCAAATCCAAAAAATTCATGTCGTTCATAGGAAAGCTGCTTATATCAACACAGTAGAGAATCATGGATTTTGTGTGAGATCTATGATAGCTTTTTCTTCTGTCAGCACAGAGAAGTATTGATGGAGATCATTTTCCTGTTTCAGATTTTATTTGATTTCACCTGCAGGTTATCTACCATGCAGTGCAGTTTTTCCTAACATGGCACTTTTTCCACCTCACCCTGTCACTATCTTTTGATTTTTGTTTCTCTCCCTGAATTCCAGGGTTTGAACCTATTTTTCTGTTCTAATATATAGCTGCTAGATATAGTACTGCTATCATTCATTGGCTGTTGGTTAGGTATACCAAAACGTCATCTTGCTTTTGCACATCCAATAAAAGATCATAGAAACAGCTGCTCTAAAACTCTGCCCCATCAAGTCTCTTGACGTTAACTGGTTTCATGGCGATGAAATAAGTTGAAATAATTATTTTAGTTTTAGTGTAATTTAAATTATTTGCTTCCGCGTGAGAGTTGTGTTTCTTATGTTAACTAGTTGTGTTAAAAACTTTGCACACTATGCATTTTGGTTTCACTATTCCATTGCTAATCAAATTTGTGAAATTTGTAATTTTCTGTTCATGTTGGCGACCCCTAAAAAAACCCTTGCGACTCCTAAGAAAGCTCTAAACTCCTTGTGTACTAGAATCTATATAACCCTTTCATTTTAGTCTACTTAACTTTAATTTAGAAATCTAGCTCTGTGGTTAGCCTAGGGTGTAGTCATTTTAACCACTTGTAAAAATAAATTCTAGGTTATAAAAAAATATAATAGATCTAGCTGGTTTCAACAATCTACATTAAAACCTAAACAAATATGCTAAAGCCTAACAGGTATTGTCTACTACAAACTACAAGAATCTAGATCTATAATACATAGCTGGGATGATATTTTGAATCTACCTTTGTAACCCTAACAGAGCAACACCCCGGCCTCAACCAATCGGCGGGCTTGTTGCGTTTAGTTAAATATTGACTAAATAATTTTAGATTTAGGTCTAGATTCTAGGCAGTTTTAAATGACACCACCAGCACAAATCACACATCCTACAATTGATAATTAATTGCTTGGGTTTAGCCTACTAAACAAGGTAAACATGAAGCATTAGTATGTGAGATTTATCATTCTAACCTGCTAGTTTTGCCTTTAATTAATGGTTTAATATTTCAATCCCAAACAACCTTCTATTCTCTGAGGTTAAATATTATCTACTTTATGTAGGCTATTGGATAACATGCCATGTATATGTAATTAAGAACTGTAGGTCTAAATAGTAGTGGTTTTTGTTTAAATCTTTTCTTTTTGCAGCTTTAAGATTGAGATCATTTTGTAATAAATCACGATATGTTTTAATTTCGTTCTTTTGATCGTGTTAATTTTATGTTTCATTTTATTATTGGAACTTTTTGTTGATGCCTTAACAAGCAGTTGTTGTATAAGTAAGTATTTTACCATCTTTATCATATAAGTATTGTTCGATAATTATTATTTTATTGTTACTTACATAGTTAAAAAAATGTTTGTGAAAATTGTTTAAAATGTACTTTTTTTTTCATCTTACAAGCCTTCTTTTTTTTTAAATGAACAGGAAAGATGCCTATTTAAAAAAACAGATTAATTACAAGACAAAGAAAAAATACAAAACATGGCTCCCCTCAAGGTAGTAATTTGTATTAAATCTAGAGACCTAATATTAAGGATGATGCTTTTAAAAATTAGTATAAAAATAGTATAAGGTATTTCACTACCTCATGAGTAGTAGAATTGTTTGTAATACTAACTTATAATTATTCTAAATGCTAACATGTAAGTTCTTTGTTATTAAGTCATACATTTTTCTTTTAGCAGAAGTCACGCTCTGATAGAAATGATGGAGATCTTACAAATAGTCCTTGCAAGAGTCTCAAGTTCAGACTATTATCACTGTTGGTCTTAATTATTGGGCCACCTTTTCTTTTATACCTGGTTCTTCGTTGTGTTAAGGTAAATACATTTTGTCTAACTTCATTAAAAATATTATTAGCCCTACTACCGAGCTGTGATATAAAAAACTGCATTCTATTTTTTTTTTAACCATTAATGTCCCGTAACGCCCGCTGCCGCCCCACACCGTTAATGTCCCGTAACGCCCGCTGCCGCCCGCTTACAATACGCATAGAAAAATTAAATTTGTTTCATTAAAATTTGGCCTACAAATCCTAATTTTTAACTAAACAGGAAGTCGGATAGTTGCAGCATCCTTTTCCGGTCTTCTAATTTCAATGGCGCTTTTGAAAGATAAAAAATAATAGTTTCTTTCTATCTCGAAATTTTAGATTCATCTGTCCTATTTTTAGTAGATTTAATATTAAAAATAAAATAAAATAATGCCTCTAAACGTATCTAGGCATGTATTTTATGAATTATATCTCTTAAACGTAACCAAATTGATATTTAACTGTTAAATTTGATGCATAGTTGTTTAGACAAAAATAAATAAAGTTGACTACCAAAAATGACCTGTTTTGAATTTTCTCCGACATTTTTTATTTTTATACTGTACTTTTACCGAATATAATATATTCTATTTAATACTGTTGGAAAGCCAGGTTTATTCCCAACACTAAGCAGTACTTTTTATCTTAATTTTCAATTTCATTTAGACAAAAACAAATATTTTGTGAAACTATTCACTTGATCATACAAAGTTATGCTCCTTACATTGGGCCGTCATGGGTGGAGTTTTGGTAGAATGAACGGGACATTAATGGTTAAAAGTATTTTCAACCTACTGACTTTTTGTTAATTTTGTTTGTTTTCTACTCAGTATTGATAAAAGTAATCCTTATCCTCAACTGCATCTTTCTTTTAATCTATGTTATAGGCCCTTAATGTATTTACAGAATCAGTGTGTGCTCTTCCAACTTCCTTTGGTTGTTCCAACTCACCTAAATGCATATTTTTCTTCGTATGCTGCTTTACTTGTGTTTGGATTCATAATGATTATGCTTTTGATCAGCTTTACATCCAGACCTGCTTATCTGAAAGATATGAAAGGTAAAGATTATCTTCTTATTAAATTCTTACACTAAAATTAACATTTGTAAGCTATTGTTGCTTTTTAAAAATAATCTTTAATGTTCATCTGATAAAAAACCTTTATTTTTTTGGTGAATAACTGTTTTGGTCATATTCTAAACAAAGTGGGATAATGCACAGTGCTAAATAAAACATTTTTTTTCTGCTGCCTTGAGTGTCAGACCTAGTATATATAAATATATTACATATGCGTTTTATTAATTCATGCGCCTTTTCAATTCATAGGTCTTCTCAATCTGCTGTTCATTAATTTCACAATTTATCTCACCTTAAAAATTTTTTTTAACAGGATTTGACCAGCCACAAGCATCAACTGCTTTTGCCTCTTTAGTCTGCGCTACCATGATTATGTTGATACTAGCTTATCTAAAACCAGAATATATTAGATTCTTATATGAAGAATACTTGCGAATGTTTGCAACAACTACAGCATTCTGTATTGGTTTTAGCTTTTTTGTATTTACATTAAATTTCATAGGAGTCCTGGAAAAAGACAGGGGTAAATTTGTAAGCTTTTTCCAGTTTTAAATTACTTAAATCTTTCAATAAAGTCAATTAACTTTTTTTTAAATACATGTTTTTCTTATAGCAACAAATCAACATATATAATGTTAATTGATTTTAAATGTGTGCGGGATAACTAATTGTTGTATTTTTAAACAGCTTTTTGCTACCCAATGGCATTTTTGTATGGCTACAACACAAATGTGAATATAAACCATGTGGAGCTCAAGTATTTCTTCTATGTGCATGTTGGAATGGTGGCTTGGGCTTTGCTTGATCTCATAATTTTTCTTGATGCTTATTTAAATCAACCCTTTTCTTATTCCGCGACCTTCTTGGCTTTTACACAATATGTTTTTATAGCCCACACCTTACTTTATGAGGTAAAGTAAAGAACTTATTTTTGTGTAAAAATATTAACACATTTTCTTAGTGATTTTAAAGTGATATGTTCTGTTTGTCTAAATAGAATTTTGTCAGTTCAATAACTTTTTTCTGTGTATTTTTAGTCTTACTTGCGAAAGCGGCCATTTGTTTATACTGAAGGGCTTGGCTTTTTATGGCTAATGCAAGTCCTTATGTACCTTCCTTTCCTGCACTCACTGCCAGTTTATTATGTTGCTACCATGGAGAGTTCATTATCTTGGCAGGCCATCTTAGCTGATACTGTCTTATTTAGTAAGTTACAAACATACAATCCCCCCCCCCCCCCTTTAAACCTCCTTTGGTCACATTGTTAACATTTAAAAACAAATAATGCTAATTTTATTAAGTATTTAAGTATTATGTAAGTATAACTAATGTCAGAATTGTAGAGTACAATATGAGTGAAGTATTAATTTTAATAAGTATTTGATCTTTCCCAGTTTTTGGTTTTGTTATCAACATAAGTTCCATTCACCAGAAAGAAAAATTTCTAAGTGATCATCAGTCTTACAGAAGTATGTTTTAAGTTCTTTTGTTCAGTTATTTTTCCTATGACAAAACTGTTTTTATATTTAAATATTATGCTTAAGTTATAGGAAGATTTACCCTTAACAGTTCTTAATCATATTTTTACAAATCAGCTAGAATTTTACTTCATTTAGTTAACCCTTAATAGCAACAATCCTTGTAAAACTTTGCCAATATAGTAGCCTATAGAAAGAATTAAAATTCTGGTGTTAACAAATTGTTTCAGATTTAAAATCCATTCCTGGCCCAGCTCACAGTGGAAAACGCTTGCTAGTCAGCGGATATTGGGGTGTTATACAGAAGCCAGATTACTTAGGTTACATGATCATTTGGTTGTCATGGACAATTGCTTGTGGTATGTTAATTTAACCCTGAAAGCTTGAGTTATAAACAAAGTGTACTTCTAGTGGAATGTTTTCTGAAAATAGTGAGTTTAAATTAAAAAACAAATGTTAGCATTAAATCAGGGTTGCCTACTGGTACATTTTGGTTTGTAACTAGTATAACTTGACATTTTTATTATTTTAATACTCAGGCAAAAAAATCACTCTAATGGTGAAGAACCTGCAAATTTTTTTGTTATATTTAAAAATATGAGACAAATTGAGCAAACAACTGGCTTTTTTATAAGCAATCCAATTAAGGTAAAATTTACGCATACTGTCAGACAGATAAAACTTATATAAATATCTGGCACAGCAAATGAGACTTTGTGGACGCATGTTGCAACAAAAAACACGATGCAAAAGTTCAAGATGGTTCTGTCAGATCTTTTTTCACATATTTACCTTTTGAATCATCAACCTGTTTACAAATACAATCATCAGTCACACGTACGGCTAGGAAGCTATCCAAACCCATTGCTTGTTTTTGTCAAAAATCCCTCATAGCTCACTACGAAAGAATATTCAGCCGGTAAGATAAAACGGACCAGAGAGCTCTTCTTGATACTGAATTTTTAGAAGCTTAAAGATTATCAAAGCAAGTGGCAGCATGATAGTATTGGATTATTATCTTCTAAGAAGGCTTAAATAGTGCTACAGTGTTTTATTTAACAAAACTTTTATTTGAAAATTGTACATACTTTGTATATATTATAGCTACTGTGCATTGTAAAAAGCTTTTTAGTATGTAAAGGAGTTAGTAACTTGACTACTGTTATTGAGTATCCTATTAAAAGTTTTCAATCTGCACACAAAATGGGTTACTGAAAAGTATGGCTTTATTACTGAAAAAAAATTATGAGGTGTACAGCCATGTTAAATTATAAAGTAAATTTAAATGCTGTGATTATAAAAACTAGTTGGTATTGGATTCATTGATTCATTGTCATCTTTTTAATAAAATCTAACTAAAAATATATAGGCTACATTTTTAAAATGTTGAAGTTCTTAAAGATGTACCGTAAATAGTCTTAGTGTGATGGCTGTAAAATGAGTTTTTTAACTGAATGAATTTGATTTGATTTAATTTCAGGCTATAGCTTACTGGCTATTGCTGTGCTTTTAGTTGTGTATGCGACCATGTTTATGTGGCTAAAAAAAAGTGCACAGTACAAGCTGGAAGTGTATGGGCCTGCATGGCAGAAGTATGTCACCTTTGTTCCTTATCAAGTCATTCCGTATCTTTTCTGATGAACAGAAGAAGCAGTATTTTAACAAATGTGATGCATAATTAAAAAAAAATTTAAAAATTGTATGTGCTACTGGATTGAACTCCTTCATCAAGTTGAGATCCACCTTGGCAGCGGACTTATTTTCCAGAGCAAGTCAGGCTTGATATTTTCATCTGTGTCATTATAACATCTTAAAAGTGTTTCATTTGTACCCATTTGTAGTATTGTTTACTTTGAAAAGCTAAACAATGAAATGTTTTGTAGGTAGGCTACTCAAAATTTCATCAAAATATTTTGCTTTGAAGATTTCTTGTATATTAATATCAACATATCTGCCTTTTAATTCCATTATACTTCTTTTGTATTTAATAATACCAGTAAACAATTCATCTAAATTAAAATATTTGCCTTTTTGTTCCATTAAGGAACTTTTTGGTACATAACAATACTAGTACGAGTATAAGTAAACAATGTTAAAATTTTTCATTTTATTCATCTTGTATTTACAACAGCATATATACAATAAAATATCTTTGGCAGAAATACAGGTGTTATTGAGTTACTGTTTGTCCCAATTATTTTCAGCTTTTACAATTATTAATTGTTCAGTTTTTGAATCAAATTTCTAGTTTTCTTTATTCTTTTATCCTTTATAGACTTGTTTTAATTGAGCCAATACCATGCCCAGTCCAAGAAAGGTAATTGTTTTATCCAGCCTTTACAGCTAGATTTATTAATTTAGCAAATACTGCAATCTATTTTTAGTTATTTAAATTGTGTTGTTTTTAGTAATTAGAGTTATCCCCCTTCCGCCCTTTAACCCACACAGCTACCGGCAAAATCAGGTGATAATACGAACTAAATACTTGCAGCTGTTTTTAGTTTATAATATTCAAAAGTTTTTTTTTGTTGTAGTCAAGTTAAAATTTTGTTATGCATTCATTGGTTTTAAAAAATTCAGAAACCATTAACTATTAATTATTTTATACCATAGATGTAATAGATCTAGAACTATATTTTCTATACATTACATGAATGTCTAAACTAATTTGCTGTTTAACTTTACCCCTTACTTAAAACAATAATGCACATAGGATTGGTATTGTTTCAATGGTCCTGAACACCACATTGAACAATGACCAATCCTTTCCGCTACCAAATTAGAGAAATACCTTTTAAAAATGTTCTGTTGAACCTATTTTTTAAAATTGAATTGTGTTACTATTAAATAATTGAGGGACAATAGACCAGATGTCAATTAGTAAATATTTTATACATCTACTAATCTATTTTAAATTCTCAGACCTCTAAGTCCCCTGCAAGAGGAAAAGCTCGAGGACGAAGCACCTCTGCCTCTCGAACAAAATCAACACGTAGCCGAAGCAGAAGTGCAGGAAGGAAAGCCAAAGTAGTTGCAGCTGAAGCTTCAAGTGTTAAAGATACAAAAACAGTCTCTGAGGACTTGGTAAAATCTATTTTTCTATTTTTACTTTAATAAGTTAGAAATAAGCTGCTTTAAGTTAACTTTAAATCTATGACCATTGTATAAACATAAAAAATGTGACATCAGTTTTTAATCTTTTAACAACAAATTAAATTTAAAAAGTATGTATTAAAAATATCTTGCCTGATGAGGTTTGCTTGTTTATTTTAAATAGGTTGATTCAAAGTTGATTGTTGGTCCTGTTCGCAGTAGATCACCTGCTAGGGCACAAAAAAAGGAAACCTCCATCACCAAGCGCTCTGTTATCACGTCTTACTCTAATGTATCTTCCTCTCAAGAGCAAGCTTCTGTAACTCCAGTTCGAACTTCAACTCGCATTGCATCTTTAATAGAAAAAGAGGTCAGAATTTCTCTGATTATTATTTTCAGGTATTAAACATTTATTAGCAGAGGTTATCAGTTGAAGAAATACAGTGGACAAAAAGAATTTGATATCAATGATTACTGTTTTATTTTCTATTAATCAGAAGGAAGATTCACTTCGCCTTAGAGAGCAAATGAAGTCTGAGATGTTATCCAATATCAAGACACCACCAATAAAACCAGCATCTGCAAAATCAAAGCCAAGTAATGGACCGCATTATGAATTCATGGGTCCTATTGGAGCTTTTCTTCTTCTGTTTTTTCTGCCATTAACAGTGTATTATGTTAACTTTGCTTGCTGGAAGGTAAGGATGTTTTTTTTTTTTTTTTTACATTTTTTTCAAAAACTGCTTCAATATACAAATCATTAATTACACATTACATTGACAAAGTGTAAAAATCTTAAATTTTTACTGAATGCATGGACATAAAAGATGAATACTCTGTCACTATACTTGCTTGGCTTACAAGACTAGTTTCGTTACTGGTCTTATACCAAACTGTTGACATGGTATTTTACCATTTGGCTAAGTTTAGAAAAAAATTATTTGAAACATTGGTTTTAAAATAAACATTAAATTAAAATAAAAAAAATTTGTACGTAAATTGCAGTTTTTTTTAGATGCAATAATTTGTTGATCAGTGACCATAATTTACACACCACTACTCTCTAGGGTCAGTGCTCATTTGTACCAAGACTCCCAAGAACAATTACAAGTATTTTTGAAGTTGAAGCAACCCTGATCTACCTTGCATGGTTTTTTTTTCAAGCTTTTCTTGCTATATTGCCAGTTGGAAAAGTTGTAGATGGACAGCCTTTGAAATCTGGTGGAAAACTAAAATACAGATGCAATGGTATAAAAATTATACTTTTAAAAAAATATTGATTGTTGGAAAACTTTAAATAGACTTGATTTTGTCTTAATGTGTTTAAACGGTTGTTTTCTATCTTCTTTGTCCCAGGTTTCTTTGCTCTGGTTATTAGTCTTCTAATGCTTGGTGCTGCTGTCTATTACAAGTGTCCTGTAACCAAAGTAACTGAGAAGTTCTATAAGTTGATGACCACGGCTATCATATTTAGTTTTATACTCAGCATTTGTCTTTATATAAAATCAACCTTTGTTAGTTCCCAGAAGTTGGCTGCCGGAGGAAATACAGGTAATTTGATTGATGCAAATTAGTTACACTTTAAAAATATAGTAAAGATAATTTTACAAAGACACACATGCTGTTGCAAAATAGTCTAAGAATGTTATACCTGTCAATTTTTTTTCTTAAAATTGACGGGATAAATAATATTCCAATAGTTTCTTAAAAGTTTGTCATAGCCGTAGTACTTAAAAATGTTTTTAAAAATCCAAATGACTATTTTAGGAAACATAATTTACGATTTCTTCATTGGTCGTGAACTCAATCCACGAATTGGACAGCTTGATCTTAAATTTTTCTGTGAACTAAGACCAGGCTTGATTGGGTGGGTAGTTATGGATTGGATAATGGTTGTCAAAGCTTATCAGGAAACACAGACATTTCCACCAAATCTGCTCTTGGTAACAGTTTTTCAGACAATATATGTGGCTGATGCACTATGGTTTGAGGTTAGTGGTTTATTTTACTTATATTTTGCAAACTTTGAGATAATCAACTAAAATGCTTTTTGAAAGTAATAAACCCAAGTGTTTATTTAATTTTACTATGATTATGGCAGGTCATATGTTTTTCTAATTAAAAATGAATTTTCAATTAGGATGCAATTCTCACAACAATGGATATAATTCATGATGGATTTGGATTCATGCTTGCGTTTGGAGATCTTGCCTGGGTGCCTTTTCTATATTGTCTGCAACCACGATTCCTACAAGAGTCAAAGTTTGTTCTTCCTTGGTACTGTTTGGCACCTATAGCTTTGTTAAATGGTAAGTCTAAATGCTTTTTTAAAACTTGATAGTGTTGTATTGTTTATGAAGCAATATTTTCTTTTACACCTGTCTTTGCCAACATTTTCATTTTTATTTTAACAAATTTTATGTATTGGTATTGTATGCTAGAACCCAATATTACAAACTTGTGTCTTGGCTTTGAAACACTTTACCCCACACAGATCCCATCATTAACTCCCCTCACTTCCTATTGTCAGCCCTACAGGCAGCTGGAACTCAGTTATGACTACCCTGTTGGCTATTTAAATTTACATTTTGCTATAATATTTACTACCTCAGTGCTTTAATTAGAATAATACATTTCTCTCTCCAGTTGTGGGGTATATCATTTTTAGAATGTCCAATTCTCAGAAGAACAGATTCAGGAATAATCCTAAAGATGATGCATTTTCAGGTAAGCCATATAAATATTTTGTAACTGTATGCCACTGTACATTCAAATCTGACTCATTGAGTTATTTGTCACAGAAATATTAAAAAAAAAACAATAATGAGTGATTTGTATTGACTTAGGAATGGAAGTTATCCCAACTCAATCTGGTAAGAAACTTCTGGTCTCTGGATGGTGGGGAATCTGCAGAAAGCCTAATTATCTTGGCGATCTCATAATGGCACTATCTTGGTCACTTACTACAGGTCAGCTATTTTCTGTCAACCGTTTAAAGTCTAAGAATGAAATGAAAGCTTATGATTATTCAAATTTTTTAAATAGATTACTTTATTTTTACTTTTAGACTTGAACTTAATTTTTTGCTAATAAGTTCATAACTTCAAATAACTTTTTTAAAAATGTATGTCATAAAAATTGTGTTAAAACCCATTTACAAACACATTTATCTTTTTCAGGCTTTGGGCATATTCTGACCTATTTCTATCCATTATACTTTCTTGTGCTGCTCATTCACCGTGAGCGAAGAGACAACGAGCAATGTCAGGAAAAGTATGGGGCAAGCTGGAACAAATATTGTGAGAGAGTCAAGTACAGAATTTTCCCACATGTCTACTGAATATGAGACTCAGCCTAGTCGAAAATAAAATTGTTTAAATGACATTCTGAATAGTGAAGTAACTTAAATGAAAGAATAAGGACAAGCAAATGTTTTAATTATGAACTGTCAACCACCAATACTTAACTGAAATTTAACAAAAATGAAATTTTGAATTTGAATAATTGGCAACTTTTTTAAGACAACCAAATTTTGCTTAACAGTTGTCAAGGTATTTTTTATTGAATGTTTTGATCTGTTGAACAGATGTGTTATGGCATGCTCTTCCTAATTTTACCTATAGCTGATTGTTTTCTCAATGGCTAGTTAGTTAAACTTTATTCTCTTTTAAATTTATGTTGAAGTTATGTTAGTCAAAATGTTGTATAAAATTTATTTTTTATTTTTGGAAAATATTGTTTAAATTTAAAACTCACTCATATTCCAATTTTTAAAGAAGTGTACCACCGCCTACTCAAGCTATTGTAAAAAAGGTTTACATTCCCTGTTTTTAAAAATTACATTTAATATGCAAACCCAGCCTTTAGAATTTGCTTGGATTGAGATTAATCAACACGCAGCTCATCTATTTTCTAGTTTTCAAAAAATTATTTTAACTTTCTATCTTTCATGTACTACTGTTGTGTAATACTTTTCACAAGCAATTTTATATATATATATATTTTACATATTTGTGTGCACCTAACATTTCATTATTTTTTATTGTGTCATGCAACCAATTTTAGTTGTCTATTAATTGATATCAGATCATTTTATAGTGGATAATTATTCACTGCCATGCAAGCTGGCACCCACAATGTCCATGACTTTAAAATGAAGACCAACAACTATTTCAATATTAAAAGTGTTATGCTGAAATAGGAAGGGTAAAAGTTTTATAAATCTTGGTACATAGATTTTCTTTGGTCACAATGGTTTTGTGGTTGAATCTTGTTAGTTCAATTTTACCCCTCTTCTTATATCAGTGATTTTTCTCAAACTTTTTTGATAAAAGTATTGCCAATGACAGCGCAGGAATATGTATTTTATAATCTAATAAAATATTAATTAGTCATTTAAAAATTAAAATCAATGTAAACCTGGTTACATCCAATGATTTATTAAGAATCAACTAAATAGAATAAATGTAACAGTTGGTTTACGTATTTTTTAAAATTAATTATAAATAGAAAATTTAAATGTTAAAAACCTTTACAATAACAAATCTTTAAATGTGCAAATATCAGAAGTCGATATAATTGTCTCTTTCTTAATCTAACAATAAAAGCTCTTGAAATTTCTTAATTACATTATTTTAGCATTAGGATTGAGATTATTTATTCAGATTTGTTGAAAGAAGTCGTAACCTTATACTTATAATGAAGATCCAGCATAATGATTAATTATTCATATCTTTTCAGTGGGCTATTTATAAAACAAAACATCATTTTTGCATTGAATTTGAGTCATTTGAAAATATATTTAAATGTCCCATGTATCTAATTTGTAACATATTTATTACCGACATATTATAATAAACAATAACAATTGTGGATAATAATTAAGCTCAAAATTTGTTTACCATACTCAGTTTGCCTTAGAAAATTGTTTTACATGTCAGAATAATTACTTGTAGCTTTCATCATCATTGATAAATACTGTCATTATTTGATAATGCTATTTTTTTCTGTTTTTTTAATGAAGAATGGCACACAATTTTGTTTTGGCTAACACAATTATAATATAATTGTGTTAGCCAATATAATTTATATTGCTTGATTCTATACTAAGCTGTATTTGTTCTTGATAACTAGCAGATGTTACATTATGGTAGCAACTTCAGCTCTATTGGCAGCTTATGGATGGTCATCATTATAATGCACTTAGTATGTGGTTTCTCTTAAATGAATGACAGAAAAAATGCTACTTCTTAAAACATGAGTTTAGCTACCAGTTCATTTATGTGCTTATTTTTGAGTTGTCAAATCCAGACCAGCTTTTTGACATGGTTTTGTATGTCATTTTTTTGTGTGAATAGGATCTTTTTGAACAGACTGAACTTTTAAAAAAATCATCCTTTCCTCATGTTCATCCATTCATTCATTATGAGGCTGCTGAACATTGCATTGCAATCTTGCATCCTGTCATTTACATTTTTTGATGTTTGTAAAAACAGTAGATGTGTTCATATGTATGTAGAATGCTTTTTGCCTTCATTCATCGAATTAAATTTGATGAGTACCTTCATTTGTTGTGTACTTTATTTTCAAATTTACACCAATATCCCAATGTTTTCCAGTTTTATGTGAAAAAAATAATTTTCTTAAAATGCTGGACCACATTCATAATTAATCATGTTACTCTAAGAGTGAATCATTGCCTATTTTTGCCATCAACCACATTTAGTTTTTTAAATCTGATAACTGGTTTACATGCTAGTTATTGCCACCCACAAAAATTCCAACCAGTGCAAAGGTTCACACTGCCGGCTGGAATTTGTGAATGCAACTTCATATATGTATGAGACCACATGTAATTTAAGTCTTGAGAATATCTTTGGAACAAAATGTATTTTCAATATTTTTATTGCAATTTTATCATGATTATGGTAGCTACACATTTCAATGTGGACTAGCTAAAAAGCCCTTCATTAAGAGGAGGGTTTCTGTAATATTAACACATTTACTTATGAAATTATTTTTAGCAACTTCGAATTCTGGTAATAGCTGTACAAGGATGTAACATTTATTGAGACCTGATTCATTAAGTCCTATTTATCAACTGTGTATAAAAAAAAAAACACCAACATTTTATATATTGTTCAGTAATATACTATACTCCATTCAACATTTTCGTTTTAACCTTTTATTACATAATGAACTCATTAAATATATTCAATCAAAAGTTTTGCTGGTCTGTCATTTATAAATGAACATGAAACTCTGTAAGTTTTATTATTGACAAATTAAAGCTCTTTTGCATTACTAACAATTACATAACAATTACAAAAATATACACACATCTAAGTACACTGTCAAATACTACATTTCACTATTGAATAAAAACTTTATAGGCCATTTAAATTAAGCTGTTTTTTTATATTATATATATATAGTTTTTTTTAAATTTATGTCAATATTTAACTCAAAATTTAACATACACAAGATATTCCACAAGAATTTCAAACCTCAACAGATAGGGTTAAAATTATAAATAAGCATGTGGGAATTGTAATGTAAATTTGTATTATTCAACAATTCAATATGACATAAGTCATTCTGTATTTATCCTATAGATCTGATATTGCAAAATCCTAAATAAATAAAATATGTACATCTATTTAATTACACTGAAAATATTCACTAATATCTTGGTGACGTCTGGTCTTGTCTGTATCATTATTCAAAAGCTGGAAATATAAAATAAAAAGTAAATACAAAGACTTCTAGATTAATTGGAATATGTGATCACCATAGAAGAGATGCACTTAACCTGATCTCAAGTGTACATGTTAAGGGGGCAGTATCACCCAGACTAAGGGAGAGAAACAAAAAATAATTTGAGGAGTATATGTAGGGCAACAATTTTTCTAAAAATGAAATTTGTTTATATTTTATTACATTTCTAAATTTTTTTATAAACAATTTTCCGAAACCATAAGTAAAGTACTTAAAATTTGGTATAAAGTTTCCTTACTTTATAACCTATGGTTGGAACTACAATCATAGCATTCTCTTGTGAGATAAATTTTTTAGAAAATTTCAAAAGTCCCTCCATATTGGTCTGACTTCAAAAAATTCTAAAAGTACAAAATTGGTCACAATGGATATCTTCTAGTTCCAATGGTAGGCTACCATGTTATGCATCTCCTTGAGTATTTTCAGCAGGAAGGGCTTAAATGTTGGAAAGCTGCAGCCCAAAATTTCTTATTAAATTTTTTTTGAGTTAAATTATTTATAAAAAATGTTTGCATCATACATTGACTTTCTTTTATGTGGTGTTTTATAGCTCCTTAATAATAACTATTAAGGTAAAAAAAAATTATGTGTGTATGTATAATAGTTTTTTTTTTTTGACAAATTTTTTCGTCAATTTTCTGTTGTCTGGGTTATACTACTCACTTAAACTAAAACTTAGCCCTAAACCTATTTATTACTTTAGCATTAACTGCAATACCTGACAAAATTTATATAGACAGCTGGGTTTTAGTGGTAATAGTAATAATAAACTGATAATTAGATTTTAAGTTGGGGTATATGTATATGATTTGATTGACATAAACACATGATTGATAGCAGAATAATATATCTGCAAAGGAAGAAGGTTGAATATGATCTTTCTCCACATGATCACATTTATAATGCTTTATCAGTTTTAAATAAAGTATGAGACTTTGTAGAAAGGGGCATTTGCACATGCTTAAATTATTCTATTTATTCTTCTTGTTCTATTTATACTTCTTGTGCTCATAAAAACATATCATTTTGGGTTTTAATACTATGGACTTGTAAATGAAATTTTTTAGTACACTGATAAGACAGCTTCTAATTATTAAGAAGAATACTTGTTACCTGACTAAGCTGTAGAACAGAAGAACTGGCACGTGGACATACAAATACAACTATTTTCTCATTTAACAATGTCACATCTTGAAAATTAGGCTGGTTCTTTCCTGCTGCTGACAATCAAAAGAGTCACAATTATTTCCTAATAATGCCCATAGCAAAAACAAAAATAACAGCTGCATTAAAATAATTTTTAGAATTGATGTAAAATTTCAGAAAAATTTAGTTTTTAATAAAGTTTGAAAAAATAGACAACTTTTTATTATAGGTATTTGTACTGATTAATTATTTAAAATACTTTAAATTAGTCTACAACTTAATAGTATCAGTCATTTTTTATGATCACTGTTATTGACACAGAAATTTGTTTAATGTAGATTTTGTAGTCTAGGCCTAAGAAGTCTTACACTTGTAAGAAGTATTAAAATTAAGGTTTTTTAAAAGAAAAATCAGATATTTAACTTGTTTACCTTTAAATTATGTTACACTTGTGATAAGAAAAAACCAAATTGTTTTTGTTTTTTTCAGATATTGTTTAGTTACCCAAAATATTCATATAAAAAATACACAGCATTTGTAAAAAATAATACAAATAACAGCGACACAATTTTATAAATATTTAAAAAAAATTATCCCTTTTGTTACTATTGTTTTAAAAAACTTATATACTAAAATTTGTTACCTGTGTGCTTCCTTTTGGCTGAGCTGCTTATTGAAAGAAGGCAAATATTCACTTCTTGTGCTTTAAATGTACATGCCAATCTAACAGATTCACCTCAATGTCAAAAGATAAATAAGAAATAAATAGGAAATCTATTTTGTAACATACTCATTCAATAATTTGGGGAGAGAAATGCTACCTGTTAAAACACAATCCTTTGATTTATCATCTTTATGAACTGTAACATCTTTTTTCCTATCAACACAAGTTTTTAATATGGGCTGCAGAAGTGTAAACATTTCCTGTACAAATAAATTTTTTTTTTACAAAAGATGCATGTTGGATTATTAGACATTTTTAACTATTTATAATTTTAAATAAACAGAATCTAATGTGTTTTTCAAGTAAAAATATACAAAACTATTCTTTTAAAAATTTGATAGTTTAAGTTGCTCTAGTTGCTGGATAACATTTAAACTTAATAATATACTGCCTTTTAAAATCTGCCACTAAACAAGAGCATTATCTAATTATCTCCCTTCTATTACTGTCCATCACCAAATCCACCTGCCTTCTTCAAAATGTTTATTTTCCTATTTGTCTTTGTTATTACAGTATTCTTTAAATTATTTTTAATGACTAATTTCACATTTAATTACATTCAAAATTAGATGTTTCATCACCATAGATTCCAGATTAAAAAGGTTCTAAGTCATTTTTGTAATAGGTAGATAGAACTAAGTTATTATTAGTATCTATGTACTTTGTCACTAGAGATGAGCAAAGTTAGAATGAAATAAATTATAATGAATGAAATCGCTCAAAAAATTGAGATGCCAAATTCCATACAATGTGACATGTTAAAGCTGGTATTCTACATACCGCCTCATGTTCTGATTTGAACCAGTCTAATTCAAAGCCATTTTCCAACTGTGACTGGGTAAGAAAGGGCTGTAAGTCCACTTGAACAATTTTCTCACTAGTAACCTGAGGAATTGAGAATGGCGTAACTTAGACAAATCAAGTCACAAATTCTATTTTTAAAAAAAGGAAAAATAAACCGGGAGTGATCTCCCCTAAACTTTCTCGAATATTTTTATATAAAATAACAGGGGATGGGAACTCGGGCTATAGACATGATTTTTAATCCATTTTAAATACTTAAAGTTTTAAAAATAGAATAAAATCTCGTAGACAAATTAATTGCACACCAAGTGAACGCGAAATAAAAAAGCGCATAATAGTGCGCAATATTATTAGTACTTTTGAAATTTACATTAGTTTTTTAAGAAATCGGAAGTAGCGTAAATTACTACTTCCGGTCAACGGAAATTACTCAAAATTTAACAGAAGGTAGAGAATTAGATCTTTTACTTACATGTGAAATTTAATTTATCTATCTGAAATAGTACTCAAGTTATAGGCTTTTGAAAAATTCAAAGTAGAAAAAGTACCACTTCCGGTTGTCGGAAATCGCTCAAAAGTTGATACGGATCTACGATTTTGATAAAATACTTATATATGAAATTTCATCAACCTAGCTGTAACGGTACTCAAGTTATCGTGTTTACACACGGACACACACACACACAGACACACACACACACAGACACACAGACATACGGACAAGATTGCAAAATTATGTTTTTCCGTATCAGTGAGATGCAAAACGTCGAGATTTGCAAAAATCTCGATTTTTTTTTTTTGCACGATTACAAGACTTTCTCTATACTTCGTATATACGAGAAAGTAATTAAGAACATTTTAAATTGTGGCTTGCAACAAGAAATTTAAGAATAAAAATGTATGGCATACAGAACACATAGATCTCCTAGACTCTACTCATCTGTAGTCTGTAGTGTAAGCTATACCAAATATGACAGTAGGCTTACAAGTAAAGTAAGTTGAACTAAAATCTGTCAGTGTTTAAGACCCAGCACTGGGTGACACCATTTAGGGGAGTGACACCAAGGCAAATAAACCGGGAGTGATCTCCCCTAAACTTTCTCGAATATTCTTATATAAAATAACAGGGGATGGGAACTCGGGCTATAGACATGATTTTTAATCCATTTTAAATACTTAAAGTTTTAAAAATAGAATAAAATCTCGTAGACAAATTAATTGCACACCAAGTGAACGCCAAATAAAAAAGCGCATAATGGTGCGCAATATTATTATTACTTTTAAAATTTACATTAGTTTTTTGAGAAATCGGAAGTAGCGTAAAGTACTACTTCCAGTCAACGGAAATGACTCAAAATTTGATAGAAGCTAGAGAATTAGATCTTTTACTTACATATGAAATTTCATTTATCTATCTGAAATAGTACTCAAGTTATAGGCTTTTGAAAAATTCAAAGTAGGAAAAGTACCACTTCCGGTTATCGGAAATCGCTCAAAAGTTGATACGGATCTACGATTTTGATAAAATACTTATATATGAAATTTCATCAACCTAGCTGTAACGGTTCTCAAGTTATCGTGTTTACACACGGACAGACAGACACACAGACACACAGACAGACACACAGACATACGGACAAGATTGCAAAATTATGTTTTTCCGTATCAGTGAGGTGTGAAACGTCGAGATTTGTAAAAATCTCGATTTTTTTTTTTTGCACGATTACAAGACTTTCTCTATACTTCGTATATACGAGAAAGTAAAAAGAGCAAAATATATATAGAAAAATGATAATTCCACTTAATTAAGTGATTAATTCGAGTGTTAAATAGTCTTTTAGGAGGTGAAAATTGAAAGTTTGGGGGGGGGGGTGTTGCAAATCAAAAGTTTGTCCCCCGGGAAGGGTCACTACGCCTCTGGGGGGTGACACCATTAAGTGCTGCACTGGGTGACACCCGAACTCGCTACGCCACTGAAACTATATACTTAAATATACTATATTAAATATTATATTCAGTATTGCTATCCTACAATAGGGCATGGTTAGGTACAGAAGAAACAACTACTAGAGTTACTAGATCTACACAACCTATTAACTATTAATATATAGAATCTAGATCTAGATTCTTTCTATGATCTTTTCTATCTACCACGACCATTCAGTTTACTGATGTACTGTGTCGTGTGAGTGCTAGGAATAATTAAATTTAGATCTAAATCTAGATTTAGATCTAATTTTAAGGTCTTTATTTATTTAATATTTAATATTATTTGGGTCTATTTATTAATATTTAAGTTTTTAAGCCATAAGACTCATAAGTAATTTTACTAATTTTACAAACATTCATGAGTACCCTGAAGAAATGAGAGATAACAGCTTCATTACAGATACAGAGGTCACTGGATATTTTTTGATTAGAAGATGCTGCTGAAGTGTGTGTTGGAGGCATGATCTGACTTTCTGATTTGTGTGTATACTATTAAACTATTAAACTATTAATTAAACTATTATTAACCGGGCGGGTATACCGAGATACTCTCTCTAAACTACTACTACTACTAGTGTATGAATGAACTATGGCTAACTAACTATGGAAACTATATTAAATAAACTAGATCTAGATCTTTATTTTAATTTATAACTAATAAACTATAAATTATATTTTCTAGTGTAAATCATTTATGAATAGGGCCTAAATCTGGAAAAAAAAATCGCATTAATAGAGAAAGTAAAAGTAGAAAGTAAAGATAACTCTTTCCGTTCAAAAAATAGAATTGTCTTGTGCCGCCAAAAAGGAAATTTAAAAATAGCTCCACTGACAATAAAAAAAAATCCTTGGTAACAATTTTTTTGCCAAAATAATAAAAACAAAATTTGACTTTCTATTAATAGGCCTATTGATTCTAGAATCTAGATTTATACAGTACGTAGCATACTCATTGAAGTGGCGTGCAAAAATATTACATTTAAATTAAATGGTCATTTATTTTTCGTCACAAAAAGCCAGCCACTTTAGAACCTTATTAAAAGCCCAACGTTGCAAGCATAGTTTATCCCCTCCCCCTCTATAAAAATGGGGCCTATTTCAAACGAAAATTAACATTTAACAGAATTAATTAACATTAATAGAATACCACGTATTCCTCTTTTCTTCGTACTAGGCCTACCCTTAAGGACCGAGGTTCCAACTTTTGTTAGGGGAGGGGTGTGTGTGGTGGTGTGAAATTTGACGTAGCATAAATTTAGGCCTATTTCTTAACATGAAACCATTCATGACTTTAACATTTATTTTTTTACCAAGATCCTATTATCTTTCGCTTTTTAAAAAGACCGACGCATGCACAAGCTCACCGAACATATAGAAAGACCAATACTAGACCCACCTATTAATATCCCCTTTAGTTACAGAATATAGTCTAGTTGACAATATACATATCTGGAAAGTATAATTAAGTCAAATTTTCTTACTTTTCACCACCAACAACATGTTTCTAGTGAGCCTACAAAATTGTATTATGTAAAAATGATAAAGAACATGTTAACTTGCATTAGAATAAGACATTGTTATTGTAGTATTATGCTGTGTAAGTTAGGCTACTGGAAGGTTCTCTAGTTGTGGAACAGGGGGGGGGGGGGGAGGGAGAATAAACAAACTGAGTGTTGTCATTTGCCAGCCTTTATATTTAAATCAGAGAAAGTAATGACAAGAATGTTAAAAATGTGTGGATACCAAGATGATGACTAACACATGCAAATGAAAATATATCAGCTCTCATGATGATAAAAGTTATAAGCATTAAAAAACTCAGTATAGAATACAATTATTTTATTTGTTTATTTGTATCCCAAATAGTCACATTTCACCATCTTCAAGGCACTTAAAAATAACAGACAGGCAGTACAAAGAGATTGCTAATGATGTTATAAATAATACAAAACAAAATTAAATGCAATTTTAAAAGAGTACAAATATAAAATAAAAAATCTCAATTGAAAAATTTACAAAATGGATTATTTATTATTATCAAACAAGATTTAACCCAGGATGCAACCAAGAGACTGCTTTAGTTGGTGGCTTGTGAAAAAGAAAAGATGGAAATGAAAACTATCAGGAGTTAAAATATATCTGGAACAGAACATTGAGTCTGTAGGATTCAAGCCAACCAGTTTGGGAGAAAAATGGAATTATTTAAAATTTGTTTCCAACATTACCATATCAAAGGTTTAGAAAACATTTTATGTAAACTTTTACAAAGAGCAAGCGAGATGAGTTTCTTAAGTCTTTTTACTGCGTGTACACCAACTTTTCAATCAATGTGTATGGCATTCAAATAAACAGACAACAGAGTTGAAAACGTTATTCTGCAGAACATGCAGGTGAATAGAAAAAAATAAAATGGTGACACAGCCATAACGATATCACACTTTTATTTTGCTATAACAGCTTACTAAAGGGGTAAATTAAAACCTCTGTGCTAGATTGTGCATGTAATGATAAACTCATAGAATGTGTCCAGCTACAGTAGTAATCACATTACATATATATACATTATATTTACATGTTTCTTGAGATTTTACTAATACTTTGTTTTCATAACTTCTGAATACCAACAAAAGCTTAACAATTCCTTTCATAAACTGTGTCAAACAAATGAAAAACATATGCTCTTATATATACAAGTTCGAGCTTGTAATTTTATAGGATCCTTGAGAAAAATTAGAGGCATGAAACTATTTGCAACCAACAGTTTCTAAGTAAGATAGTATTCTTAAATGTTAATATTTGTAGGGCATGTGATGTATATTAATTAATAAGTCATGTTACATTTTAATCACTTCTGTTCTGCATATCATACAAGATATAATTCAGTTGTTAGTAAATAGTTATGTATAGTTGCAAAAAAAAGAACATAATCTACAGCTGTTAGGCTTTCTTACATCACGCTTCATTAATTCATAAATTCTTTGGTTGGTCCACCATCTCAACTCCATAGAGCAGTTTGCTGATTTCTCCTCTTGCCATCAAGTATTTGTTTTCCGAGATTTACATGTTTCTTGAGATTTTACTAATACTTTGTTTTCATAACTTCTGAATACCAACAAAAGCTTAACAATTCCTTTCATAAACTGTGTCAAACAAATGAAAAACATTTAATATTAATTAATAGAGCAGTTTGCTGATTTCTCCTCTTGCCATCAAGTATTTGTTTTCCGAGATTCGTACACTAACGTGAAAGCCTAAAATATTTTAAGATGTATATTGTTAGCATAAGCTGAATTCAGTTAAAAATTCTACAGCTTAAAAAGTGGTAACAGATTTAGCTATTGTTTGTCCATGTGAGCTTTCTTTTTAGTTCTGTTCTAGAGTGAGAACACTCTTTGATCAGCTAACTGGTTAACCCTTCCCAAACCTGTCATTTTTCCCCTTTACTTTTCATTAACAATGTAAAATATTATATCCATAAACAAGATCTGAAGTTTTTGAAAATCCCATTCCCTTATTAAAATAGTGCAAACTATTAAGTGACAAAGTTTAAAAAATATCGGCTTTATAATTTTCTGACATCCTACATTTGTTCTCTGCTAGCTTTTATTACTACCAATCTAAAACAAGTTCACAAACAAGTGAAGATGCTGACCCAAATTTCAGCCTGCTTTTCTTTTTGAATTTGTTTCCTTAGCCTTTGTCCAACCAAAAACAAAATACAAGGCAGCAGTTGTTTGATTTGCTGTGAGAGGGTCGAGCTTGGCCTGATGCGATCCATTACCATTTTAAAAATACCATTTCTATGATCTGTCACATCACAATGATACATGCGATAATCACTTGACACAATGCCTATTATTTTCTATCTCAATATTTATTCAACTACTGTATACATTTAAATCCGCATACACCTATCACATTCATTAAAAAATTTGTTTTTCTTTTTTGAAAGATCATAAATTTCTTTATAAAGAAACCACCAGCCACCCTTGAGACACACTGCCTGTCCCAGGTGAGGAGCCAGTAGTCAGGCAGGTACCCACCAACCCTGCTCTGGAAACAAAACTGCTGCAGAAATGCCAGCCGTCATATGTAATCTTTGTGCTGGGCATCCCAAAAACATATCACTATAATGTACAGCTTCAGAAGAAATGCACATTTAGTGCTCTGCTTGAAAAACAAAGACTTGCATATTCAACTCCAATATAAAGTCTGTTTTGCTATGTGGAGCAGAAACCTGGAGGACAACATTCACTGCCATTCACCAACAGCTCTCTCACATCAGCAATGTCAACCTGTGACAAAGGACAGGCCAATGGAGGAGGAACATGTAGGCATTCACCAACAGCTCTCTCACATCAGCAATGTCAACCTCTGGCAAAAGACAGGCCAATGGAGGCAGAAATAAGGAAGAGATGGTGGGATTGGGTTTGGCTCGCTTTGTAAAAATCACCAACAAGCTTCACCCGACCTGCTCTGAAATGGGACCCCTTAGGTAAGTGAAGGAGAGGTCATCCAAAAATAACCTGACAATGTGAACTTGAGGCCAAAACTAATAGGTTTGGTTACACCTGGAAACTACAGTAAAGGATGGCTGAGGACAAAGGAGTATGGAGATCTCTGTAGTGGCCGATACCTCAACAGGGTGAAGGCACTAAAAAGAATAGTAAAAATCTAAATATTGCTGAGTTATGTTACCTTATGCATAGCTGCTACCCAGGCTGTGCTTTGCTTATGAGCAGCGCCATCATCAACATTTAACTTTATCATGGCAGTGTTACCTAGAGCATTGACATAGCGAATAGCTATCCCTGTCCCAAACCTGTTTCCTGTCGACACAAAACAGCCATCATTTTGTACCTATTTTTATCTCCAGAATCAAATATTCAAAACAAAACTTAATAGTGATAAGCAAATAAAACAAACTTGCTTTCTTTAATAAAAAACAACGGTCACCAAAGAAATCTCTTACCCAACACTTTTGATGACCAATGCTTTGATTGAAAAAAAAGGAAGTTTGTTTTAGTTTTCTTTTAGTGTTATTTTAAAACTTGAAACAAGAGTTGGCTTACTTAAACCTGATAAGCACTGGCACTGGTGTCACCCCCCATTTTTTTTTCCTCTATAAATTTTGCAGTTGGTGTCACAGTTGGTGTTAACATTTAATACTAACAATGTTTATCTATTGTCAGTTGTTAATATTGCTGGTGTAGCATTATTTTCTCTATAGTTTGCATGTTAACGGCATAGTATAACCCCCCCCCCCCTCCCCTTGTCAGGATCATCATTATATACTTTAAATACTTTTAACTCTAACCATTCATTGACCTGGCAATAAACATATTTATTTTATATATCTTGTATTTTATTGTCTAGGTGTCACCCCCCCCCCCCCCCCCAATGGTGTCACCAGGTGCAGTCCGTACCCCCTCGCCCCCGCTACGCCTCTGCTGATAAGTAGCTAGCCATCTCTTAAAGTAAAAGACATTAAGTAGGCCTCTATGCCACTTCTTAGTCCATGTTGGAGTGAAACCTACTATTTGTGACAGAGTTCAAAGCTTGTTATCTCCCCTTTAGTAAGTGACTAGTAATCTTTCAATTAATTTAAAATGATTATTTTAATATTATAATCAGACTGAAAATTGGAAATTATTGTGTTGTCTTTGAAGATGAATGCATCTGGAAAGTTTGAATGAAATTGTTGTATTAGAAGCGGGGTTAAAACAGAGTTACAACATTTGCCACGAACAGCCAATGTGAGCTAGACAAAAGCTTATAAACACTAACCTTGGTGGTCAATTGAGACAGCAGCAATTTGTACTGATTCAAGTTTTCCTATGTAAATGTTCTCCAATCCCTCAACATCACCTTCAAACTGAAGATACCTATAAAATAAAAAATTCAAAAATAAAGACTGTCGCTCCTTATGTAGTTTTTGAATATGCCCTTGACCTTTGCTTTGTGTTAACTAAACAGAAAACTCGGAGCTCATCTAAGATATGACGTGTCAATTACCGATGGTCTGTTGAGAGGGCACATTTGATGACGTTGCCTGAGAGATATTCAGAATCATCATCATCTCTGTACAGCTTGAACTGCCCACCTACAAACAAAAAAACAGACATTTTAAACAGGTTTTTTTCAAAGAGAACAGAACCAAATGAAAGTTATCTGGTAATTTTGGTAGGTTTACCTGCCAGGAGTGTTTTTATGTGTTTGTCAAAAAACTCATTTTCTTTTTTGGTGATAGTCATACAAGACTGGCAGTGCCGGACAGGATCAATGAATCCCATCCTGGGAAGTGTGGCTTGATTTTTGCAGCAGCTGTCACACAGGCATTTTCCACAGCGTCGGCAGTGATGCTATTTGAATACAGAAAAAAGCTCTATATAAGACAGACAACCAGGAGGAAAAACTATACTTGAATCTCAGTAAAATTTTAATGTGTATACTTTTAATAACAGAAAACAATGGAACTAACATGACACGTATTAAACAGTGGGCCTACCGTCAATTCTGACTAGCCAAATTTAAATTACAATTCTTTTGTCTACACTTTTATTTGTTTTCATGTGAATATCTTACAAAACTATTTTGGGGAGAAATATATTTAAAAAAAACAACTTACTTTTCTTTTAATAAAATCAAACTTGACTTGACATTTTTCACATTGTGTGGACTGAAATTGTAAATATAAAAAGATGTAAATGTCTTCATATTATTTGCATGGTTAATTAATTTTTACAACAAGGTGTTAGATTATTTAAAAACAATAACATGAGTTAAAATACCCTCAGATAATCAAGTATGTGTAAGTATGTGTATACGAATGTGTATATGTAATAAATTTTTAGCGCAATTTCCATACTGGAATTGCGATAATTAATTCATCATTTCTGGATGTGTGTCCGCAGCTTTAAGTCGTATCTCCTCCTCAACGAAGCAATATCGAGGACTAGTTCCAAAAGCAAATATGTTAAGCAAGTTCCGAGGATGATTGTGGGCCAAAAAAATTCCCGGAATTCCTTCCTGGATTTCCCGGAAAAGCCAAAAAACCTCGAAATTTCTGGATGTATGGATGTGTGTCCGCAGCTTTACCGCAGCTTTAAGTCGTATCTCCTCATCAACGAAGCAATATCGAGGACTAGTTCCAAAAGCAAATATGTTATGGCAGGAAACAGATTAGTACCGCAAAATGCATATTCGGTCTTCGCTGTTCATAAACTTTCTAACCAGACATCGTTCGGGGATTTTGTTTATACTGATAAATAGAGCAAGGTTTTTACAAGCTTCGTTAGCAACATTTTTGTGGAATTCGTTTTTTATGACATTTTGTGCCGCGGCGAAGGATGCGAAGTATGCAAATCTAGACGGAATGGATCTACTTGGAAAGTACGTGTACTGCACTAATAAGGTAAGAAATAATATTTTGTAAAAATAACTATTATTTTTTTATGGATTTTTCATTAGAAATGATTGCTGTAAATTATGAAAGTAAAAAAAAAGTATATTTGAATGCGTTTTTTACTTTAATTTGAACAAAATGACTGCCGAAAATTACGACACATCGGCGTCGCTGAAAGCGGGAATTTCAGTTAATTTTTTAAGGATATAAAATTGTATTTTTTTACTCCGAAGCATGTATTTAAATAACAGTTAAGTTAAATCTATTTAATTCTGTAAAATATAATTATTATTTTGCCGTAGATACTTTTTTTTTTATTTTTAATGATTTTCTGTCGCGGAAAATCGGTATTCGCACCATGCACGCACACGTAGTAAAACTAGACTTATCTTTAAAACACGAGAATCTTGAGTACACTACAAAGTTTTTAAATGTTAGTTTACTTTTGACTTTAAGCCATTTGTTTTAAATCGAAATTAATTGATAATGTAATTATTTCAAAGTAAAAACTTTCCGTCTGAAATTGGCTTCTAACCTTCGCGACTGAACCAGCCTACGCACGACATTCGCGCGAGTCTGTTTCTTCGCAATAGACAGTCTGTATAGTGTCGAGGGCTAATCCTAAAAAGAACCGAGTCCTCACTAATGTAATGTTTATTAAAATTAGGTACAATTGTTGGAACACATGAGAAATAACAAATTTAAATTTCTTCAAATCTATAGCCAAAAGAAAGTAGAACTTTATAACTCTGTAAATTATGAATCGAGTGACGGCTGTCGTGAAAACGGGAGCCATTGTACTCTTTTTTTTAGGGTGACCTACTTTTATTATAAAAATTTTAAATTCGAAGATTTGATAAGCAGCTGAGTAGCTGAATACGCATGCGATATGGCTGGCACGTTTTGGGATAGGGATCGAGTACACCGTAGAAATTTTTTTTCTTAGAACTACGCGTATTCTTTTTTTTAATCAAAAGATACTTACATATTAGCTGTGGATTTCAATTTCATTACAGAACTGAGGAGAACTAATCACTAACTTTAGTTTTTAAAAGTGATTTTGCTTCTAGATCTAGCGTATTTTCAAAATTACGTAGATTCTAGATCTAGATCGATTTTACTAACTATTTGACAAACGTGTCAGTAAAATGAGGTCACCGCTTCCAGATTCTTAGGTTTTAATTATGTTTGTCATTTTGATCTATTATAAGTAGCATTAAAACTACTGCATCTATCATCAACATTGTTTTTATAGGCCAGTTCTAATGATACATTCTGTTCATTACCAATTCTAATGAAATCGTATCAGACCCTAACTAACACCCTGTTCACTGACACCACTCTATTTGAATGAGGCCACAGACAGTCGTAACTTTAAATTAATTTATAAAGTACTAAACAATTATAATTAGCCATGTAAATGCTGCAACTATAATAAAAATTGGCTTATAGACATATTTTACTAATAATATTTTTTATATAGACCTTCTATATTTAACTCTGTTATTTTTTTCTTCCCCAGAGTGTTTTTAAAAGCCAGAATTTTGAACATTTTTTAAAGGGGATAGCGGTCGTTTTTTTTTCAGAATAATTATAGAAATAAGCTATAAACTGGTATATTTTGTAAAGTTTGAGATAATTACAAATAAATTTATGCCTAAGTGACATTTCTGTGTAATTATATTGTTAATTTTGTGAATTTCGTGGATTTTAGACCTTACTACATTTAGATGTAAAAAAAAAATGTCATTTGAGTGAGTGTGGTTAATCTAAATTTTGAACGTGATGTAAATGTCTAGTGCTATTAATTTTTATATTTTTAATTCCTCGATTGTTAAGCAACAAAATTGATATATAATATGTCAATATTTGTTACTTTGAAAATTGGCGAAAATCGACCCTAAAAGTAGATGTTTGAGAGTTGAATCTGTTTCCTGCCTTAAGCAAGTTCCGAGGATGATTGTGGGCCAAAAAAATTCCCGGAATTCCTTCCTGGATTTCCCGGAAAAGCCAAAAAACCTAGAAAAAAATGCAGTTTTTGGCCCATATCTCGGCAACCAGACCACTTAGCGACTTGAAACATTTACCAATCGATTTCTGCCATAATTTAGAACAATACTGTAGAAGAAAGTTTTCAAAAATATCCTTTCGTTCGGTCACAAAATTTAAAAAAAAATTACATTATACATAATACACTACAGTACTATATAGCAATATAGAGAGTGCGACAACTAAATACCCCTACACGTCCGCAATTTTTTAAAAATCTCGTTAATAAAATTTTTTTTCTATTTTGTTTTGAATTATTAAAACTACTTGTGTTGCATTATTTATTTGCTGAATATATGATTTATCTCGATTTAAAATTGTTATGGATAACATAAGGAAATTGCGCTTAAATTGTCACTAGACTTTTTATTAACTTATTTTTCTTCTGCTGGATGGATTTAATTCTTTTACACAAACCCCCCCCCCCCCCCCCCCCATGGATTAAAATATATATATAGCTTTAAAGCCTTGACAATGAGGTAACGTTTTCGCACATTAATAGCCGCGGGCGATTTTACGTACCCAAAACGATAGATTACCTAAAGTTAAAAGTATAATATTAATAAAGTAAAGAATTTAAAGATGATTCTATATAATTCTAGAACTAAGATCTAGTAGTCAGTACTGTAGTACTAGTCTATGATCTAGAATAGATCTAGAATAGATCTAGATTCTAGAAGATAGATCTACTCTACATAAATACATCATTTTTACATCTGTCCATGGTGGTTCTTGAATGACAAATGGACTTTGAATTCTTTCATCCATGTACATCATTCTCAGTCCACTTTTGGACTTCACTAGTCTTTTGTCGCTCGTCGCCATTTATTTACAACCGGATGTTGACGCCTTTTTTAGCAGGCCTAGATCTAGATCTCTAGATCTATGTACAATGTAGATCTACAACTTACACTATGACTATTATTACATTTAAATTCTCTAAATGTAGATCTATATCTATATCTAGATCTATATTATTAATATGTTTGTGGCAATTAAGTTTTTCGCACTGCCAGCAAAAACAAGGTACAGAACAGTATGTTATTATTGTTAAACTTACTAGATCTATGTCATGTTATGATTTTTTTAGTTATGAATGACGAGCCGACCCGCGGTGTATCATACGCCGCCTTTTAGTTGTTGTTTATTCTACTTTTCAGTAATTCATAATTTGTGCCACTAAAAATATGTGCTTTAAAACACTAAACCCCCCCCCCCCCTAATAGCCGTCACCAAACCCGGCTCTATGATTGTAAAATGTAAACAGAGTGAACACCGCTCACCAGATCATGTGGGGGTGGGGTGGGGGTGGTAGTGATAGTGATAGAGAGAAAGAGAGGGGACTGCAAGGAGGCGCTTGCAGCTTGTTTTCTAACTGATTCCAGAAGAGAATTATATATACGAGCCGGCCCGCGGCATAACATACGCCGCTATTTAGTTGTTGTTTTTTCTACTTCTCAGTAATTCATAATTTGTAAATTCGACAGTACCAACGCTGCCACTGAAAATATTTCTTTAAAACACTATAAGTAGCTCGTTAAGGACCATAACCCCCCCCCCTTCCTTCCCCCCCCCCCACGTTTAAAATCGTTGGCTCTGCTTGTAAACATTTAGAGTGAACACAGCTCACTAAAACCATGTAGGGGTGGGGAGGTAGGGAGCGCGTTTACAGCTTGTTTTCTAGCTGCTCCCAGAAGAGAATTAAATATAGGCCTATAGATAGATTTTATATATATATATATATATATATATATATATATATATATATATATATATATATATATATATATATATATATATATATATATATATATACAGAGCCGGCGTTAGGGGGTGGCAAACGGGGCGGCCGCCCTAGGCCCCGCGCCTGAAGGGGCCCCGCGCTTCAGCACTGTCATTGTTATCTTAATTAGTTTTTAAACTTAAATAAATTTTTGCTGAATTCAATGGGGAAAAACTAAATGGTCGAATGCCGAAGTTGTTGATTGTTATAACTGAGGCCACGGTTGATGTTGGTGAGTTATCACCCAGCTGAACTGGGAAAGGCCGTAATTCGATACAAAAACAGTGTCACAGCCCCCGACCTGACATGGGATGTAAATTTGGGAAACAGGTAAAAAGATACTCTATTGTATGTGGACCGATGAAGACGTCCTTTTAGTGAGCAGAGGGATGCCTGTCGTAGACAATTAGTGACCTGTTGAACGTTAGTCATAACTTTCTTGTTGTAGATGTCTTATATGTAGCCCTACTTGTCTTGGTATAACAAAATTAACATTCAGTTGCGTGCAGAGGGGTGGGAAGAGGGCAACAAGGGGGGGGGGGGGCAGGGGCCCTAAGAATCTATAGCAAGGGGCATTAGACAGAGTGATTTATTATTATTTTTTGGAAGAAAGTTAAAAGTGTTGATGTAGCATGTTTTCTCTATCAGCAGGTTTACGTCATGGTGTCACCACCAGCCCCCCCCCCCCCCCCTCTCTCCACCCTTGTCGGAATGTATCAAATTTGCTCTTAAAAGACTATTTAACACTCTAATTAATCACTTTAAAGTGGAACTATCATTTTTTGTATATGTTTTGCTATTTTTTTGCCTTGGTGTCACCTCCCCTAAATGGTGTCACCCGGTGCGGTCCGCACACCCCCCCCTCGCTACGCCCACGCTTTTATATTAACAATTAGTCATCAACAAACAATTTAAACAACTTTATTTTCCTAATTATTTGGCACGTGATTGAATTTTCTTAAGTGATTTGGTATGAATTACATATCTGTCAAAAGTTATTAAATATCTTAGCAAGAAAAAACAACACTAAGAACATTGGGTTAAAACGTGGGAGAGGTAAACATCTGTTATTAAAGTCTTATAGACTCCAAAACATTTATGTGTTATTATGTGTGTATGCGTATTATATAGGACTATACACACACACACACATATATATATATATATATATATATATATATATATATATAAATATATATATTATATATATATATATATATATATCAGTGGCGTAGCGAGGTCGGGTGTCACCCGGTGCGGCACTTAATGGTGTCACCTCCCCCCCACCAGAAGCATAGAGACCCTTTCAAATTTTCGATTTGCACCCCCCCCTCAAACTTTCGATTTGCACCCCCCTCAAGTTTTTGATTTGCACCCCCCCCCCTCAAACTTTTGATTTGCACCCCCATCAAGTTTTCGATTTGCACCCCCCCCCCCCTCAAACTTTCGATTTGCACCCCCCTCGAGTTTTTTCTCTATATATTTTGCTATTTTTTGCCTTGTTGTCACCCACCTAAATGGTGTCACCCAGTGCGGTCCGCACCCCCCGCCCCCCCCCACCCCACCCTCGCTACGCCCCTGATATATATATATATATATATATATATATATATATATATATATATATATATATATATATATATATAATGGAAAAAAGCAGGCCCCGCGCGGATGGTTGGCCCTAGGCCCCGCGTATTCCTAACGCCGGCTCTGTATATATATATATATATATAAGAAGATTGATACTGGCACTGACTCAGTATGAGTAGTTTTTAAGTTTTTATTTATAGTATTTTAGTCTTTTTAGATCTAGACTCTAGAATCTAACTCTAGATCTAGAATCTAATAGTAGTTAAAGTTAAAGACGTTTAGTAGTTTGCCTTTGGGATTTTGCTCATACTTAGTCATACTAGTCATACACCACCTTCACCCCTCTGTGTAATACTCTGTTTGACATTCTTTCTAAATCTAATGACCTAACTAGTAGTACTAACTACTTAACTACTATACTATATAGATACTACTATATAGTTAGTCTATAACTATTGCATTCTTCCTTTTTGAATTTGTGCCAATATTGTTGTGTCTTTTTATATTTCATATATTTTTTTATACCCCTTTTTACAAAAACCTAACTAAACTGTTTAATTTATGAAATGAATGTTAACTTACTTACAGACTGGACATGGCTGGGTGGGGATGAAGGAGCTGGTCAACTCAGTACAGTCAACTACCCTGGAGGTAGAAGTGCTTCTGGTGTCTGGCCACACAATGACAGTGTTTTTATATTTGGTGGAAAAGGCTTTTCAGATTTGTCAACAGGTATATTAATAGTATCTACATGATGTTCAGACTTACTTTACTCACTTTTTCTAGTTTTCTCTTGAAAATAAATTGGTTACATTGTGTTAGTGTTACAAATGAAGAACTAAATATAGTCCCTACCAAGATGTGACAGACCTGAGACCATTGTCAAGTCTCATAAAAAAACCCACAACAACAACCCTTTTCTGTGTGTTAATAAAATGATTTTATCTTTGCATAGACATAAAAAAAACTTTGAATCTTAGCTTTTTAAAAATGTATTTCCCTCTCACAAGAGTGAAAGTCAGTTTTAGCTATGCCTGTTACTCTACAAAGTAAAAGTAGTAAAGTTCCCTTTTCAAACCTGACGGTCTATGGGGCAAGTGAAGTAGAGTTCACTTGTTTCTGTGACCTCGGTATATGAAGAGATAGTGTGGTCAGCACTATGCCCAGCCGCCTTTACTTTCCCTAACTTGAGTTATGTACCCATCAGAGTTGGGTAGACTCAGGGACGGTCTACTGATTTGAACTCGGATTCAAACTCGAGTCTTACGGGTTAGCAGTCCAGCTCTCTACCGCTAGACCACTCCGTCCCATACTGTACAAAGTTTGAATGTTTTAAATGTTGTGTTTACCCTGCAGGTAGTCCACACTTACTAAATGATGTTTGGCAGTTTCAAACAGCGACCAACTCATTTCATCTTCATCACCCTGGGACATTTCCAGGCACAGCCTTAGAGAATGTGCCGGAGAGTCGGCAACATCCATGTGTTTGTGGTCATGATGATGCAATCATTGTTTTTGGTGGGTTAGGGGCTGGAGGATTTGGGCTGTCAGATTTATGGGCTTACAACATAAATACAAAAAACTGGAGCCAAGAATCAGATAAATCAAAGAACTCATCACTGCCTTCAGGTCGAGGTCAGTCAGCCGTTTGGTGCTATAACTCATCTATGTATGTGTTTGGCGGTATGAGTCACAATTCTGTGTTTCATGATATGTGGAGACTTAATTTAACATCGTTAACGTGGACAAGGCTGTGGGACGAGGACAGCTTGAATGTTACATACAGCAGCCTAAAAAGCCCAATGAATGTTACAATAAGAAGACCAATGGGGAGAAATGGAGCTGCTGCCTGGGTCAGTGATGATACTTTTTATTTGTTTGGTGGAAATACTGATCCTACATTTGCATACAACCTGCAGCAGACATCAGGACTTGCTTCTGATCTCTGGAAGTACCATCCAAGTCACAACTCTTGGCACTTTGTTGCAGGGCCAACTGAGACTGGGCAGGGATCTCGTCTAAATGGCATTGGCACATTTTCTCCATCCAACGTTCCAGGGTGTCGCAGAGGTGCAGCAAGTTGGGCAGACGCTGAAGGAAATCTTTGGCTGTTTGGTGGTGCTGGCAAGGACAGCCAGCCTGACTCTCCCCGCCAGACCAGCAAACTGTTGTCTGATTTGTGGAGATTTCACGTCCGTCTACACCAGTGGGCGTTCATGGGTGGGAGTCAGATTGGGGACCTAGCGGGCTCGTATAAAGCCAAACATGAAGACAAACATACAAGCTTCCCTGGCTCTCGTACAGAGATGCTGGTGTGGAGGAGCCACACGCATGTGGCTGAGATATTTGGAGGGTTGGGACATGACGGGAGAAAGCTGGATGGCTACCTCAATGACCTGTGGAGTGTGGACTTTACTGCAGCTTTTACAAGAGAGTACATGGTAGGCCTGTTCTCTCTTGTTTTAAGCAAGTTACAATCTGCTTTATTTCATGCTAAGTTTTCTTGAATCAAGATAACAGAAATTTTGAGAAGAGAAACTATCATTTTCTTGTTCTCTAGATTTTAGGCATTCATTTAGCCATTTCTTAATATATATTTAGATTTTGGTTAAAGTCACCACAGACTCACCATTTAAATTAATTTATTGAGAAAGTTAATGAAATGGAAGCTTGCTATCACCTGTTTCATGATTAATCATTTAAATTAAGAAAAACCTAAAATTACTTTGGTATTCTATATTTCAGATTTCACCACTAACTGCTGTTTTGTTTTTTGGAGTCGGCACAGGAACTCTTCTTCTTTTGATGGTTTTTATTTTGTGGTCTAGAAAACCTTGCAGGAAAAGTCTTGATTACAGCTACATGAGAGTCCATGTTGATGACATTTGATGTCATTGACATTTGTAAAGTTAATTATGTCAGCAGCTAATTATGTTGGTTACCTTAATAGACCAAGTTATTATAAAATGTCTTCAATAATTGCATCAAATCCATTATTATCTATTTTTATTTACAAACATTAAAGTAGAAGGTGATTAAAAATGATATAAATTCTAAATAATAGTCTACCACCTTTTTTTTTTCTAATCATGATTTACTCTAAATTGAGTGGGGTAAGAAGCATAATAGTCTACCAACTTTTTTTTTCTAATCTTGATTTACTCTAAATTGAGTGGGGTGGGAAGCATAATAGTCTACCACCTTTTTTTTTCTAATCTTGATTTACTCTAAATTGAGTGGGGTGGGAAGCATAATAGTCTACCACCTTTTTTTTTTAATCTTGAGGTACTCTATCAGTGTTTAATACACTTATATAGCATAAATGTTGAACAAATGTTTTTTTTAGTGCAGGTTGTAACACCAAACATGACCCACTAAATAATATTAAAGATCATACTAAACAAGACTAAATGACCCACTAAACAAGGTTAAATAACCCACTAAACACGGCTAAATGACCCACTAAACAAGACTAAATGACCCACTAAACAAGACTAAATGACCCACTAAACAAGGTTAAATGACCCACTAAACAAAACTAAATGACCCACTAAACAAGACTAAATGACCCACTAAACAAGACTAAATGACCCACTAAACAAGGTTAAATGACCCACTAAACAAGACTAAATGACCCACTAAACAAGACTAAATGACCCACTAAACAAGACTAAATGACCCACTAAACAAGACTAAATGACCCACTAAATGATTAATTGACCCACTAAACAATATTAAAAGACCCACTAAATGACCCGCTAAACAAGACTAAATGACCAACTAAACAAGACTAAATGACCCACTAAACAAGACTCACTTTTTTACTTCTCAGAATGAAAATGTCTTCCAATATATTTGACTACAGGCTGACAGTGTTGAGAAATGTTTATGCTAATGTCATATTGGTATTCATTCATTGACATTCCCTTTTTTTTATTGTATTTGTATACAGTTATTTAAAATTATATGACATTTTTTTTTATTGTATTTGTATAGAGTTATTTAAAATTATATGACATTTTTTTGATGTATTTACTTACACATCTCAATGGTTTTGTTTACAATTTAATTCTACCTATACAAGTAGTAGTTTACAAATGTTGAAATAAAATTTCTCAGTAAAAAATGTAATGAGAAAAATTCCGTATTTACATTTTTTAAATTGTGTTTTTGATTGTTAAAAAAAAAAAATCAAGCTAAAACCAGAGGCTTAGCGGGGGGGGGGGGGGGGGGGGGGGGGGCAGGGGGGTTACATATGTCCCCGGGCGCCGACCTTAGGGGGCGCCAAAATGGGTTGTAAAAATAAATTAAAATCTCATTTTAGCTGTATTTTTGCATTATAAATAGTTTGAGGGGGGTGCCAAATTGAAAGTTTGTCCCAGGGCGCCGGGAAGGGTCGCTACGCCTCTGGCTAAAACTTTTTGAACAAAAGCTCTCATTTACTGAATCTATTTTTAGAATCACTTGCAGGTATGGGCCTGCTTGTTACTGACTGGTTGTAAAATATGAGTTAGGTCATGTGACATATCTAAGCAAGAAATAACATTGTTGATTAAAAAAATATGCAAGATGATGATTGTGTTTTGTACCTTTGATATCATTGACTAAATTTGTTGTTATATGGGTCTCTATTATTTGTTGTTATATGGGTCTGTATTATTTATGGGTCTCTATTATTTGTTGTTACATGGGTCTCTATTATTTGTTGTTATATGGGTCTCTATTATTTGTTGTTATATGGGTCTCTATTATTTGTTGTTACATGGGTCTCTATTATTTGTTGTTATATGGGTCTGTATTATTTATGGGTCTCTATTATTTGTTGTTACATGGGTCTCTATTATTTGTTGTTATCTGGGTCTCTATTATTTGTTGTTATATGGGTCTGTATCATTTGTTGTTATATGGGTCTCTATTGTTTGTTGTTATATGGGTCTCTATTGTTTGTTGTTATATGGGTCTCTATTGTTTGTTGTTATATGGGTCTCTATTATTTGTTGTTATATGGGTCTGTATTATTTATGGGTCTCTATTATTTGTTGTTATATGGGTCTGTATTATTTATGGGTCTCTATTATTTGTTGTTATATGGGTCTCTATTATTTGTTGTTATATGGGTCTATATCATTTGTTGTTATATGGGTCTCTATTATTTGTTGTTATATGGGTCTGTATTATTTATGGGTCTCTATTATTTGTTGTTATATGGGTCTCTATTATTTGTTGTTATATGGGTCTGTATTATTTATGGGTCTCTATTATTTGTTGTTACATGGGTCTCTATTATTTGTTGTTATATGGGTCTCTATTATTTGTTGTTATATGGGTCTCTATTATTTGTTGTTATATGGGTCTATATCATTTGTTGTTATATGGGTCTCTATTATTTGTTGTTATATGGGTCTGTATTATTTATGGGTCTCTATTATTTGTTGTTATATGGGTCTGTATTATTTATGGGTCTCTATTATTTGTTGTTATATGGGTCTATATCATTTGTTGTTATATGGGTCTCTATTATTTGTTGTTATATGGGTCTGTATTATTTATGGGTCTCTATTATTTGTTGTTATATGGGTCTCTATTATTTGTTGTTATATGGGTCTATATCATTTGTTGTTATATGGGTCTATATTATTTGTTGTTATATGGGTCTCTATTATTTGTTGTTATATGGGTCTCTATTATTTGTTGTTATATGGGTCTCTATTATTTGTTGTTATATGGGTCTATATTTTTTGTTGTTATATGGGTCTATATCATTTGTTGTTATATGGGTCTATATTATTTGTTGTTATATGGGTCTGTATTATTTATGGGTCTCTATTATTTGTTGTTATATGGGTCTATATTATTTGTTGTTATATGGGTCTCTATTATTTGTTGTTATATGGGTCTATATCATTTGTTGTTATATGGGTCTATATTATTTGTTGTTATATGGGTCTGTATTATTTATGGGTCTCTATTATTTGTTGTTATATGGGTCTCTATTATTTGTTGTTATATGGGTCTATATCATTTGTTGTTATATGGGTCTCTATTATTTGTTGTTATATGGGTCTGTATTATTTATGGGTCTCTATTATTTGTTGTTATATGGGTCTGTATTATTTATGGGTCTCTATTATTTGTTGTTATATGGGTCTGTATTATTTATGGGTCTCTATTATTTGTTGTTATATGGGTCTATATCATTTTTTGTTATATGGGTCTCTATTATTTGTTGTTATATGGGTCTATATCATTTGTTGTTATATGGGTCTCTATTATTTGTTGTTATATGGGTCTATATCATTTGTTGTTATATGGGTCTATATTATTTGTTGTTATATGGGTCTATATTATTTGTTGTTATATGAGTCTCTATTATTTGTTGTTATATGGGTCCATATTATTTGTTGTTATATGGGGCTCTATTATTTGTTGTTATATGGGTCTATATCATTTGTTGTTATATGGGTCTCTATTATTTGTTGTTATATGGGTCTGTATTATTTGTTGTTATATGGGTCTATATCATTTGTTGTTATATGGGTCTATATTATTTGTTGTTATATGGGTCTCTATTATTTGTTGTTATATGGGTCTATATCATTTGTTGTTATATGGGTCTCTATTATTTGTTGTTATACGGGTCTATATTATTTGTTGTTATATGGGTCTCTATTATTTGTTGTTATATGGGTCCATATTATTTGTTGTTATATGGGTCTCTATTATTTGTTGTTATATGGGTCTATATCATTTGTTGTTATATGGGTCTCTATTATTTGTTGTTATATGGGTCTGTATTATTTGTTGTTATATGGGTCTATATCATTTGTTGTTATATGGGTCTATATTATTTGTTGTTATATGGGTCTATATTATTTGTTGTTATATGGGTCTATATTATTTGTTGTTATATGGGTCTCTATTATTTGTTGTTATATGGGTCTATATCATTTGTTGTTATATGGGTCTCTATTATTTGTTGTTATATGGGTCTATATCATTTGTTGTTATATGGGTCTCTATTATTTGTTGTTATATGGGTCTATATTATTTGTTGTTATATGGGTCTATATCATTTGTTGTTATATGGGTCTCTATTATTTGTTGTTATATAGGTCTCTATTATTTGTTGTTATATGGGTCTATATTATTTGTTGTTATATGGGTCTATATTATTTGTTGTTATATGGGTCGCTATTATTTGTTGTTATATGGGTCTATATTATTTGTTGTTATATGGGTCTATATTATTTGTTGTTATATGGGTCGCTATTATTTGTTGTTATATGGGTCTCTATTATTTGTTGTTATATGGGTCCATATTATTTGTTGTTATATGGGTCTATATTATTTGTTGTTATATGGGTCTATATCATTTGTTGTTATATGGGTCTCTATTATTTGTTGTTATATGGGTCTGTATTATTTGTTGTTATATGGGTCTATATCATTTGTTGTTATATGGGTCTATATTATTTGTTGTTATATGGGTCTCTATTATTTGTTGTTATATGGGTCTATATCATTTGTTGTTATATGGGTCTCTATTATTTGTTGTTATATGGGTCTATATCATTTGTTGTTATATGGGTCTCTATTATTTGTTGTTATATGGGTCTATATTATTTGTTGTTATATGGGTCTATATCATTTGTTTTTATATGGGTCTCTATTATTTGTTGTTATATGGGTCTATATTATTTGTTGTTATATGGGTCTCTATTATTTGTTGTTATATGGGTCTCTATTATTTGTTGTTATATGGGTCTCTATTATTTGTTGTTATATGGGTCTCTATTATTTGTTGTTATATGGGTCTATATTATTTGTTGTTATATAGGTCTCTATTATTTGTTGTTATATGGGTCTCTATTATTTGTTGTTATATGGGTCTGTATTATTTGTTGTTATATGGGTCTATATTATTTGTTGTGTGCCTTAACTGAATGATGTCACAACAGACACATACAACTGAATGTTACTTAAAACATTCACTCACTGCAAAATGCAGCATCCAAGTTTAAAAAACACACAATAGTATTTTATGATGAAATACACACTTTAATTAGAATTTCAAATTGCATAGAGATCTATACACTGCCATTTGTTGACAAATACATTAAAAATTAGAAATCTATACATAATTTTATACATACAACAGGCAAATTCTTTTCAAACACTCATCAATATTCTTATCAAATTTTATAAGCCACATTTTTATAAAAAAAATCTGAATGTCTTATATGTCAAGCCAGTTATCAGTCATAAATGTCTGATAAGAGTTGAAGTACCTGTTATAATATGTAACATCAACATCAATCAAATACTGCTATGTGTTTAAATATAAAGCCATTTTTTAAATCTGAAAATCACCTCCGCTTAATGCCTTAATAAAAAGTTATATTCTGGACGATAGGGCAGTGGTTATGACTAGAATTAGTAGAGTACTAGTATCATTTAAGACAAGGTTACAGCTTGTAGCAGAAGGATGGTAGATTACAGTAGTTATGACTAGAGTACCATGTTAGACCATAGGTTACAATACATGTTGTATAAAGATGGTAGATTACAGTAGTTATGACTAGAGTACTAGTATCATTTTAAGACAAGGTTACAGCTTGTAGTAGAAGGATGGTAGATTACAGTAGTTATGACTCGAGTACCATGTTAGACCATAGGTTACAGCTTGTAGTAGAAGGATGGTAGATTACAGTAGTTATGACTCGAGTACCATGTTAGACCGTAGGTTACATGTAGTATAAAGACGGTAGTTGTAATAAAAACAACTAAATCTGCTTATAAATTATTAGACGCGCTAAAACTAGAACATTCTAAACAGCTGGGTTTATTATAATTCATTACATCATCACTTGTCATTAGCTGAATGACAAACAATTGCATGAGCTAGTCATTAAAGATTAATTAATGAGAGCGGTGATTGCTTTCACGTTGTTTAATTTGTCTAGACATAAATGGACAAAATGGGGCGCCATATTTAAGAGGTTACACTAAAAAATGTTTCTGACCCGCTGATTAGGACAAGCCACAAAAAGTTATCCCATGGTATCAAGGTGTTATCAGATGATAGGGGGGGGGGTCATGGCACAAGGGTGGTCAAATAATGGGGGGGGGGGGTGCATGGCATAAGGGTGAAGTCAAATGATGGGGGGGGGCATGGCATAAGGGTGAAGTCAAATGATGCGGGGTTGGGGGCACAAGGGTGAAGTCAAATCATGTGGGGGCCCATGGCACAAGGGTGAAGTCAAATCATGTGGGGGCCCATGGCACAAGGGTGAAGTCAAATCATGTGGGGGCCCATGGCACAAGGGTGGTCAAATAATGGGGGGGGGGGTGCATGGCATAAGGGTGAAGTTAAATGATGGGGGGGGGGGGAGGGGACACCCATGGCACAAGGGTGAAGTCAAATAATGTGTGCCATGGGTTAAGGCAGATGATAGAGCCCATATGTAGGGTGTGAATCGTGTGATGAAGTGGATCCGGTCAAAGTGAGGAACTGTACCTGGTACTCTACTCAGAGGCGTAGCGAAGGGGGCGGGGGGTGCGGACCGCACCGGGTGACACCATTTAGGGGGGGGGGGGTGACACCAAGGTAAATAAAGAGCAAAATATACAGAGAAAAACTTGAGGGGTGGGTGCAAATCGAAAGTCTTAGGGGGGGTGCAAATGGAAAGTTTGAAAGTTTGTCCCCGGGAAGGGTCGCTACGCCTCTGGAGGTGACACCATTAAGTGCCGCACCGGGTGACACCCGACCCACTGACTCAACTACAGCCCTCTGGTTAAGGTCTCTCTGCTCCAGCAAACGTCTCATCGGGGAAGTAAGTGTTTCAATAGACGTCACAAGTTACAAGAATTCTATTCTCTAGGCACTTCAAGAACGGAATAACAAATTGCCACGTTGCACTAGTTTTGATAACAACATGTTAACCTGAGCAACCTATAATGGCCTGTTGCAACTACCAACTTGTATTTACACACATGAGAAATGACCTGTCGCAACTGTTAATTTGTATTTACACACATGAGAAATGGCATGTCACAACTATCAATTTGTATTTACACACATGAGAAGTCGTCGAAGGAATGAGAATAGCCTGGTGTATCCGTATTGTTGCGGGTTAGTAAAATGACTAGACATGTTTCTATAGGCACTGAGTGATGTGTACATGGGACAAGAAACCTGGCCACACAGGTTTACATAGAAGACACGTTTTATCTGGCCAACTGTGAAGGTACAGTAGACTCAGCCTGCCCGAATGTGAAGGTACAGTAGACTCAGCCTGCCCAACTGTGAAGGTATCTGTTAGCCTGTAAGGTTATGTTTATTGCTGGTTCAATCAGATCTGTATGCTTGTCTGATTGAGAGCAACATCTCATCGAATAATACCAAAACCATAGGACAAATGTTGTATGTCAAATGTTCATATTGTTTGGCATATGTCCATATTGTTTAGCAAAGAACTATATTGTGCGTCTGAAAGTTGTTAACTCAAATTTGATTTTACCCAACAAATTTGAACAAACGGCGAAGATTGTCTGCTGCAAGATCTCTACAGAATCGAGCAGGAAACCGAGTCACTCTCCTTGACCTTGAGAACAGAAGCGATGGCGCCATTGATCAGTTTCCGTACGTTTTTCTCCACTTCCGGTGAGGTCTCTATGTAACAAGCCGCGCCAACACGTCTGGCGAACGCCGCGCCTTCTGCTGTGGTCACGGGACGCTGGTCAGTTGTGGCCAGCATCTCAACGATGGCTTCCGCCGACCTGTCCAAAATTTGGGCCGGTTATTTTAGATTTTTGTGTCACACAAAACAATGCTATTCGTATTAAAGTTAAGACGAGATGAAGTCAATATAGCCAGAAAATATCGCTCAATCCTTGCTTTAACATTAAGAGATGCCAGAAACAAACTCTGGTTATGGCAGACGACAAACTTTCTAAACTTGAAGAGGACGCTGGCAGTTATGACAAAAGGTTTTCTTACCTCCAGAGTTTCTTTCAGGCATCTACCCCCCCCCCCCCGAACGATATGGAATTTATATAGTAAACATATACTTTTACTAGTGTCCGCCCCCCCCCCCGGAAAATGTTGACCCCCCCCCCCGAAAATATCAAGTGCACCCCCGGAGAAAAAAGACTGCAAGAAACACTGCTTACCTCAGGTCTGCCTGAGCCCCGACTAGAATAAAGGGCGTGGTGGGGGCGTGGCAGCGTATTTCCGGCAGCCACACATCTTCCACGTGACGTAACGAGACAGGCCGGATGACGGAGAAGCAGACGAAGATGACGTGTGTTCCTACGTACAGGTCTTGACGGAACATCGGGTTCTCTTCCTGGTAGAACATGGGTTGTGGTAATGATAGCAGGCACATGTCATGTGGCCACCACATGTCATGTGGCAGTCGCATGTCATGTTGCAGGAACATGTCATATGGCAGGCACATGTCATGTGGCAGGCACACGCTATGTGACATCACATGTCATGTGGCAGGAACATGTCATTTGGCAGGCACATGTCATGGGGCAGGCACATGCTATGTGACATCACATCTCATGTGGCCACCACATGTCATGTGGCAGGGACATGTCATGTGGAAGGAATGTAATGGATGGCACAACAAGTGCTAAGAGATATGGTGCTATTACTAAAATGATTTAAAAAACAACCACTTACATATTCTTGAGTGTCTATGATGTGCATAAGGATCTGTCGGCCAGCCATCTTGAGAGACCCTGTCATATTATATATACATATATATATATATATATATATATATATATATATTATATATATATATATATATATATATATATATATATATATGCCTATATGTGTATATGTATAGGCCTATACATAATTATACACAATATATATGTTATATATATATATATATATATATATATATATATATATATATATATATATATATATATATATATATATATATAACATATATATTGTGTATAAATATGTATAGGCCTATACATATTTATACACAATATATATGTTATATATATATATATATATATATATATATATATATATATATATATATATATATATATATATATATATATATATATATATATATAACATATATATTGTGTATAAATATGTATAGGCCTATATGTTTTAATTGGGTTTTAAAAAGTTTTTACTTTCTCGTATACAGAGTATAGAGGAAGTATTGCAATCGTGCAAAAAATTAAGTGAAATTCCACACACCCCTCCCCCACACACTTTATCGTATACGGAATATAAAGGATGTATTGTAGTCGTGGAAAAAATCTAAGTCAACATTTTGACATATTTTGACGTTTTTCAACCTTCCTGAGTCAGAATAACTTTTACACACACACACACACACGTAGACATACATGATTGCAAAAATGTATTCAATGTTTCCTTTATCAAGTACCAATTTGCGCTGGGATATACACACACTGTTTGCGTTCATTTGGTGCGTAATTCATGTTTCTACGCAATTCTATTCTAAACATAAAAATTTAGTATTAAAACTCAATAAAACCATATCTATAGTCTTCAAAGTTTGCCCCCCCCCCCCCCAACCCAATATTACAAAAAAAGAATTTAACAGGAAGCTTAGGGGAGGTCAATCTAGCTTTATTTTGTACAATTTCATTACGAGAAAGCGCCAATTTGGAAGATCCCACAGTACATATCGGTGCAGCGGGAAAGATTTTTTGGTGCGCATACATAGCGCTATCACTCAAGATGGCTGACGTCTTATGGGACTGTCGAAGAATTTCTCTCAGTCGCCATCTTCAGGTCAGAGATCCACTAGTCGGCTTAAGTCAATCCACCACCACGTATATCTGGCATTTGCTGCCCAAAGGTTCACGTCGCGGCCGTTAGATTAGAATAGACTAGATCGATCGAACACGTAAGTGCTTTTGTTGGATATAGAACCCACATATCCGCATTAAAAACAATCATGGCGGATGATTTGTACGCGAGCCAAATACCATCCCGTTTCAGGCTTCCCCATATCAAAAAATCCAAATCCAGTGCCGAGGGCATTAGGATCGACCCCTCAATGAAAGAATGTGCGAACCTAGAGGCGGTTAAAATCTTGTCCTGCCTAGACCAAGTGATAGAACACGCACACGTGGCGATGGCAATGCCGTTCATCATCAACAATTTGGACAAGTTCGCCGTCACCATCAGCATGGACATGGTGCAGATGTTCAAGCGCCACAACAGGATCCTGCAGAACTACTACACGCACAGGGAGAGGCTGGCCAACCTGCAGGAGATGAAGGAGGAGTTCCTCAACAAAATCAAGCAGTCCACGGCCACAAGCTCCAAGAAGGAGAAGCTCTCGGTCACCTACCTGGACCTGCTCGACAACTTCGACGACTTTGAGGACGACGAGCAGGGGGAGGAGGAGGACTTTTGTGGCCTGTCAGAGACGAACCTGCAGAAGATAGACGGGCTGCCGGAGGACGAACTGGAGGAGAGCAACAGCCGGCAGACCGGTCTGGCCGGTCAACGGTCTCACAACGCTTCAGACATCGCGCAGGCGGAGGACGAGGGCGGGGCCGCGGAAGAGAAGGATGAAAATTCATCCGCTATTTCATCGAGAGTTAGAAGTGAAAAGGATGAAAATTCATCCGCTTTTTCATCGAGAGCTAGAAGTGAAAAGGATGAAAATTCATCCGCTTTTTCATCGAGAGCTAGAAGTGAAAAGGATGAAAATTCATCCGCTTTTTCATCGAGAGCTAGAAGTGAAAAGGATGAAAATTCATCCGCTTTTTCATCGAGAGCTAGAAGTGAAAAGGATGAAAATTCATCAGCTGTTTCATCGAGAGCTAAAAGTGAAAAGGATGAAAATACATCCGCCCTTCCATTGAAAGTTAATAAGTGCAGAGAATCAGACGAAAAGAAAAAACAGGCCAAGAAAAAAAAGGGCATCGGCTGTATCGGGTTTGGGGAAACGAACCAGTTTGGAGGTTATGTCCCTATAGCAAAGCGCAATAACCTCCCGAAAATGATTACGAGTTACCTAGCCTGCCCAGAAAAGAAAAGTAAGAAATGGGAAAAAACTGTGAAGAAATGGCACACCTTTAAGAACGTTGGTAAAACAGATTCTAACTATTCGGCCAGGGAATATCAAATCAAAAGCGACGATGAGAAAACAGAAGAAGAAGAAGATCAAGCTCCAAGCTTTGCTTTCAGTTACGAACATGAACTCGATGATGAACTTCGCGCAGTCGGCGTTATTTCAGAACAGGTCAGTTATTAATTAATTAACAGGTCAGTGCTTAATTAGTTGGTGCTTAATCAGTAGGACATTTGAAACTATAATGGAACGCAGACTACTTTAGGCAATCTTATTGTGACGCCCCCCCCCCCCCCCCCACGATGAAATAGAAGAATTGAATTTTTTTTTGAAATTTTATGTACATCACCCACTCCCCCGAACAAAATGTCTGAAAGAAACCCTATATATGGCCCACAGGTCGCCCATTCGTTACTGTAGAAAATCTCCACCTCCACAGATTGCTTACTCCTTTAGAAACCTTCTCAAAAAATTTCCTCTGGGGTCGGCGGCCATGGAGATGATCAAAAAAGAGGCGTGGAGTTCGACGAAAGGTTTCCGGTTCCTGTCGGTGATGCGTGACCTGCGCGAGACGATGCAGTTCCGGTTGTGTAGCAGCTACAAGGACCAGATGGAGAGGGAAGCCTACCTGGAGACCGTGCTCAAGAAGGACAAGCACAACGAGGCTGTGCTGGCCAAACTCAGGGAAGATATCGAGATCGCACTCTCGTTTGAGGACGATGATGAGGTGAGTGGGACAAGTGTGTAGTAGGTCAGGTGTGTAGTGGGAGAAGTGTGTAGTGGGACAAGTGTGTAGTGGGTCAGGTGTGTGGTGGGACAAGTGTGTAGTGGGACAAGTGTGTAGTGGGACAAGTGATAGTGGGTCAAGTATGTAGTAGGTCAGGTGTGTGGTGGGACAAGTGTGTAGTGGGACAAGTGTGTAGTGGGACAAGTGTGTAGTGGGACAAGTGTGTAGTGGGACAAGTGGGACAGTGTGTAGTGGGACAAGTGATAGTGGGTCAAGTATGTAGTAGGTCAGGTGTGTGGTGGGACAAGTGTGTAGTGGGACAAGTGTGTAGTGGGACAAGTGTGTAGTGGGACAAGTGTGTAGTGGGACAAGTGTGTAGTGGGACAAGTGTGTAGTGGGACAAGTGTGTAGTGGGACATGTGTGAAAATTGTTTTGAGCTGGTTACTGCGAAAAGAGACGTGTGCTGGGGGAGAGTCATTCATTTTAAACAAATCCTTTTATCCAGCAACTCAACGCGGCGGAAAGTTATCCGCAACGAACTCGATGCCCCACTTTGTCTCAGTACAAAGAGAAATGCCAGGTGTTGAAGTGCCTCCAAGTAGATCTGATCCAAATAGAAAAATTTGCCGACGAGGCTATCCGTAGAAGCCGAGCGGAGGCGGAGAAGACGGAACTTGCCGAGGCGAAGACGAGCGAGACCAAGATCCACGACATGCAGGAGGACATTGATACCCTGCTCAGTGACCTCAACAAGGACATACTGTCCAACAAAGAGACAGAGGCGGATCTTAGAAATGTAAGTGTCTCCTTAGGCGGGTCTAGGGGTGGCTACGGAAAGGATGTAACCACCCTAGTTGTATAGTCTAGGGGTGGCTAGGGAAGGGATCTAGCCACCCTAGTTGTATAGTCTAGGGGTGGCTAGGGAAGGGATCTAGCCACCCTAGTTGCATAGTCTAGAGGTGGCTAGGGAAGGGATCTAGCCACCCTAGTTATATATATATATATATATATATATATATATATATATATATATGTGTGTGTGTGTGTATGGTAAGCCTAGTCCCTCCCACCGGCCGAAATACTTCTGTACCTCCTTCCCTCTTCCATGCTCTATGTTGGTTCAGTTCATCCAAATTGGGTTCGTATATTGGCTAGTTAGTCACCCCCTCCCCTGGTTGGTTGGCTAGTTAGTCACCCCCTCCCCTGGTCGGTTGGCTAATTAGTCACCCCCTCCCCTGGCCGATTGGCTAGTTAGTCACCCCCTCCCATGGCCGCCCCTCCCCTGGCCGGTTGGCTAGTTATTCACCCCCTCCCCTGGTCGGTTGGCTAATTAGTCACCCCCTCCCCTGGCCGGTTGGCTAATTAGTCACCCCCTCCCCTGGTCGGTTGGCTAGTTAGTCACCCCCTCCCCTGGTCGGTTGGCTAATTAGTCACCCCCTCCCCTGGCCGGTTGGCTAATTAGTCACCCCCTCCCCTGGCCGGTTGGCTAATTAGTCACCCCCTCCCCTGGCCGGTTGGCTAATTAGTCACCCCCTCCCCTGGTCGGTTGGCTAATTAGTCACCCCCTCCCCTGGCCGGTTGGCTAGTTAGTCACCCCCTCCCCTGGCCGGTTGGCTAGTTAGTCACCCCCTCCCCTGGCCGGACTTCCCGAAACCACTCAGCTCAATCAAGTACCCATCGTTAGACATCCTCTTGAAGAGGTTCCACGTAATATAATAGTTTCCCTTGTTTCATTTAGTTATATAGAAACCTGTTTCATTTAGTTGCATATTATTATATAAACCTGCTTTATTTTGGTAATATAAAAACCTGTTTCATTTAGTTATATAAAAACCTGTTTCATTTAGTTGCATATATAAACCTGCTTCTTTTAGTAATATAAAAACCTGTTTCGTTTAGTTATATTTAAAAACCTGTTTCATTTAGTTATATTTAAAAACCTGTTTCATTTAGTCATATTTAAAAAGCTGCTTATTTTAATTATACGAGCCGACCCGCGGCATATCATACGCCCCTATTTAGTTGTTTTATTTTCTACTTTTCAGTAATTCATAATTTGTGAATTCGACAGTACCAATGCTGCCACTGAAAATATTTACTTTAAACACTACACCCCCCCCCTTTCCCCTAACCCCGACCCTACACCCCCCCCCCCCCCCCCGTGAAAGCAGCCTCCTCTTAGTTACCTCCTGTAAGTTTAAAATCGTTTCAAACTAAATTATCTGCCCCTAATAGCCGTCACTAAACCCGGCTCTACGATTTGTAAACATTTAATTTAGCGTGACCACAACTCACCAGACCATGTGGGGGTGGGGTGGGGGTGGTAGTGATAGTGATAGAGAGAAAGAGAGGGGACTGTAAGGAGGCGCTTGCAGTTTGTTTTCTAACGGCTCCCAGAAGAGAATTATATATATATAGATGTTGAAACATGTTTCATTTAGTTACATATAGAAACGTACTTTATTTAGTTATATAAAAGCTGTTTCATTTAGTTATATATAAACCTGTTTCATTTAGTGTTATAGAAACCTGTTTGATTTAGTTATATAGAAACCTGCTTCATTTAGTGATATAGAAACCTGTTTGATATAGTTATATAGCAACCTGTTTGATTCTATTTGTTGACTATTGTATAGGAGAAATACAAACTGGAAACTGAAATTGATTCTTGGATCAAGAAATATGACGATGAGATGATATTCAAACAGGTATTTTTTTTTTCAAACGCTAACAGGTAGTTTTTATTTGACTTTATCACTAACGGGTAGTTTTTTCACTCAGTCAGTAACATGCAGCTTTTAAACCCTTGACACTAAAATGTTAAGTTCTTACGCAATCAAATGTGTTGTTGTTCCCCATCAATTGAATAAGAATTGTGACCATCAAACTTAGAACACTGCACATAACTAGAGCTTAACAATAACAGTGGCTAGAATCTAAATGAACTACAATGTTATAGACGATCGATTTGGTAGAGATGTACAATGTTATAGATGATCGATTTGGTGTGGATGTACAATGTTATAGACGATCGATTTGGTAGAGATGTACAATGTTATAGATGATCGATTTGGTGTGGATGTACAATGTTATAGACGATCGATTTGGTAGAGATGTACAATGTTATAGATGATCGATTTGGTGTAGATGTACAATGTTATAGACGATCGATTTGGTAGAGATGTACAATGTTATAGATGATCGATTTGGTGGGGATGTACAATGTTATAGATGATCGATTTGGTGTGGATGTACAATGTTATAGACGATCGATTTGGTGGGGATGTACAATGTTATAGATGATCGATTTGGTGGGGATGTACAATGTTATAGACGATCGATTTGGTGGGGATATACAATGTTATAGATGATCGATTTGGTGGGGATGTACAATGTTATAGATGATCGATTTGGTGGGGATGTACAATGTTATAGATGATCGATTTGGTGGGGATGTACAATGTTATAGATGATCGATTTGGTGGGGATGTACAATGTTATAGATGATAGATTTGGTGGGGATGTACAATGTTATAGATGATCGATTTGGTGGGGATGTACAATGTTATAGATGATCGATTTGGTGGGGATGTACAATGTTATAGATGATCGATTTGGTGGGGATGTACAATGTTATAGATGATCGATTTGGTGGGGATGTACAATGTTATAGATGATCGATTTGGTGGGGATGTACAATGTTATAGATGATCGATTTGGTGGGGATGTACAATGTTATAGATGATCGATTTGGTGGGGATGTACAATGTTATAGATGATCGATTTGGTGGGGATGTACAATGTTATAGATGATCAATTTGGTGGGGATGTACAATGTTATAGATGATCGATTTGGTGGGGATGTACAATGTTATAGATGATCGATTTGGTGGGGATGTACAATGTTATAGATGATCGATTTGGTGGGGATGTACAATGTTATAGACGATCGATTTGGTGGGGATGTACAATGTTATAGATGATCGATTTGGTGGGGATGTACAATGTTATAGACGATCGATTTGGTGGGGATATACAATGTTATAGATGATCGATTTGGTGGGGATGTACAATGTTATAGATGATCGATTTGGTGGGGATGTACAATGTTATAGATGATCGATTTGGTGGGGATGTACAATGTTATAGATGATCGATTTGGTGGGGATGTACAATGTTATAGATGATAGATTTGGTGGGGATGTACAATGTTATAGATGATCGATTTGGTGGGGATGTACAATGTTATAGATGATCGATTTGGTGGGGATGTACAATGTTATAGATGATCGATTTGGTGGGGATGTACAATGTTATAGATGATCGATTTGGTGGGGATGTACAATGTTATAGATGATCGATTTGGTGGGGATGTACAATGTTATAGATGATAGATTTGGTGGGGATGTACAATGTTATAGATGATCGATTTGGTGGGGATGTACAATGTTATAGATGATCGATTTGGTGGGGATGTACAATGTTATAGATGATCGATTTGGTGGGGATGTACAATGTTATAGATGATCGATTTGGTGGGGATGTACAATGTTATAGATGATCGATTTGGTGGGGATGTACAATGTTATAGATGATCGATTTGGTGGGGATGTACAATGTTATAGATGATCGATTTGGTGGGGATGTACAATGTTATAGATGATCGATTTGGTGGGGATGTACAATGTTATAGATGATCAATTTGGTGGGGATGTACAATGTTATAGATGATCGATTTGGTGGGGATGTACAATGTTATAGATGATCGATTTGGTGGGGATGTACAATGTTATAGATGATCGATTTGGTGGGGATGTACAATGTTATAGACGATCGATTTGGTGGGGATGTACAATGTTATAGATGATCGATTTGGTGGGGATGTACAATGTTATAGACGATCGATTTGGTGGGGATATACAATGTTATAGATGATCGATTTGGTGGGGATGTACAATGTTATAGATGATCGATTTGGTGGGGATGTACAATGTTATAGATGATCGATTTGGTGGGGATGTACAATGTTATAGATGATCGATTTGGTGGGGATGTACAATGTTATAGATGATAGATTTGGTGGGGATGTACAATGTTATAGATGATCGATTTGGTGGGGATGTACAATGTTATAGATGATCGATTTGGTGGGGATGTACAATGTTATAGATGATCGATTTGGTGGGGATGTACAATGTTATAGATGATCGATTTGGTGGGGATGTACAATGTTATAGATGATCGATTTGGTGGGGATGTACAATGTTATAGATGATCGATTTGGTGGGGATGTACAATGTTATAGATGATCGATTTGGTGGGGATGTACAATGTTATAGATGATCGATTTGGTGGGGATGTACAATGTTATAGATGATCGATTTGGTGGGGATGTACAATGTTATAGATGATCGATTTGGTGGGGATGTACAATGTTATAGATGATCGATTTGGTGGGGATGTACAATGTTATAGATGATCGATTTGGTGGGGATGTACAATGTTATAGATGATCGATTTGGTGGGGATGTACAATGTTATAGACGATCGATTTGGTGGGGATGTACAATGTTATAGACGATCGATTTGGTGGGGATGTACAATGTTATAGATGATCGATTTGGTGGGGATGTACAATGTTATGGATGATCGATTTGGTGGGGATGTACAATGTTATAGATGATCGATTTGGTGGGGATGTACAATGTTATAGACGATCGATTTGGTGGGGATGTACAATGTTATAGACGATCGATTTGGTGGGGATGTACAATGTTTTAGATGATCGATTTGGTGGGGATGTACAATGTTATAGACGATCGATTTGGTGGGGATGTACAATGTTATAGACGATCGATTTGGTGGGGATGTACAATGTTATGGATGATCGATTTGGTGGGGATGTGCAATGTTATAGACGATCGATTTTGTGGGTCTAAACAGTGGCGTAAGCCGGGAGGTATTAGAATCATCCCTACCCCAAAGTGACGACAAACTTTAGCAATACAATAATGCTAGAAAATTATTTTAATTTCGCGTTGTTAAAATGTTAAAGTTTGAATTGTGTGTAAAATTGCAATTAAAATGTATCAATATACTCAATATTGACCAAGTTCAATTATTTTTTTTTAGAAAGAAATCGTTGTTTAAACCCCCATCCTAACCCACAAAAATTGCAATTGTAAGGGGGATGGTGGGCCTAAGTTTGACCTCATTTTACGGGGGGGGGGGGGGGGGAGCCTGGCTTTTTGTGACGCAAGAGAGTTATCAAATTTTTAAAAAAGCGTGACGTCGTATTTAGATGACCCCTAAGCTGGAGTTTTTTAACGCGAGAATTGCTGTTGATATTTTAAATGCAGGTTAGGTGACGTTAAACTTAACAAGTGGACACTAACATAGACCTGAACCTCCTCAGTCTAGAACAAAAGACCCCCCCCCCTCCTTTTCGCGTACACGTGATACATGAATGCCCTTAACACAGCCTACTCCTTATTAATTTGTCTTCCCAAGGAAGCGATTGAGACGATTGAGATGTACTACGCTGATGAAAGGATCATCCTAGCCGAGCTCGAGGAGACCTACTACAACCTAAAAGTGGCCTACGACGCCATCATGGAAGAGAGGCACATGGCCCGGGTGGCCCTGCACATGATGAAGGCCACCTTCCGCCACACGGTCATCGCCGTGCTGGTCATCCAGTCACTGTGGCGCTCGCACTGTGTCCGCAAGGCCATGGCAGTGGACGCCAAGAAGAAGGCCCGCGAGTTGAAGAAGAAACTTCTGGCAGAGAAGAAGGCGCTGAAGAACAAACCCAAGGAACCCAAGGAGCCAGAGGAGGTGACGGAGGAACAACAGGAGGAACAGGAGTGATGCATGCCGGTAGAGGTGGTGCACACCTGCACAGGTTTTTGTGCACACCTGCATAGGTTTATGTGAACACCTGCATAGGTTTATGTGCACACCTGCATAGGTTTATGTGCACATCTGCATAGGTTTATGTGCACACCTGCATAGGTTTATGTGCACACCTGCATAGGTTTATGTGCACACCTGCATAGGTTTATGTGCACACCTGCATAGGTTTATGTGCACATCTACATATGTTTATGTGCACACACTGGCCTCTTAAACTTAAATGTATAGATTATATATACACAACTTATGTGTATAAATAAAACTATTTTGATACATATTTACAAATTATATACACCATTTTTATTTTTTACTAATACAAGAATTGAATAAATGTTTACCGAAACTAGCCCTAGTGTTTACTTTGATCAGTTTTTGTAAAATTCACACATCTGATTTCTAGTCGCTTGTGGTCAAATCTTGTAACTCAATTTTAACCCATCTCTAACGTCCAACTGTGAAGGTAATTACAATTTTAACCCATCTCTAACGTCCAACTGTGAAGGTAATTACAATTTTAACCCATCTCTAACGTCCAACTGTGAAGGTAATTACAATTTTAACCCATCTCTAACGTCCAACTGTGAAGGTAATTACAATTTTAACCCATCTCTAACGTCCAACTGTGAAGGTAATTACAATTTTAACCCATCTCTAACGTCCAACTGTGAAGGTAATTACAATTTTAACCCATCCCTAACGTAACAATCTCTGTCCAATCGTGAAGGCAGTGGCGTAGGCAAGGGGGGTTAGACCCCTCGGTATATATAAAAAGTATGAGGGGGGGGGGGGTGCAACTCGAAAGTTTGGGGGGGGGGGGTGCAAATCGAAAGTTTGTCCCCGGGTAAAAATTGGAACCCCCCCCCCCCCCCCCCCCCCTTGAGACGATCCTGGCTACGCCACTGCGTGAAGGTAATTACAATTTAAATGACAGCAGAAAGTTTTTTTGCTTTACTTCTTATGCAACAATTCCCAGATGCATCCGTTTCTTTTTCCCACATTAAAATGTTATTGTAATCTGTGGATAAGACTGGATAAGATTCAAGACATAAGAATCAACAATATTCTGTAACAAAAGGGGAGATAACCGGACTATGTACTAGCGATCACTTGATCAGCAAGTTGACGGAGTGAGCTGTTCTAGAATATTCTCTCATCAAGCAGCCGCAAAGAACGATAATAAGGGACAGTCAAGATCGCCAGATACCTATCGTGTTTTGGAGAAGATAGAACGAACAGAATGAAGAGAATAAATATGGTACTTCTTGTATTTAAAAACTTAAAATATCGAAATACTATTTTAAAATAAAATAAACCGGGAGTGATCTCCCCTAAACTTTCTCGAATATTCTTATATAACTTGGAATATAGACATGATTTTTAATTACTTAAACTTTTAAAAATAGAATAGAATCTCATAGAAAAAAGAATTGCGCACCAAGCGAACACAAAAAAAAAAATGTGCATAATAGTGCGCAATATTATTAGTACTTTATAAATTTACATGCGTTTTTTGAGAAATCGGAAATAGCGTAAATTAGTACTTCCGGTCAACCGAAATTACTCAAAATTTGAGAGAAGATAGAGAATTAGATCTTTTGCTTAAATGTGAAATTTCATTTATCTATCTGAAATAGTACTCAAGTTATAAGCTTTCGAAAAATTCAAAGTAGAAAAAGTACCACTTCCGGTTATCGGAAATCGCCCAAAAGTTAATACGGATCTACGATTTTGATAAAATACTTATATATGAAATTTCATCAACCTAGCTGTAACGGTACTCAAGTAATCGTGTTTACACACAGACAGACAGACACACACGCACACAGACACACAGACATACGGACAAGATTGCAAAATTATGTTTTTCCGTATCAGTGAGGTGTAAAACGTCGAGATTTGTAAAAATCTCTATTTTCTTTTTTTTTGCACGATGACAAGACTTTCTCTATACTTCGTATAATCGAGAAAGTAAAAACCACCCATTTAGTGAAAATTAGAAAATAAGACAAATAGGTCTATATAAAGTGTTTATAAGAACAGATTTTTAAATGCTTTCAGAGGCGTAGCTAGGGGAGGGCGGGGAGGGCGGCCGCCCCGGGCGCCGACCCTAGGGGGGCGCCAAAACGGGTAGAAATTTTTTTTAAAGCTCATTTTAAGCTGCAGTTTTGAATTATAAACAGTCAAAGTAAGAAATTTAACGGCTGAGAGCCTTTGCATACTGATTTAACTGTTTTCTACCTTGATTGTGTAACTGTAAAACGTAATCCTTAAAAAACAGTGACCGGAAAAACCGCTTTCTAGCTTTCCTAGATGGGGGTGGGGGCGCTTTTTCGAAGACTAAAATCGGAAAAATTCACATTGGATTAAGGAATAAATAACCTATATCACTCAGAAAAGAAAACCATTGAACTAAAGCGTAATTCACGATTGTGTAACATAAAAAAAGAGTTAGTGACGTTTAAAATCCGCTTTACCATTTTTTGTCCAAGATGGTGGGACTCTTTTTCATCAACAAAAATCGCAGGATTTGTACTGGATCGGTTACTAGATAACTCTTTTAACACTTAGAAAAGAAATAAATTGTATTATAACTTAATGTACTATTTCACCGCTTAGTTTTGCTAAGTAATAACGCGACCAGTTCTTTGTAAGATTCTTACGATTCTCTGAACTTTATCGTGAGAGATTAGATAGTTTTACTTGATTGCATTACATCTTACCTGGATCACTTCATTAAAGAGAAATAAATATCACGGATTCTTGTATCGCTATCTGATCAGTAAAATAGCAGTCTGTCGGAGCGGGTGGTGGAATGCGACACTCTTTACCAAAATTTTAAGAGAGAAGAAAATTAGTATATATACTGATTATTACTTTGTTCAACCTAACTGATAATTTAAAATTGTAATATAGGCCTACTATTATCGAAATTTTCTAAAGAAACGACCAAAAGTAGACAAAATAAGCTTGCACCTTCTACAAAATACACTCCAAGCAGTGGTTGTTAACGTTTTGGAGGTACCGAACCCCACCAGTTTCATATGCGCAATCACCGAACCCTTCTTAATAGTTGTATCGTCCACACTGACAAAATCCGATCGTGAATCATATGAGTCGGGTGTGTGTCTTGACCTCCGTGAAAGCTCTGAGACAGTATTACCGAACCTCTTGGGTTCGATGGAACCCACTGTTCTAAACTCTTTTGATTTTCTTCTTTTATTCGTTTCGGCTTCATAAGGAACATTGGCGTAGGCAACATTTCGTCAACTCACTTGATTTTCATGAAGATGAAACCTAATTATCCAGCCTCCTCCTTAACGTCATGGGCGTCAGCTATTATCATTAAACTGGTTATTACAGCTTCATCATCCAGTACAATTTGTTGTTGACTGTGTGCGAGAAGGCAGCGCACATCTGATAAATCCAAGACTTCGAGCTGTTGTGTCCGTTGGATTCCAGTTTGTTTCCTCTAGCTTGTTTCATTATACAATCAACCAGTCAACGAAATACCCATATCGTATTCCAATGTAAACAATACTTTTGCTATTGTATGTCAATTGTTTCACCTTAATCTAACAAACTTATAATCCAACTATGTACTATATCATAACAGAGACTGTTCCAAAGATAAAACATAAAAAGACTTTCCTAAACGAATTAGCACCGCTATAATTTTTGGACATTAGTTATCATCATTTTTTTAAAGGATAATGCATCTTAAGGGGAATTTAATTGGCATCGAGTAAAGTTTTAGGGAACGACAATCATAAAGCGTAATTATAATTTTTTTTTCCGGACTGTCACACACACACACATGCACACACACACCCACACACACACACACACACACACACACACACACACACACACACACACACACACACACACACACATATATATATATATATATATATATATATATATATATATATATATATATATATATATATATATATATATATATATATATATATGGGGAGCCAAACTGAAAGTTCGCCCCGGGCGCCGGGAGGGTTCGCTACGCCTCTGCTTACAGTAGGGATAATACGGGGTAGTATACAAAATACATACTTACCCCCCCCCCCCCCCCCCTCCCCCCAATGTTTCATGAAGTCCGTCCCCCCCCCCCCCCCGAGAAAAATGTCTGAAAGAAACAGATTGACCTACTGTAAATAACATCGGCCCATGGAACGGACACGGGTCCACCACTAGGGCCCACCCCATGATGCAACAGCCTTGTGGTGTTGCAGCGGCTCCAACCCATCCCTCGCCTCACTCCAAACGGCGAGATCGTCTGCTGCCCGGCTTGTCAACCTACTTCCTAAGGGTTGCGTGTGTGGTTGAGTCGAGTGACACCACAGATGATTAGCCGTGACTGCCGCATTACAACACATCACAGTTGGGTTCGATGGTGGGATCTGTGTGGATTAGCCCGGGAAACATTTACTTAAGGGCTCTAACTGCTCCAGTGGCCCCTGACAAGATTTATCGGAGTTGTGTACCTTGAGGGCGACACTCCCGTCACTGCTATTTTTAGCACAGGCATCGAACTGTACTAGGCGCCCGCTCGCCTGGGGCCTGTTGGAATGTGGGGGGGGGGGGGGGGGGGGGGGGGGGGGGGAATTGAAGGGTCAACATTCAAGTTTTTGCTGACCACTTCAATATTAACACTGACCACTTCAACAATTACCAGTTGTTAGTTTTTTTTATCACAATCTATTCCAACATACTTGGTGATAGTACACAAATTGAAGAATAAGCGACTGGACCAATTAAAATTGATGAAGACACGAACATGAATATAAATCAAGTTAATGGCCATCACAATACATCGTTGACAGACATGGCAAGATCTCGTTGACTGGCAATAAAATAAAGCGGCTGGACAAATTTATTTATTTAAAAAAAAACATTCGCTAATGAGAAATGACGTAATGGTTCAGACACTCAGCTGTGGTGTACAACAACGACCTTTTGTGCTATATATAGCCCAGGAAACCAACCCTTGTAACCGGGTTATCAGTTAGATATTAGTAGATCTGTCCATCCAGTCCCACCCCGCCCCGTCAGAACAAAACAGACGTGCCACGGGGCAGGTACTCGACCAGAGACCCCGACCAACATGTTACCTGCGGTAGACAGGTTTTAATCTCTGTACCACAATCAGGCTACCTGTAACTGACAAGTTTTCTTCTTGGGACCTCACATGGTAACAATACAACATAACTAGGGATAAAACAAAACACCGATAAAACAAAACACCGATAAAACAAAACACCGATAAAACAAAACACCGATAAAATAAATTGAACATAGAGCAGGGTCCGTGTTATCAACGAAGATAGCCACAGTAAGATGTGGCACGTAGCCACAACACAATATGGCATGTAGCCAGTAGCCACATCAAGATGTCACCATCAGCACGTAGCCACACCATGATGTCACCATCAGCACGTAGCCCATCAAGATGTCACCAACAGCACGTAGCCACATCAATGTTATCAAATCGGCAGTGAATGTGACGTGACTAAATGGGCGGGGCGGCAGTGAATGTGACGTGACTAAATGGGCGAGGCGGCAGTGAATGTGACGCGACTAAATGGGCGGGGCAGCAGTGGATGTGACGCGACTAAATGGGCGGGGCAGCAGTGAATGTGACGCGACTAAATGGGCGGGGCAGTAGCGTACGCAGGGGGGGAGCAGGGGGAGCGGCCGCTCCCCCTCTGGCCATTTTTAGCAAAGTGGCGCCTTTTTGGAAACTTTTTAAACTCAAAGTTTTTAACATTGATATTTGTTAAAAAATTATCTTTGGTCGGCACATTTGAAACGTAAATCTCTGTGAATATTGTTTTTTTAATTACCAGTAAAATGTGTGTGAGCAATACAGTGATCTAACCCATACCTTCTCATTATGTTAAAAAATTATCTTTAAAAAACACAACTTGTCAGTAGCAATTAAAAAAATTGCCTAATTTGTAATGTAAGACCGATATTATTGTTATATGTAGGATATTATTATTATTCCGAACGTTTAACTTGTAGAGTGAAAAGCTGGCTTTTATAACAACTCTGATTAAAAAAAAACTTTCATTATGCTGTAATACTTTAGCATTTATAAAGACAATATATTTAATTCTGATTTTAGACAAATAATTTTTGTAAAAACGAATAGTGTTAAGCTACTTTATTAGTTTCTAAAGTAATTATTGACTTGTTTTGATATTTATAATAAAATGTGTAGACATATACATATTTATATTAAGATATTGATTATTTCCCCTTTTCTCTAGTCTTAGATGTCCCAGGAATTATTATGTAATTTTTTTACAAAAATTACGAAACAGATTATGCCGCGTTCATTGTTTTTTTTGGTTGCAGTGTGTTTATATATATATATATATATATATATATATATATATATATATATATATATATATATATATATATATATATATATATATATAATATATATATATATATATATATTTTTTTTTTTTTTTTTTTTTTTTAAAGAGTAATACCATATTTGTTTTTTTCGTCGGCCTACATTGTGTTTTTTTTTCTTCAGAGTGCTTATTTAAATTTATTTTACATCATATCGAAGCAATAACATACAGCTAATATATATATACGAGAAAAATGGCCCGTTGAGGAAGGGTACAACGGGCGCTAGGCTGATAGTGCTGTCTCTTTTCTCTAAACTAAAACCAACCCACCCCCCCACCCCCACACACCACCCCCACCCCCCACCCCACCCCACCCCCCACCCCCACCCATCCCCACACACCACCCCCCACCCCCACCCCCACCCCCCACCCCCCACACACACCACCCCCTCCACACACCGCCCCCCAACCCCCCCACCCCTCCCCCCTCCACCCCCCCCCAAAAAAAAACATGTCTACCGTCCCATTCAACGAAATATAATTATATACTTTTTCCAGTGTCCGCCCCCTCCCAGAAAATTCTACCCCCGCCCCCGAAAATTTCAAGTACCCCCACCCCTCTCCGGGGAGGAAAAAGTCTGAAAGAAACACTGAAACCAACCCACCCCCCCCCACACACCACCCCCCACCCCCCCCCACCCCCACACCACCCCCCCCACCCCCTCCACACCCCCCCCCCCCCCCCCCCCCCCCAAAAAAAAAAAACATGTCTACCGTCCCATTGCAAGAAAACCACTTTTTAGATTAGACACATTAATTAGGCGGTAATTTTATTATAGAGTATCGATGAAGAAATTTCTTTTGAGTTGGGGAGGGGGGGGGGGGGGGGCTCAGACGTTCTTACGCGGGGGTGGGGCTTCGCCCCTACCCGAAGAATTGTATGAAAGAAACTCTTCACGCAAACCACTTAGATTAGACAACATTTCCTCTTTATTCAATGTTTACGCCAGAATCAATGACGTCATTATATTACTGTGTGCACTTTCCGCCTTGAGATTATTTTCAACTCTGTGCTAAATGTGTCGACGTCATACTTCGTTTTTCGAATTACTATGCATGTTTTTAAATTGCTTGTGTTTTCTCTACAGCGTTCTTGTCAGACAGATAGATAGATAGATAGATAGATAGATAGACAGACAGCGAAACTATTATTATAGATATATATATATATATATATATATATATATATATATATATATATATATATATATATATATATATATATATATATATATATATATATATATATATATATATATATATATATATATATATATATATATATATATATATATATATATATATATATATATATATACTTATATAGAAAATATTACATATTCGGCGCCTTTTTTGCTATTTCCGCTCCCCCTACAACGAAAACCTGGATACGCCTCTGGGGCGGGGCAGCATTGGATGTGACGCGACTAAATGGGCGGGGCAGCAGTGAATGTGACGCGACTAAATGGGCGGGGCGGCAGTGAATGTGACGTGACTAAATGGGCGGGGCGGCAGTGAATGTGACGTGACTAAATGGGCGGGGCTTCAGTGAATGTGACGCGACTAAATGGGCGGGGCGGCTGTGAATGTGACGTGACTAAATGGGCGGGGCGGCTGTGAAATGTAAGGACTATCAAAAGCAATGTTTAAAAAACCGTCGAGTCATTTTCTTGCCCAATGTTTGATTGTTACAAACTGAATCGGCGTGAGACACTATCACTACATCGCAAGCATGGGGGTCAAGGTATACAAACGTGATGTCAACAACAAACAACGGCCGGCGGATTAAACCATAAAACGCATGACAAAAATAAAGCAAATATAAACAACTTACTATCTTCAATAAAAGCATTGGTCGCTCATGACTATCTCTTGCACATTTTAGCGCGTGAGCACTATGACGCATACATTCGTTGTAAAGAGCGCCCTACACTAGGGATCCGGCAGGCTACTATAATATTCTATGGCTAAATCAAGCCATGGGTCACATAGGCCATGCAGTAATGTAACAGGTGGCCCCTCGACCCCCGACCCCCTTGACATCTGGGCCGTCGCTGAGGGTGATCTATTTTAAGATTACGGAGGGCTATCAACGTACGCTTGAGATTTTCATACAGCACGCCCTGTGGCGTCTGGGCGAAAGTGTGGACACACCCGCGCCCCAACAACTAAGTTCCAAGAACTATAGTGCCGCTATGATTTACATTTGAAAAACTCATTTCTAGGGGGGAAAAATGCCACGCGTCTAAAAATACACGTTTGGTGACGCATTAATGCAACATTCTTAAATGTTGCGTCAGTTTGACGCGGTGGACTAAATTAGGAGAGTCAGTGCTTCTCACATGGACAACTGTATGTGGTCAGCTGACGCGTGATATAACCTTCTCATTTATGCCTGTACCCGGCAAAAAATTATATTATAAATATCTGGTTCCCACAAGCACTCAAATATAAAATGTAATGGACACTGAAATATTTTCCATATTGAAGTCAATAAAAAAGTCAGATTGTCCGTGAGTCAGATTGTCCGTGGGTCAGAATGTCTGAGAGATTGTCCGTGGGTCAGATTGTCCGTGAGTCAGATTGTCCGTGGGTCAGATTGTCTGAGAGATTGTCCGTGGGTCAGATTGTCCGTGAGTCAGATTGTCTGAGAGATTGTCCGTGGGTCAGATTGTCTGAGAGATTGTCCGTGGGTCAGATTGTCCGTGAGTCAGATTGTCCGTGAGTCAGATTGTCTGAGAGATTGTCCGTGGGTCAGATTGTCCGTGGGTCAGATTGTCTGAGAGTCAGATTGTCCGTGAGTCAGATTGTCTGAGAGTCAGATTGTCCGTGAGTCAGATTGTCCGTCAGTCAGATTGTCTGAGAGTCAGATTGTCCGTGAGTCAGATTGTCTGAGAGTCAGATTGTCCGTGAGTCAGATTGTCTGAGAGTCAGATTGTCCGTGGGTCAGATTGTCCGTGGGTCAGATTGTCCGTCAGTCAGATTGTCCGTGGGTCAAATTGTCCGTGAGCCAGATTGTCCGTGAGTCAGATTGTCCGTGAGTCAGATTGTCCGTGAGTCAGATTGTCCGACAGTCAGATTGTCTGAGAGATTGTCCGTGGGTCAGATTGTCCGTCAGTCAGATTGTCCGTGAGTCAGATTGTCCGTCAGTCAGATTGTCCGTGAGTCAGATTGTCCGTCAGTCAGATTGTCCGTGAGTCAGATTGTCCGTCAGTCAGATTGTCCGTGAGTCAGATTGTCCGTCAGTCAGATTGTCCGTGAGTCAGATTGTCCGTGAGTCAGATTGTCCGTGAGTCAGATTGTCCGTGAGTCAGATTGTCTGAGAGTCAGATTGTACGTGAGTCAGCATGTCTGTGAGAAGCCTATAGGAGAATGTTGACTTACCAGCATAGTTATCAAAGACTGAAGGCACGTGTTGGGTGGGGTAGCGGTTAGTGGCATATCCCATGAGCATGCTCGTTTTACCCACGGCGTCGTCCCCGACCACCGCACACTTCAAGTAGGTCACCTCCTTCATGGCCGTCACCATGGTGAGGCTCTGGGGTGGGGGCGGGAACTCGTGTCTGGCTAGCAGACGACACTTGTCTTGGTGTGAAAATGACGTAGACAAAAACAATTTGAAGGCATGAAAATGTGACGCGCTCAGACTTGCCAGGTTTTACTCACACTATGAGCAGACGACTGTTTGCTGCGACTATTATAGCAGACGTGAAGTCACTGAGAGGCTGGCGGGTAGGAATGTTTCTTTTAGTGAGCCACTCGACCTTGAACTTGTCCTCACTCAACACAGGCGTCTTCTTGTTTACCTTGGCAGACGATACAACATAGCGAGTGAATTTTGGTTGATGATCAAATTTTGTCACCTAACTTTTGAAATCAAAGTTTTTTCATGCAACTGGTGTGTGTGAATGACTGGTGGATGCTGAACTATGAAACAAAAACACCGAGTGTCCTGACAACAAGGCGTCACGTGACAACAAAGAATCACGTGACACCAAGATATTTCTTATCGTCGACTAGCGCGTGTTGCCGCCATCATGATGTACTTTACACAAATTTTGGCCGCTTTTATCCTAATCTTTTTGTCACAACAATTTGTTGAGTCAGAAACAAACAACCAAACGTTAGACAATAATTTGTGTACCAAACGTTAGACAATAATTTGTGTACCAAACGTGGGACAACAATTTGTGTACCAAACGTGAGACAACAATTTGTGTACCAAACGTGAGACAACAATTTGTTTTGTCAAACAATTTGTGTACCAAACGTAGGACAACAATTTGTGTACCAAACGTGGGACAACAATTTGTGTGCCAAAAGTGGGACAACAATTTGTGTACCAAACGTGAGACAACAATTTGTGTACCAAACGTCACACAACAATTTGTGTACAATACGTTGGACAACAATTTGTGTACCAAACGTAGGACAACAATTTGTGTACCAAACGTGGGACAACAATTTGTGTACCACACGTGGGACAACAATTTGTCTACCAAACGTGGGACAACAATTTGTGTACCAAACGTTAGACAACAATTTGTGTACCAAACGTGGGACAACAATTTGTGTACCAAACGTGGGACAACAATTTGTGTACCAAACGTGAGACAACAATTTGTGTACCAAACGTGGGACAACAATTTGTGTACCAAACGTGGGACAACAATTTGTGTACCAAAGTTGAGACAACAATTTGTGTACCAAACGTGGGACAACAATTTGTGTACCAAACGTGGGACAACAATTTGTGTACCAAACGTGAGACAACAATTTGTGTACCAAACGTGGGACAACAATTTGTGTACCAAACGTGGGACAACAATTTGTGTACCAAACGTGGGACAACAATTTGTGTACCAAACGTGGGACAACAATTTGTGTATCAAACGTGAGAAAACCATTTGTGTACTAAACGTGAGACAACAATTTGTGTACTAACCGTGGGACAACACAAATAAGTGATGCTGTGTTGGAGATCGGGTGAGGGGTTTGTGTGCGCGTGTGTGTGTGTGTGTGTGGGGGGGGGGGGTGATGGGACTGCCACGTTGGAACAGGTGCTCTAGTGTGTGCTGACAATTGGCGGTAATCGCACCAATCTGGACCAGACGACTGGCAGGTGACATTCAGGGTTTCTGTTAAAATCGTCTCGTATAGGCACAGGTTTTATCTGGTGTGAGGGACACACGTGTAAGAGTGATGTCGTGTAGGAATGTCGTATATGTGTAATGTCTTGTAGGAATGTCGTGTTGAAATAATGTCCTGTAGGAATGTCGTATATGCCGATCAAGTGAGACCAGCCTATTGATTGAATCTATCAAGGGAGACCAGTCTATTGATTGAATCGATCAAGGTAGACCAGTTTATTGATTGAATCTATCAAGGGAGACCAGGCTATTGATTGAATCGATCAAGTGAGACCAGCCTATTGATTGAATCTATCAAGTGAGACCAGCCTATTGATTGAATCGATGAGACCAGCCAATTGATTGAATCTATCAAGGGAGACCAGTCTATTGATTGAATCTATCAAGTGAGACCAGCCTATTGATTGAATCTATCAAGGGAGACCAGTCTATTGATTGAATCTATCAAGAGAGACCAGCCTATTGATTGAATCTATCAAGAGAGACCAGGCTATTGATTGAATCATCGATCAAGGGAGACCAGGCTATTGATTGAATCGATGAGACCAGCCAATTGATTGAATCGATGAGGGGAGACTAGCCTGTCAGTGATTTATCAGATCGATGACGCTACTGAGTCGAAGATATACCTGGATGTTGACACGCAGGTCAACTCCGTGACGTCACGTTCCGCTTAATTAATCAATACAAAACCATATTGACCGGCTGATTAATTATTGTTTGATGAGCGTTTCGGTTATAGGGATAAAAATATGTTTTATGGCACTAGCAGAGCGTAAAATCATACTACAAACCACATTCACTATTTCAGACATAGGAGAGCAGGGGGCGTCGTGGAAGAGGGTGGAGGGGGTGCAAGAATTATGGAATGAGATAGCCGTAGTGGTGAGAGAATGTGGAGGAAGGTGTTTTATCGAGATTTCTAGAATCCCGTTATAGTGTGTGGTATGGGTGTGAGGTGTTTTAACTGTAGCTAGTGTCATGATGAAGCTAGGACTGGGGGTGTTATAACTACTAAGAGAGGGGTGATGTGGGAGGTGATATAACGAGAGTACGTGTGTATAGAGTACTCACCAAGAAGCCGTTGGAGAAGTCGTCAGTAACCAGAATGTAAACACAATGGCGTCTGGCCTCCCGACTAAACGGCTCACATGAACACAGGGCACGTCTCACTGGGGTGGGGGGGGGGGGGGGCATGAGCAACACACCTGTTGTAGGTTACCGTGCCTGCGTCCAATTGGGTTCCAACCTTTTCATGCAAAATGGAAACATGTGTTGGAATTTGTATCCACTGCTAGAAGAATTCCAGAAATTTTAAACCAGATCCGCACGAAACGAATGATGTAACATCTTTAAAAAAACGAAAGGGCGAAAAAAAAACGCGACTTGTTTCGCCGAGGTTTGAGGTGATTTTTAAAGTGAAGAAAGCGAGAGGCACACACCTGAATGGGACTATTCGAAGAGTTGATCATCTGGGTCTATTTTTAGCGGGCTGGCTGGATGGGGCAGTGCGGAGAAGGGAGGGGTTTCCTGATGACGTCACATACTATGTGAGGAATTCCCAAACTCAGCGAGTGAATCGGGGTGAATAGGGGGGGGGGGAGTGGTAGAGGGTTGGTCAGGTGGGGGTGGATGGGTTGGATAGGTGAGGGTGGATGGGTTGGATAGGTGGGGTGGATGGGTTGGTCAGGTGGGGTGGATGGGTTGGATAGGTGGGGTGGATGGGTTGGTCAGGTGGGGGTGGATGGGTTGGTCAGGTGGGGGTGGATGGGTTGGATAGGTGGGGGTGGATGGGTTGGTCAGGTGGGGGTGGATGGGTTGGTCAGGTGGGGGTGGATGGGTTGGATGGATGGGGGTGGATGGGTTGGTTAGGTGGGGGTGGATGGGTTGATCAGGTGGGGGTGGATGGGTTGGATAGGTGGGGGTGGGTGGGTTGGTCAGGTGGGGGTGGATGGGTTGATCAGGTGGGGGTGGATGGGTTGATCAGGTGGGGGTGGATGGGTTGGTCAGGTGGGGGTGGATGGGTTGGTCAGGTGGGGGTGGATGGGTTGGGTAGGTGGGGGTGGATGGGTTGGACAGGTGGGGGTGGATGGGTTGGACAGGTGGGGGTGGATGGGTTGGACAGGTGGGGGTGGGTGGGTTGGTCAGGTGGGGGTGGATGGGTTTGTCAGGTGGGGGTGGATGGGTTGGATGGATGGGGGTGGATGGGTTGGATAGGTGGGGGTGGATGGGTTGGTCAGGTGGGGGTGGATGGGTTGGATAGGTGGGGGTGGATGGGTTGGATAGGTGGGGGTGGATGGGTTGGTCAGGTGGGGGTGGATAGGTTGGATAGGTGGGGGTGGATGGGTTGGTCAGGTGGGGGTGGATGGGTTGGATAGGTGGGGTGAGAGGGAGATAAATCAAATCCACAAATAATATGATAAAGGGATTTAAATCAAGTAGACAATGAGCATGAAGTTAACACGGCTATTGACACGAAGATAATATATTCAAACCAAAATACCAGTCCCACTCAGGTGGCACACAGATTACTGAGTCATTAACAGATCTATAAATAGCCGTGACACGCGTCGTCTGGTCCAGCTAGATGACTAGTGACGAAACAGTGGGGTGTGCGACACGTGATCTGAATCCATCAGCGGCGTCACCGTAAAACAATAAGTCTCACCATAAGTCTCACCGTAAAACAAACCTTTTATAATAAAACAATAAGTCTCACCGTAAAACAATAAGGGTCTCACTGTCTCACCATAAGTCTCACCATAAAACAATAAGTCTCACCATAAAACAATAAGGATCTCACTGTAAAATCAGAGTCTACCATAAAAGAAGGGCCTCAACTCCCACCGCCAAAGTTCAAACATTTCCTGCTGTACCTTTACTTTGTTGTTTTCACTTTGATTTCTCTCTCTTTGTTGTTGCTGTTGTCACTCCCCTTGTTTTTGTGTTGATTCCCATTAAAGTCTGTTACTCCCCTTTCCTTGTGTTTACTCATCTTTGTTTTTGTTTGTGTATACCTTTGTTGTTTGTCTGTATTTCTTTTGTTAAGGCAGTTATCCCCCCCCCCTGGGTTAACTCAGTGTTCCCCACGTTACTCCCCTTGCGTTAGTCTCTGTCCTTTCTGTCGTGTCTATTGTGTAATTCCCCTCTTCATGATGAACTGAACACAAGAATTTAGGCGCCACACTGGACTGGAACTAGTTTGCCGTAATTCTAACAAATACAGATTACAGTACTGATAGTATGCCGTAATTCTAACAAATACAGATTACAAGTCCTGATGTTTTTATGAGTTGCACGTGTTGTGGTAGGTCACAGTGCAACAGTGCAGGCGGTATTGGGTTTTTGATTAACTTGTTTTGTTGGTGTTGCTTGTCTCAAATATGAAATCAGAAGAACAATTTATAAGGAACACTGCACCATGACATTCATTTTATATAGGGCCTATTATATATATATATATATATATATATATATATATATATATATATATATATATATATATATATATATATATATATAATTCTCTTCTTCGAGCCGTTAGAAAACAAGCTGCAAACGCTCTCCCTACCTCCCCACCCCTACATGGTTTTAGTGAGCTGTGTTCACTCTAAATGTTTACAAGCAGAGCCAACGATTTTAAACGTAGGGGGGGGGGGGGGGGGGGGAGGAAGGGGGGGGGGGGGGGTTATGGTCCTTAACGAGCTACTTATAGTGTTTTAAAGAAATATTTTCAGTGTCAGCGTTGGTACTGTCGAATTCACAAATTATGAATTATTGAAAATTAGAAACAACTAAATAGCGGCGTATGTTATGCCGCGGGCCGGCTCGTCTATATATATAATTCTCTTCTTCGAGCCGTTAGAAAACAAGCTGCAAACGCTCTCCCTACCTCCCCACCCCTACATGGTTTTAGTGAGCTGTGTTCACTCTAAATGTTTACAAGCAGAGCCAACGATTTTAAACGTAGGGGGGGGGGGGGAGAAGGAAGGGGGGGGGGGTGTTATGGTCCTTAACGAGCTACTTATAGTGTTTTAAAGAAATATTTTCAGTGTCAGCGTTGGTACTGTCGAATTCACAAATTATGAATTATTGAAAATTAGAAACAACTAAATAGCGGCGTATGTTATGCCGCGGGCCGGCTCGTATATATATATTTCTCTTCTGGGAGCCGTTTGAAAACAAGCTGCAAACGCGCCTTGCAATCCCCTCTCTTCCTCACTAGGCATAAATCAACCTCCCCCACCCCCGCATGGTCTGATGAGCTGTAGTTCACTCTAAATGTTTACAAAACAATCGTAGAGCAGGGTTTGGTGACGGCTATTAGGGGCAGATAATTCAGTTTGAAACTATTTTAAACTTAGAGGAGGTAACTAAGAGGAGGCTGTTTTCAGGGGGGGGGGGGAATGGGGGTTTAGTGTTTTAAAGCAAATATTTTCAGAGGCAGCATTAGTACTGTCGAATTCACAAATTATGAATTACTGAAAAGTAGAAAAAACAACTAAATAGCGGCGTATGATACGCCGCGGGTCGGCTCGTATATCATAATCAGACATTGTTAAACACGCCAATCGTGTCTGTATTTTAAATATTTAAAAAGGGAAGTAATACAGTGTTAACATGGTCACATTTAAGTTAATTAGAGTTAGTTCCCCTGTTTTCAACTTTATATTTTATATTTTACTTGTAAGATATTCGTATATGAGCTAAAGGATTGGCATGTTTAGAGTAACAAAACTTTTCTGCTACAGATCTGCTACACTTCTGATAACAACGACGTGTAGACTCGTACATTGAGACAGGCGACGTTTGAAGGGGTGTGGGTACCTGTAGAGTTACGCCACATCGTTCCACGTCTTTAATGGCTGAAACTGGAGAACAGGGTCTCTTTGACCTGGGAACAAAAATGGAAACAGACATTTAAATGGATTCCCAAATCTTTACAAATAATTTCCCAAATCAAGACCTCAGGCAAAATGAAGACCTCGGATATAGATCATGCAAAATGAAGACCTCAGATATAGATCAGGCAAAATGAAGACCTCAGACATAGATCAGGCAAAATAAAGACCTTAGATATAGATCAGGCAAAATGGAAGCACGAAGAAAAGGGGACACAAACGTATCAGACAGCAGTGTCAACGGTGTGGGGGTGGGGGTGTAGACGTGACGTCATCCAGGTAGGGAACACCAAAATAAACGACTGCCAGCTTTTAATTAACTACTTAATTAAGTACATCTTACGTCACATGTATGGTGGTGACACAGAATAGGGCATGTGTTTTATGTTGTGTGTGTATGTGTGTTTGTGTGTGTGGGGGTGTGTGAAAGTGAAAGCGGGGTTAGCCATGTCGGTGGTTGTCAATGGTGTTTATGTAGGGGGTTGTCACAGCATTGTCCAGTTATATTTTACGGTATAGATGCCATGACATCACAGTGTTCAGGGCTAATGACATAAGTAAAAACTTATCACAAGTAGTTTTTTAGAAGTAAAAAAATTTCTTTTCGCGTAATCTTAGGCAGCCTATCAATATGTAGCTATTTTCAAATCATTAAAAAATAATAATTGCGGTATAAAGCTACACTAGCTACATTTCACGTCACCGAATAAAAAAACTTTGCTGTCCGTTGTTGATGGAATTTCCGAGAAGTAAAATATTTTAAGTACGGAACTTGTTAAGTTAAACCCAGCGAAAGCCAGCAATCAAAGTGTGTGGGTCCTGGCTGTGGGGGCTCAACCACACGGATCACCTGTCACACAGCTCAGGTATGTGGCTAATGTACCTGGCCGGTCATTGTTTCACCAGTCCGTCTTGATTGAATATTTGACATACCCGATACGCACCTGATCTGATAGCAGCTCATGATTGGACGTATCGATGTGGGGGGAGAGGGGGGGGGGTCGCCACCTGCAAGTTTGACATTTTTTGCCAGAGGGGTGGGGGGGGGAGGCGGATATAAATCATTCGTGTAGCGGCGATGGACGTGCAAGGGGGCGGGGGTAAAGAGTGCCCACACCGTGATGTAGGTACGGCCTGACACCAGTACAGTAGCGTAAAAGGGCGGGGCTCAATTGGGGTTCGTCACCACCACACCATCTGATGGACATTGACCACAGGTACTCCCTCCAGTTGAAGGCCATTGGTCACATGTACTCCCTCCAGTTGAAGGCCATTGACCAAAGGTACTCCCTCCAGTTGAAGGCCATTGACCACATGTACTCCCTCCAGTTGAAGGCCATTGACCACATGTACTCCCTCCAGTTGAAGGCCATTGGCCACAGGTACTGCCTCCAGTTGAAGGCCATTGGCCACAGGTAATCCCTCCAGTTGAAGGCCATTGACCACATGTACTCCCTCCAGTTGAAGGCCATTGACCACATGTACTCCCTCCAGTTGAAGGCCATTGGCCACAGGTAATCCCTCCAGTTGAAGGCCATTGGCCACAGGTACTGCCTCCAGTTGAAGGCCATTGGCCACAGGTAATCCCTCCAGTTGAAGGCCATTGACCACATGTACTCCCTCCAGTTGAAGGCCATTGGCCACAGGTACTGCCTCCAGTTGAAGGCCATTGGCCACAGGTAATCCCTCCAGTTGAAGGCCATTGACCACATGTACTCCCTCCAGTTGAAGGCCATTGACCACATGTACTCCCTCCAGTTGAAGGCCATTGACCACAGGTACTGCCTCCAGTTGAAGGCCATTGACCACATGTACTCCCTCCAGTTGAAGGCCATTGACCACATGTACCCCCTCCAGTTGAAGGCCATTGGCCACAGGTACTCCCTCCAGTTGAAGGCCATTGACCAAAGGTACTCCCTCCAGTTGAAGGCCATTGACCACAGGTACTCCCTCCAGTTGAAGGCCATTGACCACAGGTACTCCCTCCAGTTGAAGGCCATTGACCAAAGGTACTCCCTCCAGTTGAAGGCCATTGACCAAAGGTACTCCCTCCAGTTGAAGGCCATTGGCCACAGGTACTCCCTCCAGTTGAAGGCCATTGGCCACAGGTACTCCCTCCAGTTGAAGGCCATTGACCAAAGGTACTCCCTCCAGTTGAAGGCCATTGACCACAGGTACTCCCTCCAGTTGAATGCCATTGGCCACAGGTACTCCCTCCAGTTGAAGGCCATTGACCACAGGTACTCCCCCTATGACCACAAGATGTTGCCTCCGTGTACATGTGGGTAGCACTAAGGAATCAACAAAATAAATACACACGTTTGAAAATTTCTAGACTATTCTTTCAATACACTTTATCAAATGTGAATACACTATCTTATGTCTAATATTGTTTTTATTCGACCCTTCGCCCCTCTTGAATTTGAAGGGAATACTCTTAGATTATGTGAAGAACAATAAGTAGGCCTGCATCGAAACAATGCTTACTATTAATAGAACATGACAATTATTATATTTAAAGAAATAACTTTATATCCATCTTTTTAGTGCATATATTAAAGCTTGTAGTAGACGTTTTATATAGGTCTACCGTACATATATTTTTATTTCATATTTTTGTTCTTTAAAACAAAATAAAAGCTTTGTCATATGAAGTTAAAGTACAAAATAATTTCAGTGATAAATATCTATATATGCCCTATATTTTTTTTAAAAAGTTTTAATAATAAGCCTAATTATTATTTACAATACATATAGGGAGATCTTTGCGCTTCAGAAAAAAGTGTGTATGCCAGGTTCTAATTTAGTTCACTTGTCTCCCCCTTTTATTAAATTCAGCCGATTAATTTTTTTAATCGCAGTAAATCACTGATTATGTGATAGCAAAATATATCCAGATCAGATTCAGCGAAAATTGAAGATAAAAATGGTAAGAGTAAAACATTGACTGCATACAGAGGCGTAGCGAGGGGGGGGGGGGCGGGGGATGCGGACCGCACCGGGTGACACCATTTAGGGGGGCTACACCAAGGCAAAAAAATAGCAAAGTATATAGAGAAAAACTTGAGGGGGGGGGGTGCAATCAAAAGTTTGAGGGGTGGGGGGGGGGGTGTGCAAATCGAAAATTTGAAAGTTTTTCCCCGGGAAGGGTCGCTACGCCTCTGGGGGTGACACCATTAAGTGCCGCACCGGGTGACACCCGACCTCGCTACGCCACTGACTGCATCATTCTTATAAAAACCTAAAATGAAAACCAATTGAGGCCTACTCAACGCTGAGGTTGCTCAGTAAATTTTTTGTTTTTAATTTGCGGTTGTTTTTTTTTTTTTTGTTTTTTAAATTACAGTTTTGAGAGTTGTGGTAGGCTGAGGTGTGACGTCATTTTAGGTGTTGGGTCCTGGTTTTTAATGAAGATTAGTGACCGGTGTAAAGACTTTCTTCGCCCCCCCCCCCCCCCTCCCGAAGAGATGCCTGGAAGAAACACTGTTAGTGACGTGGGAGGGAGTAAAAATCGTTACATATCATGACGTTACTAGTGCTTTATTTACACGTTGTTCTGTTGTTTTTTAAAATCACGAGCACTGCCGTCTTAATTTTACTTTTTACACGCAGGATACGAGTTTTATGTTTGATTTAAATTGTTAGCACTTCGATGTTAAAGACAACATGTGGATGACCACCATGCACCCGACCCCCCTGCCCCTGTCCTTAGGAAATACTGAAGTAGGTTAACTATTTAACTAAAATATTTTTAATACGTCAGGGCCTCTTTTAATTAATTTTAAAAACGTTACGCTAAATTGTGTTATAATTATATAATCTATTTATGGTAAATTTAGACAATTAGCATACGTATTTTGTTATTAGGCTATGCTTATTTTTGTTTATGAAGCCATGCGCCGTAGCGGATGTGTTACGTAAGTCAAGGCCCAACAATTTTTATCAACCTTGGAATAGCACCAGCAAAAAGCATTGCGCATGGCTAGATGACATCACCAGATAAAAATAGGTCTTCGGTTTTTCCAAAAAGGTTCACGCAGGGGTAGTTTTACGATTTTGCTTTAACGGCATGTATTACTTGAGAAACAAAAAAATGTTACTAATTTATTTAAACAACTTTGTTACTGTTAAAATAATAATATAAATCCTCTTTGAGTAAATACATCTGTTATATAAATGGTTAATTAATCAAATTACCTAAACAGAGCCTCAAAACTTTTTTTAAAAATCAATAATCTGAGCACATACGTTGACGATAATTAACAATAGAATAGAGGCGTGCATTAAAAAAAGCAAAAAAAAAACAACATAATTTTATTAATGATAGTTCACATAATGTGTATTTAAATTTTACACAGAGTTTAATATTTTTCTAAACATAAACAAGGCCGAAGTTCACCCAAATAAACATGACGTGATACGCAGCTTTGCCAAATTTGGCGAAAGATTGTCACGTGACACCGGTTCTACAAATGACAAAATGATGTAATGTTTCCAAAAATAGCAAATGATTCACAGTGACTCAGGTCACTATATGAGCGGCTGTGCGGGTTTTCCGTCTCAAAACGAAGTAGTGACTCATTCCTTGAATCTCCCTCTCTTGTTACCCGTCTTGAACTGTATCGTGAATACATTTTGGCGCATCATATTAAAGCCTGGGATTCCTGAAATTTTGGAATTATACTCGCAGAACTTCAAAATGTACACATCACAAGCAGATACACCGACAGCTTCTGGCAACTATCTTGAGTCTGCCAAATACGTGGCAGACATTTTATCCTCAATGGCTAATGGCGGAGTTGAAAGCTCGTCAGCGGTAAGTTTGTTGAATATTTGTTTCATCTATTTTGAGTCACTTATGCTCGGATTTATAATAAAAGTACGATTTTATTAAATCAAAATAATCCTACTAGGTCTAGGAACTGCTTGACTCTCAATGTTTACAGGATTTACTGTATAAATTTCTAGATCTAGAAAGAAAACCGAAAATCAGTCCTACCCTTCGGGTCGGACGATTTTCGACTTCACCATTGAGGAATTTGTTTTTTAACCAGGGAACCTCTTTGTCTTACTCATCATTTGATTACAAGAATACTACTAGATCTAGATCTATATTTATATTATGTAATGGGACAAATATGCACGTAGGTTTAACCTTAAAGAGCTGAGGCTAATTTAAAGTTCCGCGTAGGCCATCCAAACTAGCAAACAAGCAATGAATAAGGACTTTTTGCCAGGCTGACAGCCTAGTGTGTGACCAAGGAGCGTTTTGATTGGCTGGGAATGACCTCAGAAATTTGGGGGGGATGGGGTCACTTTTAAGTATTGTCGCATGGATGATGATTGAGGGAGGTGGTTGTAAATGTATTTTAACATAGCACTTGAATGAATAGTGTCATAATGCTCACAAAACTTCAGAGCAACACTACTAGATCTAGATCCATAGGGATATTACTCTCTTTCATTCATTGCGTTCTATTTTTCGTAGATGATTTCTTACATAGTGCGGATTTTCGTGGACCTGACTACAAATAAATGATTGTTTCCAATATAAATAGATGCCTAAATACAAAATAATAGTGTTTGTAAACAAAAAGGGCAAACAGTAACATTTTAAAATGCAAACAAACAATTGGCAAATTTAAAAATTATAATGGAGTTTTTTCAAGGAGTAGCAGTGTAAAAGATCAACTGTTATACTGGAGTTGGAACACCTCCAACAGAAACTCAGTTTTATGAATAATAATCAAAATCAATTAAACTGCTGCCTGTGATATTATTGTTTGGCTGGTTTGAATGTTAGATCTACATAGCTTTCTCAAGGAAATAAGTCATTGTGAAAAACTGCCTGACAGTATTGAATTTGATCTTTAATTTATTGTCAACAAAAAAAAACATGACCATGGATTATCATAATCCCTTCAATGTTTACTCAGAGTATTATTGCCCACCATATCAAGCATCTGGTTATCAGTATTCTTCACATAGGCAGCTCCATCCTTCTCAAATGCAGCAGCACCAGCAGCATTCTGCAATGCCACAGAGAAACTATAATAATAACATTATTGGTCCTCCTACACATCAGCAGCAACCAATAAGAAATCAACTTTATTATCCACAGCATCAGAACCCAAATCACCATTCTATGCCATCCAGCTATTCACCGGTTGGCACTTTAACTTGATCTCTATTTTAAAGCAAGCGTGTTGTAACTTGTGTTTTATATATTTTTTACCTATATCAATGTTTTACTTTTTCCTGTACTTTGAAAATCATATTTTTATTTTAAATTCTCCATCTTAAAGTAGTTCCAACTTGTTTTCTTTTCAGTATGTGCCTAATTTCTTAGTCTCATCTGGCACTGGCCTAACGCCAACCCTGACCCCAACTACACTTGCTAACATAGAACAAACATTTATGGAATTGCATTCAAATCAGCAAAATGGAAGCCGTGATCCTGTGACACAAAGTGGCTTTGTTCCTCCTGTGGTTGATCCTGGTCACAGTGCCGATGTTTCACAAGACAGTCTAGATTACTCTTCTGAGTATTCAGATGCTGAATGGGAACCCAGGGCTAAGCGAGGGCGTTTATCACAAGACTACAAGAATGTTGACATCATTGTGACATCTACTGGAACCATTAATGCTGCTCCACAACGAAAATATACCAGAAGAAATAAAGATGAGAAGGTAAGCCAGTACATTCCTAATACTTTCTTTGATAATTTATAGCATGTGCATGCATTTGCCATTGTTACTTTTCATGGCCTTGGGTACACATAGCACTCCAGCACTCATGAACCAGTAGATGCAGCCTAGACAATCACTGGGATACAACCCAAATAATAATTAACTTACTACAACGGTAGTAAAAAAAAAGAATGATTCACAATCGAACTTGCTATTCAAGTTCTTCTTAGATATGTTTGGGTAAAATGCTTGTAGGTATTTGTGTTTCTGAAATCATTTATGGCCAACAATTTCAGCAGTTAAAAAAAAGGTTCATTCAGATGGGATAGTCAACCATATGAAACCATATATCACAGAGATGAAAACTTAGAACAAAAGCTTATGGATAAATGAGCTACTAACTAGTGGTTTCTTGTTTAGCAAGGAGATATGTGGGCCAATAGCTCTCACCTAACTTGGAGGGAATAATTCTCTTGTTTAAGAAATTAATCTTCCTCCACCGTTTCACCCCCATCTTTTACCTCTTATCAGTATGAGTCATTCAAGTCAGTTTTAAACTGTGCCAAGGCAATGTTGTATCCTTAGCCTAGATCATTTGATCTTTTCAACTAAGATATAACACTCCATTCCCTGACCTGATCTTTGACTAGATCATTTGATCTTGTCAAGCATTGAATGTTATAACACTCCATTCCCTGACCTGATCTTTGACCAGATAATTTGATCATTCTTGACCTGACACGTGTTGTTTCACTGGCCCAGTGCCATTTACCCTGATCTACCCTTAAATATGGTCAGCTGTAGGCTGATAATACTAATATAACTTAAATTCAGTCCTCATCCATCTTAAAATGGCTTAGGCTAAGGATGTGTACAAATGACTACATATAGATGACCAATAAAATAGTTTTTTAATAAGGCAATAACTATCACATAAGGGCTACACTCTGATATCTTTAGTAAATCTACCTCCTAAAGAATGGGCTAGTATTATGCCATTTAGTGTTTTCATTCGTAATTTTCTGTCATATTTTACAACGGACCTTATCTTATTTGTGATATTTGAGTATTGTAATTGTAGCTTTGAATGAGCACATTTAAAGGCAAGACAGCATTAATGCCATAGCCAATTGTCAGTGTGGATAGGTCCCAGCGCTAAATGTCAGTCGGGACTTGTGAGCTTTTGATTTGCTCTCATTCCCACGGCTAGACTCGCCCGCCCTGTCGTGGGTGGCACCTCATTACACGGCCTTCATTTATACAGCCGGGCTTATTGTCTCCGTAATTAGCATACAATGAGATTAGCATTGAATTTGTCCACGGTAGCGGCTGTAGCACCCCCCCCCCCCCCCGTGTAGAGGCCGGCTTGGTGAACACTGCTAGCTCCAACAGCGGACAGTTGGTGTGGCTAGAGCTCGGTGGTCTCTTACAAGTGGCAACATCAACCACCGCCGTGACCACTGCGTACATGGGACTCTGGCCGTTTACTCCCCATCCATTCTTACCAAGTCGGCGTCTGCTAGCTTGGTCCTGGCACACATCAGCTGATGCCAGAGTCTGTTTGAAAACACTTCCAGGATAGATCGTCATAACTTTCATTATGACGCCCTGGTGAAACGTCCCGTTATGTTGCACGTTATCATTGTCCAGCGCGATCAACATTTGTTACAGAAATCTTGTTTGGTAACATCGCATTAAACGGGGGGGGGGGGGGGGCGCTCCCGGTCCATATCAGCGTTAATTTCCCTTTGGGCAGGTTTTAGTGACCGCTCACACTTTAACTGGTAGAATGTCCCAGCCGTAACACGTGACCGCTTCCACGTGACCGCTTCCACGTGACCTTTGGATTAGTCCCCAGATCAAACATTTCGTGTCCCCGAACCGAAAAGAAATAAAAGGAAAGTTCACCTGAGTGTTAGCGGTTTTTTTGGGGCCGCGATCTTTCTGATCTCTGTGACGATGTGATGGGGAGATAGGGGGGGGGGGAAGCTAGCGGGCTCCACCCAGCTTGTTTGATGCTGGCTGGGCACTGAATGGACGGACATTTGGGGAGAAAATGGCTAAGATTTAACAGATGAAGCTAAGTGGTAGTTCGCTCCCCTGGGTTAACGGAAAGGGGGTCACTGTGCAGGCGAGATGATGTCACACGTTTGGTATGGGCCTCTGTGACTCATACTTTAATTACGTTTTGATAGTTGTGGCGCGAACGGCCGCGGCGTGTGACGCTTTACTTGTTGTTCTTTTTTTATAGGGGGGGGGGGGGGCGGATCGTATACTAAACACGATTCTAAAAATATTACTAAATTAGGACCTAAGCAATTATTTTTTTCCCTTTTGTGTTTAAACTTGAGCACGGAAAGCTCTGTAATTAAAAGATCGGGGAAATTCAAAGTTTCGAGATCACTTAGCCTCACTTTTTTTTAACTCTTCCCAGTTATTCTTTCTCTCTCTCTCTCTCTCTCTCCCCCCCCCCCCCCCCAATTTATGTGTCTCTACTGAAAGATATTCTGGGTTAAGTAATTTGGTCCTAGTTTTCTAATGTGATTAACTTTAACTTTCAGCTTCCACCAGAGGAAGAAGAAAGACGTCGAGTGAGGCGAGAACGCAATAAAATAGCAGCTGCCAAGTGCAGACAGAGGAGAGTTGACCACACCAATGAGCTGGTTGAGGTGAGCATACAGCACTTTGTCCAGCGGCATGCACTTGTCTAGTCAATACAGTTTGTTAGCTCTGTTGTTGTCCCACACCATTCCTTCATACGTTGCTGTTTGTGTCAGCTCTGTTGTTGTCCCACACCATTCCTTCATACGTTGCTGTTTGTGTCAGCTCTGTTGTTGTCCCCCACCATTCCTTCATACGTTGCTGTTTGTTTGTGTCAGCTCTGTTGTTGTCCCCCACCATTCCTTCATACGTTGCTGTTTGTTTGTGTCAGCTCTGTTGTTGTCCCCCACCATTCCTTCATATGTTGCTGTTTGTGTCAGCTCTGTTGTTGTCCCCCACCATTCCTTCATACGTTGCTGTTTGTGTCAGCTCTGTTGTTGTCCCCCACCATTCCTTCATACGTTGCTGTTTGTGTCAGCTCTGTTGTTGTCCCCCACCATTCCTTCATACGTGGCTGTTTGTTTGTGTCAGTTCATTGTTGTACCCCACCATTCCTTCATACGTGGCTGTTTGTGTCAGCTCTGTTGTTGTCCCCCACCATTCCTTCATACGTTGCTGTTTGTTTGTGTCAGCTCTGTTGTTGTCCCCCACCATTCCTTCATACGTTGCTGTTTGTTTGTGTCAGCTCTGTTGTTGTCCCACACCATTCCTTCATACGTGGCTGTTTGTTTGTGTCAGCTCTGTTGTTGTCCCCCACCATTCCTTCATACGTTGCTGTTTGTGTCAGCTCTGTTGTTGTCCCCCACCATTCCTTCATACGTTGCTGTTTGTGTCAGCTCTGTTGTTGTCCCCCACCATTCCTTCATACGTGGCTGTTTGTGTCAGTTCATTGTTGTACCCCACCATTCCTTCATACGTGGCTGTTTGTGTCAGCTCTGTTGTTGTCCCCCACCATTCCTTCATACGTTGCTGTTTGTTTGTGTCAGCTCTGTTGTTGTCCCCCACCATTCCTTCATACGTTGCTGTTTGTTTGTGTCAGCTCTGTTGTTGTCCCCCACCATTCCTTCATACGTTGCTGTTTGTGTCAGCTCTGTTGTTGTCCCCCACCATTCCTTCATACGTTGCTGTTAGTGTCAGCTCTGTTGTTGTCCCCCACCATTCCTTCATACGTGGCTGTTTGTGTCAGCTCTGTTGTTGTCCCCACCATTCCTTCATACGTTGCTGTTTGTCTGTGCAGGAAACTGAGAAGCTGGAGGCAGAGCAGAGCCAGCTGGAGTCTGAGATCCACAGTCTGCAGCAGGAGAAGGACCAGCTGGAGTTCATCCTGCAGGCCCACCAGCCCTTGTGCAAGGTGGACGCCCAGAGGCTGAGAGGCTCCAAAGTGAAGCAGGAGCCATCAGGCAACCACCACCCACCCTGTGGCTCCCTGGCCCACTCCCACCACGACACCCCTGCCCCTGAGAACCTGAGCATGTCCCAGACATCATCTTCCTTTGCCACCAACCTGTCCACAGCGGTGACTACCTCAGCCTCTGGGGGCCTGGAGACCCCAGTCATCACCTCACGCCCCAACACCCTGCCACTCATCAAGAGGGAGCGTGCTCGCATGCTCTCTGTCACCTCGGCTACTGGAGTGACCATCAACACTCCGACCTCTGGCGTGTCCATCACGCCCTCGTCCCTCTTCTGTCCTGGCCTGGACAGTATGGTGGATGGCTCGACTGGCCTGACCCCCCTAACTGGCATGTCCTGTTCCAGCCAGGTCCAGAGGAACTCAAGTGAGAGCAGTTCTGAGGCTGTGGGCTCCCCTACCCTCATATCCCTATGACCATATGAATGTGCCAACACTAGAGGGAAAAAGAAGGTTGCTTCAAAAACCATAAACCAATCCAAATAATTCAATAGAAGAAGGGATTTTACTATACAAACATACCTCAAGATATTACAGATCTAGTTAGTTGGCTTTATGTTTTGTACTAATCAGAACTAAGAAAAATGTTTGATAACAAATAGAAGAGTATTTATATAAATGGAGAAAATCTATCTGAATCTCTTGCTCTCACCAAATGCTGTCATTGCTAGTTTTTACACAATTATTTTTTGTCTACCAGCCTTATGAGAACATTGATAGGTTGATTGTGAACTATCATGAGCAAACATTGTCAATGATTTGGACAAAACTTTGAATGTCTTATATTTTCACAAGTGGAGCTTTGAACATTCAATCTACGAGCTGTGCTGTATTTAGGTGTCTGCTTGAGAAAACTGATGTGCAATATTTGGTATTCCTCATAATACAATCTGGATGAAGCGGCTGTGACATTGGATTTGTGTTGCGTCAAGTTTCAATGTTTTGCAGCAACATGCATTGTTTCATCATTGTGGTTTTTTTTATATTTGATATAAAACTTTGACATTTGATGAAAGTTCTTTACAAGCTTAATGCAAATGTATTATTTACTGGGCTTTTGGCCTTTTGATCATGTCTTGTTCTCACCATCTGTTACTTGCATACATAGAAATACCACTGAGCTTGTAGATTTATATTGAACATGTGTCGTTCAAGATCAAGATTCTAGTTTTCATCGTACTGGCATTTGAGAAGTGGCAATGCTGTTACATTTGTTGACACATTACAGTCTTGCACGGTGGTGGCGGACATATCATTCTCTTTGGTTTCAAGAGTTGTATACATTTTACACAATAATTTATCCATGATTATCTTCCCCTGACCTTCCATCTGTTGATTGCTTTTTTCTTGATGTAAACTCCCCATCTGGTTGAGTAGGTTGTTGCAGTCTTGTTTGTTAGCTAGTACATCCATGGATCAGGAAGAAGGAGGTAGCCTTTAGTTTTGGATCATGAAATATAGACTGGGAAGATAAAGTTAAATCATGAGCAATTTGCCTAGAGTGGGTTGGAGAAGGCTGGCGTAGAGTGAGGCTATACAATATTTGGAGTCTCCCCTTGTTCCCTTAACGTTGGTCTCTTGTGTGAAGTGTCATTAGCTAGTGGTTACAGAGCTGTTGCTAGTGGTTACAGAGCTGTTGCTAGTGGTTACAGAGCTGTTGCTAGTGGTTACAGAGCTGTCGCTAGTGGTTACAGAGTTGTGGCTAGTGGTTACAGAGCTGTCGCTAGTGGTTACAGAGCTGTCGCTAGTGGTTACAGAGCTGTCGCTAGTGGTTACAGAGCTGTGGCTAGTGGTTGCAGAGCTGTCGCTAGTGGTTACAGAGCTGTCGCTAGTGGTTACAGAGTTGTGGCTTGCATGTTGTAGCTGAGTATTGTTCACATCTCCATAGTGTTGCATGTTGGTGGCCGTGTTGTTGTTGTACTTTCTGTTTATTTATATGTTGTGGTTATCCCAGCTTCATCATACTTTGTTTTATTCAGATGGGTTTTTTATTGTACTGCTGATGATATGCATCATTTATATTTATTGTACGCAATTTATAACATGCATTGAAAACTTTTAAATATGTAAAAATAAACTATTGTATTTTATTTTATTTTGATACACACTGTTTTTTGTTTACATCAAGTTATAGATAAAAATAAACTATTTTATACATAACCAGATGTAGTTAAGAATGTGAAATACAGCCATTGTATAAATAGGCTATTGTGTGAATCAGCTAAGAGCAAGTTCTGAAGTGGAGATGTTGCAATGAACCATGACAGAATTAGTCATCTGCTAACGTGTTCTCCTTTACTCACAGAACATCTTTCTTCCACTGGGTCAAAGTGGTCTACATCGAACCTTCTCACACCATCACTTGTTGTGCCATCCAGCCATTAAATGCAAATAATTGATCATGCTATTTTGTTACCCTCGTAGGACATGGTGGGATTTGTCTGTCTGTCTGGGTGCTGAATTTAAACATGTCATTTCCAATAAGAATGTAATTGTGTCAATGAAAAATGAATGTGTGCAAGAGGTCATGTGAGGTTGTGTGAGGTCATGTGAGGTTGTGTGTGAGGTCCCACTGTGCTCCTACAGGACTATGCAATATCATTCCATGAGAGAAAGTAGGAGCTACTTTTTGACATCTTATTAACTCAGTGCCTACCCAGCTGTTTATTGTTGCATCAGTCTGTCATTTATGGGTCTGACATTTGATATAGGGGCTTCTGACATTTGTTAGATAGGGCCTGTCATACGTCTGTTGGCTAGAGGCTTCTGTCTGAAGCATGTTGGCTAGGGGCTTGTCTAACATATGTTGGCTAGAAGATTTATAGGCTTATGTTTTACTGCACCTTGCCCAGATTGTCCACTAACCCTAAGCAATTTCTGATTAAATTGATGAAATAATGTCAAATAATTTTTTATCCAGTTTATTTTTCCCCCACTTGTCCACGCATTTAGGAACGCCAAATTTGTAGCTAGGGATTTCTAAGCTTGCTGGCTATTGGTTGAAACTTGTGTTGATTTGCCTGCCTTTCTTATTTGTTCATGCTTGAACTGAGTCACGATGGTGTCAAACTCCAGTGCTTTATTAAGACAGTCCTATTGCACGATCAGATCGGGTTGGTTGGGCCATCCAATAAAGGATAGTTTAGGCCACCCGGTTGACAGGACGGCCATAAAGTGTGACATGCAAATGTTGCCAGGATGGCCATGTAGTGTCAGGCCATGACGTAAGCTGATTTAGACGGTGCTAACACCTTCCATTTTTTCTGGTTGCTGGTCTATACTGGTATCATTATTTTCTATGCTTTAACTGTTTTTTTGGCCATGTATTCTCTTACAATAAATGTTTATAATAAAATGTATTGAGTTTTTTTGTTTTCTTTAATGTCAACGGTCTGTAGGACGGCTGCTGATGGGGTTTGGGCAGCTGTAAGTGACAAGACTAGTGTGGCCAGACAACAGTGGCTGGTGTGGCCAGACAACAGCGACTGATGTGGCCATAGATCTACTAGTGTGGCCAGACAACAGCGACTGGTGTGGCCAGACAACAGCGACTGGTGTGGCCAGACAACAGCGGCTGGTGTGGCCAGACAACAGTGGCTGGTGTGGCCAGACAACAGCGACTGGTGTGGCCATAGATCTACTAGTGTGGCCAGACAACAGCGACTGGTGTGGCCAGACAACAGCGGCTGGTGTGGCCAGACAGCGGCTGGTGTGGCCAGACAACAGCGGCTGGTGTGGCCAGACATTGGCTGGTGTGGCCAGACATTGGCTGGTGTGGCCAGACAACAGTGGCTGGTGTGGCCAGACATTGGCTGGTGTGGCCAGACATTGGCTGGTGTGGCCAGACAACAGCGACTGGTGTGGCCATAGATCTACTAGTGTGGCCAGACAACAGCGGCTGGTGTGGCCAGACAACAGCGGCTGGTGTGGCCAGACAACAGCGGCTGGTGTGGCCAGACAACGGCGGCTGGTGTGGCCAGACAACAGCGGCTGGTGTGGCCAGACAACCGCGGCTGGTGTGGCCAGACAACAGCGGCTGGTGTGGCCACCACTTGATGTCGTCAAGTGAGGATGTGAGCCCGACGTCCCGTCACTTCCGCCCGGGTAATCCCAACCTCCCAGACAGTCAAGACGTCCCACTTAAGCCGCCTTACTCGTCATCAAGACGCCTTACTCACGCGCATTCTTAGAAGGTTCGCCGACAAAGGCCTTGACATACTCAAGGATTATTTACGTGGATTTTTACATTTTCTTCAAAAATTCGGAACAACTAATAGCAAATGTGACGGTGAAAGGTCACGTGGTTATCTTAAGAAATCAAGAAGTTGACTTAACAATCTAGTTGTTTGAAATCTTTTGGCCACTTATGAGATGGCAAGAAACATTCGATCCCACGTCTCTCGCGCTTAGCCCAGTCTTCTGTTCAAATCAGGCAGTCACCGCTAGCACCAGCTAAAGTAACAAGGCCACCCCACCTAACTATCACCAACGACCACGGACAACATCTCTAACTACTACTACCAATGTACCACCATCACCAACGACCATCACTAACTACTATCACCATCACCAACGACCACGAACCATCACCAACAACCATCAACATCACCAACAACCACCATCACCAACGACCACCAATCATCATTAACACTACCACCATCAACAACGACCACCAACCATCACTAACATTACCACCATCTCCAACGACCAACAACCTTCACTAACACTACCATCATCACCGACGATCACCAACCATCACTAACTACTAAGGCTACAGGAAACGAATGAATCTCTGACAGAGGCGTAGCAATGGGGGGCAGGGGGTACATATGTCCCCGGGCGCCGACCTTAGGGGGCGCCAAAATGGGTTGTAAAAACAAATTAAAGTATCATTTTGGCTGCATTTTTTCATTATAAATAGTTTGAGGTGGGGGGGGGGGTGCAAATCATAAGTTAGATGGGGGGGGGGGGGTGCAAATTGAAAATTAGCTCCCGAGGGGGGCGCCAAATTGAACGTTTGTCCCCGGGCGCCGGGAAGGGTCGCTACGCCTCTGATCTCTGAACAAAAACGTGGATTCACTTCTTTAAATAAACCGGGAGTGATCTCCCAAAACTTTCTCGAATATTCTTATATAACTTGGAATATAGACATGATTTTTAATTACTTAAACTTTTAAAAATAGAATAGAATCTCATAGAAAAAAAAATTGCGCACCAAGCGAACGCCAAAACAAAATATGCATAATAGTGCGCAATATTATTAGTACTTTATAAATTTACATCCGTTTTTTTGAGAAATAGGAAATAGCGTAAATTAGTACTTCCGGTCAACGGAAATTACTCAAAATT